CAAATTTGAATTTCTTTGAAGTATTGAAATAAAAAATATCACTAAATTGATAACTAATTCGTATCTCATGCTCCTTAACAAAATGTAAATTAACTCCATGTGGATCTGGAAATGTATACCAGGCGAAACGTCAAATTCTTCGTTGCCTAGCACATATAACTACAACTGCCACGGTAAACTTTTTGACCTCGTGTTTGTTTAGTTTCAAATTGAAACTTTCCTTTTTTTAAGCGCAAACGTTTCTTCTAAGTCCACACCAACCTTTCTTTTACTTTTATATTTTTGAAGGTCAAATTAGTAGTAACTGGGAAAGCCTCCACCACACAGTGAGTCTATGACCTTGTGAATGAGATGGCCTTCTTTGAATTGAATTTCCCTATTGCACGAGGCAGGACCATATATACATATGGCGTTTGGAAGATCACTCCGTCCCGCCGCCGTAATCGGCTTTTTCTCAAACAGTCGGTGTGCATTTTTTTTAGAAGTCGAATTGTTTTTGTGTGGTGTGGCATGGCAGAGATTTCAAGGGCTAATTGACCCTTAATCGGTGGGACCCACATCTGGAAATGTATACCAGGCGAAACGTCAAAGTCTTCGTCGCCTAGCACATATAACTACAACTGCCACGGTAAACTTTTTGACCTCGTGTTTGTTTAGCATGTCTGTTTATATTAATGGTGTTTTAGTTTATACACAAGTCTAGGGTTTTCTTGCTCCATTGAAAATGCGATCGAAAATGATAACTATTTGTATTATATTTACAAATTAACTCTTTATCGTGCCAATGAAAATTACGTTGAAGTTAATTATATCAGTAAGCATCGTGTGATCGTAATACCATCACTAACTAAATTTTCTAAACATCTATGATTTGTGTTAATTGAGTGAGGTACATAATCATAAATCATAATAGAGATTAAGACTTCTGTTCCTTGGCGTGATGCTTTTGTAGTCCGACTTTTTTGTAAGACTAATCAAACTTCATTGGAATATTAAACATTTGAAATTGAGCACTACAAATACTTTCTTTTTCAAAGAACGTACTTAAAAGATAAAACTAAAAGAAAATAGAAGATATAACTCATGTGGTATCCAAATTTTAGGGGCACAAAGAATATTAAGAGGTTTGGTCAAAATAATACAACCCATATACATGTCACGTAACTCGTGGATAGAGAAGAATCCTTCTTTTTAGGCTTCTTGGATCATTCCAGACGTAATTTGAATAGAATTGAATCATACATTTGCAAAAATAACTTATTCAAAACACAACTAGGAAAATTTATGTATATATCAAACTGTGATTGACAAATAACAGGTAATATGGCTGTCACACCAAGACATTTATCATTCCATACGAAAGAGATAGGAAATTGCATTTGGATAGTCTCATTTATGTAGAGTAGTTAAATTGATGATGATGATGCTAAGCTAACTGAGAGGGACTCACTTTATTATGACAATGAGAAAGAAGCAACGTCTGATGGACGTTAACAAGAAGCCTCCTAATGATTTTCATCACCTCCTGCCTTGTATGTTAGTACCTAATTTGCAGTCTTTCTCCCCTAATTTACGTCCATTTGGGCAAATGATAGGAAAAAAAAATATTTATCTTAATAATATTGTTTTGTTTTCTAATGGCTCAATGATTTGTGCCAAAAAAGAAGGGAGCATTGTACTTCAAGTCTGTACTATAGAAAAGAATGTGGACCGTAATACAATTCAAATTCAATTGAATTTGAACTTTTCAATTGAAAAAAAGAAAAAAGAAAAAAAAAGTTTACAATTCAACTGAATTGGAAAAATTCTTATTTTACAATATGAGAGCTAGACCCACCTGTATTATATTCATGCATATAGCTCTACTGGATGGTATTTTATGCAAGATGGTTTTTAAATTAGAGACCAGTTTAAACATAATCTAATTGCGTCAGTTGAGTATATCTCAGTTGGTTAAGTTCTTTCATATTTATAAATGTGGGCAAATGTTTGAAACGCCCTGACACCCAATGAATATTGGTGTAAACCCCTCCCCAATCGCTTGTATAACAACAAAATAGCATCTTTTTCACCCACCACCCTGTTATATAGGTTTATTCAAGAACATTATGCAAAAATGTTTACGGAAAAAAATGGTCCAAGGTTTTGGTTCCGTAGGGCCTACCTCCCTCATTTAGGTTCCTTCAAAGTCGAAATGAAGACATTTAGGACCAATGAGGAGAAGTTTATTATTAACATAGAAATCAAAGTACAGACAACGATGAGAGAAAGAAAGGTAGAGAGCAAAGATGCCATGAGGATAATTGTTGCTGTTGCTAAAGATGAAGGCCTATGACCTCCAATTTTATTGGCACCAATGCTTTTTTGCACATCACTAGCTAGGAAGAAGATTCTTAAGAATAGTATAGGCTGTCCAAATTTTGAGAGAGAGAGAGAGAGAGAGAGAGAGAGAGAGAGAGAGAGAGAGAGAGAGAGAGTCTTTGACATCAATAATTTTAAGTACCATCCCTAAATTGCAAAATGTTTTACCAAGAAATGAGCAATGTTCTTGGTGTCGTACGGCAGAAATAATGAAAGTCCCCACAGGTAACTATTTTGAAGGTGATGGGGATTAGACAACCCACTTGCTAAGTGGGTTGAGCATTTTATGAGTATTCTTCTGACCTCCTCTCCAACTTCCTACCTTCACTTTTCCAAATTATTTTGAGGTTTCTCGGTTTTACCTTCCTCGGAAAGTTCTTACATGTTATTATTTTATTAATAGTCGTCATTTATGAAATTTGAACTCAATATCTCATCTCATCTAACAAAATTGTGATAAAATAGCACGAGATCAAATAGCTGGAACCTCCCTATAAATACACACAAATTTGAATTTCGGGACATAATTTTTTGAACTTATTAATTAAAATATTTTTAAAATTTTATTGTGTGGCTGTTCTAGTTGGAAACTTATGTTCCAAATCCAGTGTAGACCTAGATCCACAGTGGCCCTCTCCTTAGGACTTGTATTGATTGTGATGTACCCAAATCCAATTTGGGGTCCTCATATCCTGAATTTGACTCTGTAATAGGACTCATTGAGAATTTTACATATAAATTAGTGAAATTTTATATAGTTTCCAAACATTGAAAGTATGCTCCTAATAAAGTGCATAGAGATGTTGAAACTAGTTAGATTTCATTTTCATAAAGATTACATGATTCACCCATTTCATACTTTAGATTATGCTCAAACAAAACAAGCAAAGAAAACATAAATGAATTATTTGGGCACAAAGCATCTCCTTACCCAAATGCAATTATATGTGTTGTATAGAAACATTTTACACCATGAGAAGGCCACCCAAAGTATGACAACACATTAAAGAAGATAAAAATGAAGTTGGGTATGCATGATGGGTCACATGGATCAATATGAGACACAAACTAAAGTTGTCCTTGTAACTGATTATAGGTAGGCACAATAGGAGGTGGGAAGAGAGTGCACATGTAAAGCATTTTGTTCTATTTGGAAAAGAAAAGGCTAAGCTCATGAAATTGTTCTCCAATAAGTTTCCAGATAGTAGGTTACAAAATTAAACACAAGGGCACCTAAACCTAGTGGTGGAGGGTTCTTGGCATGTGAAGTGGTCACAAGCTCAGAGAAAGTTGTATGCAAAACAAGGCTAGCTACATTGAAGATGACCATTGCCTGTGAACCAACCTTTTTGTTATCTTGTAAGAATCTAATCCTAACAAAATGGTAGAGAGAGAGAGAGAGAGGAGAGAGAGGAGAGAGAGGAAGTTGGGGGAAAAGTCGTGAGAGCCATGATTTTTGCTTGGAGAGTCCACAAAAAACCCACTAAAGATAAAAAGTGGAAGATTTGTTTAGGCTTTTTCTCTCTAGTGGGAAAGTGGGGGTGAAAAAGATGGGCATGGGCATTAGTCCTTTTAGGTTGAGGTCCCAATTTTGAAGCAGAATCTGCATAAAAAATTGTAATCTAGCAGAAGTAGAAACCTACAACAAAGGAAAAAGACCCACGAGGGTTCTGTTTCTTTGCATGTGAAAGGCACTAATTGCTCCATAAAATGAAGTGTCCCTTATTTTGCTCAAGATAGAGTCCATTCATTTTTTTGCTCCTGCCTCATTGGCTACTCATAGCCTTTTGCCTTTATATCTATCCTTCATGTATATATATGATGAGTTATGTCATCCAATTTTGCTTCACTATCTTGCCAACCATCCATTTTCTTCTCTGCCCATCTATAATTTTAGGCCTATCTTTCTGTCCTTTTTTCAAATTCTCTTCAAAACCTATGATGATGTTATGGTGCTCTCCATCTGTTAAAATTTCCAGCTCAATTAGCAATGAACCAAAACGAAAAGTGACCCACTTGACCATCTCATGTCAAAATTTGTATGAGAGGAGCTCATTATGCATGCTTAGATGTTTGAAGATGGTATCTTCTTGGCTTGTGGCGCCTATGATCCTGGAAAAATGCATATTCAAACCCAATAAAGAATTTTTACTCTTTTGTTGATGACCATGTTATCAAGACTTCGCTTGGTACTTGTTGTTTGAAACTCTGGGGAAACCAGAATAAAAATGAAAACGTCTATATAAATTGGCTGTATAAAGTCAGACCAAATAGGATAAAAAAGGAAAAAACTTGGCTGTATAAAGATTTTGAATTGCAAGACAATTCGTTCGTTGTTGACTTGTTGCCCAACCCAATTCTAAAAGCCCTGCTAAAAGTTCCGAAAGCCTAACTCCAATATAATGATTAATTTTGTCGAAATCCACCAAATACAAAATATAGATACTAGAATTAGCAAAATGGGAATTCCAAAAAAATTAAGCATAAACACCTCGAGGATTTACAAAAGTGTAGGAAGCAACAGAATTTCAGCAACAATGGATTCGAATATCAGGATCATAAACTGTAACCCAGACTCCATCTTCCTTCAGGCAGTAAAGCATCATAAATTGGTTGTTCCACCAGCCAGAATGTCCAAATCAACTTTCAACCATCGGTTCGGGGTCAGATGGTTCTGTGAGAGATGGCTGTGTGAGAGATTTGTTGGATTGACGTACAGAATTGAAAAGAATGTCCTTGATAACCTAAGCAAAAACAGATGAGAGCAACTTTGTTAATAACGGGCAAGAAAACTAATTGTTGCAAAAACCTTCTGCTCAGAGCATGCATGGGGTATATGAAGATCGGCAAAGCCTGGGCTACCTGTGACATCAGACCGTGCACCTGCTCGACAGTTATCTTTGCACTGTCACGAGTAATTTTGGCAAGTTGTGATTCTTCCTGCAATTCATGAAGCCATTGAAATTATAGACTCAAAATAAATTACCAGCAATAGAGGTAACCAGCAACATGATTCATGTTCAACATTAATAAGATACCAAAACAAATTAAAACACAGTCACATCTTCCTCTTAATCCCAACGCTGTCCTGAATAGAAATGAAATCACCAGGTATGCATCTCCAAGGTCACCTGGATCTAAATGGCCTGTCTATGGGACCAAGAGGGAGACAGGAGGAGAAAAGATATGGGTACAATGCTGCTAAATAGTTGAATTTGTAGGAAAACAAATGTTTTCCTTTTAACAAGTTGAAACCAAACATAAATGCAAGTGATTCTCAGGGTGGGAAAATAATTGCGTCTTTTATCTTTCTATTTTCTTCTTGATATATACACATATTTATCAGTTTTCATGAAAGAGAGAAAAGAACAGAACTGAACGAGAAGGAAGAATGACACCATGTTCACACTTCAATGGACATCTACAAGCATAGCCATGTGGAATGATGTAATTTTAAAGATGTGTTTTATCCACACCATTTGCCAGCCCTAACCTTCTCTACCTCTATATGGGTAACAGCTCCCTCTTAGCAGTTCCTAAATATATGAATCCAATCCATTTTATTGACAGCTCTTCTTCTAAATCAAACAAGAGAGAGAGAGAGAGTAGGGGGGGAGAGAGATTTACCTCCTTCTTTCTTTGTGGGGGAGTTATTAATGGCCCAAAGCGAGAATGAGACAAATGATTTTCTGCTTGCTCCAGTTTTTCAGCTGACATGATGCAAAGGAGACAACTTAATATTCAGTAAAATAATATATCCAAATAATACAAGCATGACGGATGGAAATACTTGAATAGGCAATATGCAACAGGTAAGAAAGTACCTAGATCAGAAATTTGTCCAGCAACATAGTCTCCATTGCCCAATAAAGGTGAGGAAGAAAGAGTATTCACCCAATACTTGTTCCAAAGAAGATCCAAGAGGTGGCAGTCAAGAGAAGACTTGAAATAAGTGATATCCAGAGAATAATACTGCATAAACAAATACAAATGAGTTTCAGAGAATAACAAACTAAAGTTTCACAAAAGAACCGTAGGATAAAAACATAATAACCTGTTTACAGTGCACACCAAAGTCCTCAATTTTGTTCAGAGGAATGGTCTGATACTCGGACACAGGGTCATCTGGAGGCTTATATCCTTCTGGGTATGTCCTGAATGCACCGATGTCAACCTTTCCAGCTGACACTGTCCGAGTTGGATCAATAACAACAGCCAAAAACGGCTCCTGAAATTGCTGGTTTAGCATCTGTGTGGAAACATCAATACCCGAAAGCCAGCATCCATAACCAGGGTGAGAATGGTACCACCCAACCACATTCTCCAACCGCCCCGCCTATAACATAACATACTCTGTAAGAGGATTAACCTTGAAAAAAACAGAACTAATACATGGGACTCTAATAGAAGAATTCTACTCTATAAAAATACAACAAAGACTTTGAGAAATTATACTTACCACATTTTCCCCCACTAGAATCCTAGCAACTATGTACAAAAGAGGGTTATACAGAACTGTATTCAATGCAATAGTTTGTTCACAAGCCAGCTCTTTCCTATTACTCATAAACCAAACAGTGTCTCTGTACAGCCACCCAAAGAAAGTGGCCAAAAAAGAAACAGATATAAGGGATTTTTAAGAGTGGCATTAAGGTCTTTTACATCATATTGAAGAATTTTCGCCAATGCAGCAATTCCATGACGCAATAACCCAACCGCAACAGCAATTAGGGTTTCTCAAAGGCCTCAAATTCATCCCCAAACCATTAAAAACTATAATAACAAATTACAAGAACGAAGAAAATACGAAAAGAAGCACAGACCTGCTTGTTGGTCTGGGAATAATCCACCATGTACTCATAGGCATCTGCCTGAGCATTAACCCTAGTCTCAGTCCCCTCAACAGGCAAAGCAAAAGCGTCCATGACGATAATGGCGTCACCGTCCGTCTTGCCCTGCATGAGGCCCATGACCTCGATGGTCCCACCGGAACGGGCGTGCACGACCATCTTCAAGAGCGCGAGGGCGGAGATCTTGACGCGCTTGAAGTAGTGGGGGTCGTTGGTCCAGGGCTTCTCTTGCTGGAACTTGGCCTGCGCCGCCTCGTCGTAGTAGAATATGGCGTCGGCCGATGGGTCCGCCTTCGACTTCGCCACGCTCGGAGGCGTGTCCATGGGGATTATGTTGTTCTCTAGCTCCCATGTCTGCTGGGCTATTTGCGCGTCCATGGTGTTTGTGAAATTGACTCTGAGACACTTTCCGTTCTCTTTGATGTAATGTACCAGTGTTTGTGACTGACTCTGCGTAATCGAGTGAAATCGACTTCCACTAAGGAAATAAAAATAATAACTTGCCACTGGGCTGGATTTTTGGGATCTATTGGAGAAGATAAAGCCCAATGGGTTGTGGCTATTATCCATTAGCATGTCAAAAGAGCAAAATATAATATATATATATATATATTTTTTTATACAAGCGATAGTGAAGGAAGGATGAATCAAACTTAGGACTTCAAGTCCAAGGATAAATACTCTTAACCACTTGAGCATAAACCCCTTACATTTTAGTTTTATCTTTGTAGAGCAAAAGAAAATATGTTATCATATATTTCGGGCATGTTTAGGAGTGTTTCTGGAAATGCCAAAAGCACTTTTTGATAACTAAAAGTGCTTCTGACAGCATTTAGCAGAAAAGTTTAGAAGTGCTTTTGGCTCAGAGAAGCGCTTCCTTGAGAAGCACCTGCTATGTGCTTATTCAAGAAGCACTCCCAAATGCTTTTTCACGAAGCACATTAATTTTTTATGAAAATTCAAGATTTTTATAATAAAAGCGCTTTTGTTAAAAATGCTTATGAGAAGAAGTACTTCTTAGAGAAGCAGTCCCAAATGAGCCCGAATATAATAAATTAGAATTTCTTAATAATTATAACTCATTTGGGAGTACTTTCGAAACTGGTAAAAACACTTGTCTTACAGAAACGATGTATGACAAAAATTATAAGAGTGCTTTGCATGGGACTTAGGCCCAGTTTGGGATTGCTGTCACTTTAAAAAAAAGTTGTTTCTGCCGTGCTTTGAAAATAATTAGCTGTAAAGTAAAGCAGTTCCATGTTTGGTAAACAATATTTTTAAAGTGCTGTTAGTACAAAAAGCAGTGTCAAAACCGTTTGGTAAATTTTAATATAAAATTGTTGTAACTATGAATAATAACTAAAATAGACATGATGTTAAAAGTGTTAGGTACTAATCATGTGGTGGTAATGGTAGTGATGGAGTGGAGGTAGTGGTGGTGATGAAGGTGGAGTTGGTGGTGGTGGTGGGGATGGCAATTGTGGAGGTGGTGGTGGTGGTGGTAGTGGCAGCATAGTGGTGGTTGTGGTGTTGGTTGTGGAGATGGTAGTGGATGTGGAGGTTTTGGAGGAGGAGGTGGTTGTGGTGGTGGTGGTGGTGGTGGAGGTGGAGGAGGTGGTGGTGGAGGTGGAGGAGGTGGTGGAGGAGGTGGTGGTTGTGGTGGTGGTGGCGGAGGATGAGGAGGAGAAGGATGTGGTGGTGGAGGTAGTGAATGTGGTGGTGCAAGTGCTGGAGTTGGATGTGGAAGTGAAGGTGATGTCATTTTTAAAAATGAATGATGGTATTTTGGGAATTAAAAAAATTAATTAAAAGTTCATCTCTGCTTTTTTTTAAAACAACCCAGAGCCTACTTTTAAAAGCTGCTGTCAAAAGGCCACTGTTTTTAAAATAATCAGGATATTTTATTTTTACCAAACACCTTAAACTGCTTAATTTTAAAGTGAAGCAGATTTTTGGCCAAAAAAAGCAATCCCAAACGGGGCCTTAATGTCAACATATCGTGCATACTCAAACAGGTGGTTTTCACAATTCCAATCAATTTGGAAAATTCTCTACAATTTCCTTTCAAGTCTAGCTAAACGTAGACTAAAATCCCATGACATGAAAATTCCCAACAGTAGTTCCTACCTTGTTAACATAAATTAAAAAAAATTACAAATTACAAAGGCTAGAATACAATAAATTATACAGTAAGGTACAAAGGCCACAATTCATTCAGTGTCATTTGCCCCGTGACCTGCCTCTCCTGTTGTATCTGCTGAGTCTGTTTCCCTTCTGCTTCTCAACGACGGGGGTGCTTTTTGAATTCGGCTGGGTCAGCTCCTGTGATAAATATTCGTCGGGCATACTAGAGCTGTTTTGGGAGCCAGTGGCAACAAAATCGTTGTCTTTTGTGACATCCATATAATTTTCAATCGATTCGGGTACCTCAATACTAGCTTCACTCAAAGGCACGCCGTCGTTTTCCTTTGTTCCATCAACATCATTTCCATTTTTATTGGAGACCTCGACAGTAGCATCGTTGAAAAACTCATGGGCTTCTTCCTCCACAGTGAGATCTACAGCTACCTTCCCATGGCTTGAAGTGACTGGATTAGTTTCCCCATTAAGTACAGGGTTTTCTTCTATACCCAAGTCTGGTGCGGACAAACTGAAACACAGGAAACCAGTTCACTAAAAAATTTATGTAGATGATGCAGCACTGAAGCAATGGCATCAACAACCGCTTACCTAGCTACCAAAGAAGGGAAACCATTTGTGGTATAAACAATTCTTGATCCAGTCACTACTCCAGTTGTTAAACAGGTTATGTCGTGTAATTTTGAATCTCCAACTGAGAAGTAAACTGAGGTTAGTCAGTAAGTCTAACTCTTCTGCCACAAAAATCTGCTCGAGTATAAATCATGCAGCAGAAGGGTAAAAGGGAATTTACCTTGTAAGGTTCCTCCTACGTCTGTGTTTCGCTGTTCAGTCCCATTAGAGTTCTTCTGCCCGCCAAAATCACCAGCAACAGTATCACTGTGACATACAAGGGGAATTAGATGTTATAAGCCAAAACAATTACGGACCTAATCAAAGGGCAAAAGAAAAAAAGAGGGGCTTAGGGAAAGATCAAAATCACAATCCAAACTGGTGCAGCACAGATGCTAGAAAAGGGATTCTCAACTATTTCTTTCCCACTTTTAAGTTTTATTTAGAACCGTTCCTTAAACACAGAAGCCCTGTTATTTGAAAACAACGAGTTTGATGTTACCAGACAAGTTTGCCATGCCTTATCATGTTGAGATCAGAGACAGATATGACACCTTTAAGTAAACAGAAAGCGGACATGCATAACTAACATCTTTAAGTAAGCTACAAACTGATATTCATACTTAAACTTGTAATCAGAGGAAACCTGTATTCTAATAACCATTTTGTGTATGCGTTAAATGATTTGTGAAAATGTTACAGGAATTAGTTAACGGAAATTTTGGTTGGCTAATTAAGCTACCATTGTGGGAAAGGGATAACCTGGGAACAGTCTTCATATCTTCAGATGCCTTAAGTCGCTGTCCAGTGGTTAACGCCCCTTCTAAGGCATTCTGAGAACCTATTAGATGGACAAACTTTGTGAGTAGAAAATCAATTAGAATATACAGTATTGATATGAATGTGTGTATGTGTGTGCTTGTGGGCACATCTGTGCAGCAGAAACATATAATCCATCTGAATCACTGTCAACAAAAGATAAAAGTGGAAATTACAAGCACCTCCTTTTCCATCAATTGCAGCGACATCTGAATCCTTCATAAAAAGAAAATAAAAGGTTATAACAAGAATCTGGTAGCTCAGAGTCTTCATCAAAACTCATTTTGAAAGAAGGAAAGAAAAATTATGTATAATAGGCTATACTCAAATTCTTGGGAACCTGATTTTGTTCGGAATTGATAATAGCCAGAAGTGGCAAAGCTTCTTTCTGCAATCCATACTGTGTCTTCTCCGAAACTGAAAGAGCAGAAAATAAGTTCCATGTCTTAGATTTCCTATATTTTAGTTTTCCTATTTTCTAAAAATTAAAGGGGAGTGTTAATATCATTTCAGTAGGGGAGTACTATCAATAAAATGAGATTAAAAAACTAAGGGAGGAGAGCAGGATGACTATTTTGGAAGGCTAATAACAGCTCTGATAAAATATAAATATATGCAATATATTCATAAATTGATGACAATAGAGTATTGGACTAAACTAACAGATTTAGTTCAACCCAGTTAAGAAAACATACCATTGGAGCCATAGGACGTAGTTACTCCAGAGGACAAGTTCACATTTGCACCTGTGGAATTCTTAGAATTGTGAATTTTATCTCCCATTTCAACTTCTTGTTTTCCATCCACCAAATAACCAGAGGTACTTCTATTTCCTAAAGTCGATGCAGACCAATCAATTCTTGTCGAAGGTATGGACCTCAGCAATTCTTCTGTTGCCTTCGATCGCACTCTTCGTATTTCCTCCTGGATATTCCAGGCCCCAGTGGCACGGGAGTCCCTTTTCAGCTGCATTGAAATTTCAGAATGCACAATCAGAATATCAATAAAGAGAATACCTCCACATTTCTCTCTACCAATCCAAAAGATATTTCCTCATTTCTGTTTCACACTTAAAACAAAGAAAACAGAAAGAATGTGTCAACAACTTCCCACAGTTACTAAAAGAAGAAAAAAACATATGTAGTTCAACATCAACCTCTAATGTGTTATTTGTTAATCTGCATTAACTGTTAACAAATGATCATTCTGCAGTTATATGAGAAAAAACTTCCTTTCATGCTTCAACATGTACCCAGATGTGAGTGTCAATGCCTTGTCTTTGGAACCAAAACATTGTCTTAACACATGGATGAGTCATTGTGGATCCACTCTACTCAATATTTATCCATTTAGGGTTAATGATTAGCTTGTTTGCATCAATATTGAATCACGACCTTATTCAAGGGTTTCCCGGAATTTTACAACCATACAAGCTATAATTACTTGACCCAGCATACACTACGAGTGGGCATTCAAACTGGAAAACCAAGCCATACACAACAAAATCTGACTTTTTTTTAGTTACTACAAAATTCTAGACTTTCTCCATTAAATTTGCAGCTCACCTTTGCTTGCTGTTCATAGTTACACAGAACCATAAATACCAGAATTTCTCTAACCCACATAATCCTGATTCAAGAAAAAGTCATCATCTAATTGAAATATTAAAACATTATCCAATCCTAAAATGGATTGCTAGTCTCTGTTCAGTTTGAAAATCTATCTCCAGCCTCAATCTTTTCTTTTAAAGAACTGCCACATTTAACATTACCCAGGACCTGGTATCTATACGAAGGAGTAAATTACCTCCCATTAGCAATAAGTTTGAGTCTACAGTCCAAGTCCTACTTGTCACAAACTCAAAAATGAAAAAGATATGACTAGAAATATTCCAAATGGTACCTTCAATGTAGACACAGAATTGCCACCAATTGAATATGGGGTTTCTTCATTGAAAAGTTGCATCCCTGTTGATGATGGAGATCTCGGTTCTCCGTGCTTAATAGAAGGAGATGCCCATGGAGGACGTGCTCGCATATACAGCTTGGCTACATCCACTGGTGAACCACCTTCATCTTCAGCCCCCTGCACCAACAGAATCAAATTGAAAACTCAACCTCCTTTCCTTGCTTATAAAACATAATGATATAATGAAAGTACTAAATTGAAATAATACAAGAGACTTTGGTATCTCTACCAAATTTCTACCATAAACTTTTAGAGAAGGTGTAGCATATATCTTCTATGTAGTTTTCTTTCATCAAGAGATTAGAAAGTTTAGAATTGCCTTATTCAACCAAGATCTGAATGAAAAGGGTTGTACTACGACATAAGGGAAGATTTTATTCCAAAGATAAGGATCCAGACATGGGGGAAAAAACAGAAAGCACATGTTAGCCACGAGATAATACCAGAGGAAGAACACTCACTTGTGGGAACATAAGAGAATGTAAGGTGCAGGTTCCATGATCCGAATCTGACTTTGAACTTGATCCCAACCTCTTCTCCTTCAACCATTTTTTTGCCTCCGTAACAGCTGTTCCACAGAGATCAGGCGTGTCTACATCTGCAATGCAATTAACAACGTAAGTCAAGGATAATTTGTATGTTTTTAATCCTGCAATTGTAACCACTTTCACTTCCAACTGTTTTGTTAGGTATCTCACTTGGTCTTGTATTCTCTGCATCTTCAGCAGTGGTAAAACCTACGACTCTCGATTTAATAATCTTTATTAACCTATCACATTCTTCCCTGGTCAAGTCAAAGGCAAAGTTGAAGTCAAATAACTAGTTAATAGAAACGAAGAATAATTGGCAGAAAAGTGGCATGATGCATAACAATTTGTGGGAACCTCTCTAAAAGACCAATTTAAACCAACCCAGTCACTATTGGGCTCACACAAACACTATATTCATGATAAGGAGTTTAAAAATTGAAGGAAACGTCAATCACTCAATGCATGTCCTAAATTTGAAGCGTGAACAACCACTTTCTATTTCGATAGGAGAACCCAGGTTAGAAATTAATCCTTAAGAAATATTCGTTGGAGCATAAAACAAGATTCAATAACTCAACATTCTTGGAAATAAAATAGGAACTTAACAAGCTAAATGCAGAAAATAAATCAAGGATAATATAATGATACATATTCTGTAAAAACTTGCACTATAGCATAAGGGAAAACAAATCAGAACACATGGCTAATATAAGAAGTGGAAAAAAATGACGTAAGCATAAAACAAGTACATGTCCAAATGTGAAATATAAAAAGAAGTACAACGTGTTATCTTTAATATCAAGGAAGCGCAGCATTACCTTGAGAAGGTCTCCTGCATAAGCAGTTGTTCAATTACATGCTTGTTGTCGCTCTTCCCTAGTGTTGCTGGGGGCTCCTTCCTAAAGAAACTGATCTTTCCTGATGTCCCATTCCTCTAATTCAACCACAAAAATCAATATTGTATGTGTAGTAAACATGAAATGAAACTAAAAAAGCCATATATATAGTTGTCTTATACACCCTAAAATGACAAGGAACTTGAAAGAAGTTTCCGATGTTAAAATAAAAAATTTAATTTTAAATAAATAGTTTGACTACAGATACTGTATTGCTGTTCATAGTCCCTGGACAGTCCTGAAATTCATTCCTCTCAAAATTCTTGGTAACCCCGTATCAGATAAATCCCTTCTCTTACGCAAATAAATCCCCTACCACAAGCCTTTTCCACAAAGCTCTCAAATAACTCGTCAAAATCAGCTTAAAGCTCCAACTTCACTTCTGCAAGGAAAGTTCCACGACCTCCTTTTTATTCCTAATCATCCCCACAACCCTAACCTACCCTGAGTATACAAATTCTAAACTAGTTTTCTACAACCTCTGTTTGGAACCATATTTTCAAGTTCTAGTCTGCCAGAGCCCACTACACTTCGAAAATACCCTAATTTCCAAGTGAGGTGGAATCCAAATCCCTAGAAAAGTGAATATATATGGAAACTCCCAAAGGATCGAGTTTTCAGTGTGGATAACGGAATCTAAACCCAAAGGATCGAGTCTTCACAAAACTGTTCTGCTTAAGCAATTCAGGTACTTCAAAGCACTATACCAACTATCTTCAGAGTCAGCAAACCACAATCATGGGAAAACTAACAAATTTGAACAGATATCAAGTGCAATGAAAAAGAGTAAAAATCTCAGGTCGTTTCACTCAGAAACAATCAGTCCCACTCAATTTGCATGCTTACTGAATTTGTTGAACGGTCTACTGGCATCATAGAACAGTTAAAAATATATAGTGCAAGTTCTTCCAAAGAATTGCCCAACTTTAAGAATAATGACACCTACAATAAAACTGAATAAGCAACATTTAGAGCTATTACCTTCTTCAGTCCATCATCTTCTTGAGTAGAAATATCATCATCATCAACATCTTCGTCTTCAGTACCATCCTCTGAAAATCAAACACAAAAATCCAGTAACAATGGCACGAAAAACCCCAAAACAAAAAGATAGCTTTTTGCTTTACTAAATCACAAAACTGCCAGGCACTTGGGTTTGGGTACCTGAAGAAGAGGAGGAGGAAGAGTCAGGGCTAAATACAGAGGAAATTATCTTCCCAGCGCCGCTGGCAATCATGCGAGAAGGGGAGTAGATGAGCCTGGAGAACCAATTAGGGTTTTCGGGGCCAGGGTTTGCCAATCTCGGCCGGTCGTACGGAGTCCTGGCACCGGCGACTCGTCTAGGGCGGACAATTTTCCCGCCAGATCGGGGCTCCAGGGCTCGTCGGGATCTGGAAATGGTGGCCATGCGCTCTCATGCGCGAGACGAGAAGCCAAAAAGAGAGGGAATGGGAAATGAGGGAAAGGGATAGAAGAGTTAGTTGTAAAGAGAGAGAGAGAGAGGTTAAAAAGGGTGTTTTGTGTTTGTGTGTGTTTCGCAATTTCTGTCCGTTCAGGAGATTCAATTCGTTTTTTAGGTTTCTAGCGGTTATTATTATTATTATTATTATCGTCATTATTATTTGGATTTTGTCTGCGCAGGGATTAGTGCGACTCAACTCAACCTTGTTAATTCGAGGACACGTGGACAGCTTGTTTGGTTTCAATTTTTCTTTTTTAAACAAAAAATAAATCATATTCACAAAGATATTTGTAGAAAGATATTTTTTTCACTCATCACACAAAGTTATGGCATTGTAATGAGCTATTAATCATTAGGTATCAAACTCACTACAAATAACAACTCACGTAATAATGAGTTACCGATCATTATTCATTAAGTCAGCTTATAACATTCTCCGACTGATTTATGTTTAATCATGTGTAAGATTTAAATAATGTTTTTATCTCCCAGCTTTATATGTTGGTATTAGGTTAATCTATGTATTTAATTATATTTTAAGATAATAATTACAGATTTCTACTTGAATTGTTAAGAGTTCACACTTCACACACTAGGATGTTCTTGGCAGCAAGGATGTCGTGAAATCTCTATGATAACTTCAAGCTAATAATGTGGATCCTACGATTAATTGGGTAGGGACAGAATGGAGGCGATCTTCGAGCTAATGACGGCCTTCTTTATTGAATAGTGATTCAGATAATGAAGATGAACTTTCATTGTTTACAGAACAGTAATGTTAGGGACATTAAATATGTGCATGCACTAAATTTGAGTCTCAAATGATGTGGCAAATAACACATTGTCAATATTTAAATTGATAAACAATAATGTTATACACACCAAACTTTTTTACCAATTTTTATTCACCACCTTATGTGGCATATGAGATGACAATATATGTCATTTACCGTGTCATATTTTACAATTTCATCAATTTTGTATCTTTATCATCAATTTTAATCCACCCAATATTTGTCGTTTAAAAAAAATTTTTTTTTTTTTTTTTTTTTTTTTTTTTTTTGGGTGGTGTCCAAGAGTCCACCGCAACAACATTGTCCATTACAGCGGAAAATATCTCAGGCGGGGGTTGATGATGTGGCCAGCTAGGGAAGCTGCCACCAGGGGTTGCCTATAGTTGATGATGTGGCCAGCTAGGGAAGCTGCCACCAGGGGTTGCCTATAGTTACTATTAGTCTCTCTGCACGCGCTTCCGCGCTTGCAAGAGACCTTTTAAAAAAAAAATTTAAATTTATTTTAGAATTAAAAAGATAATGGGTAGTTGTATTCCATAAAAATAGGATTTATTATATGATTTTTCTTTTAATTTAAATTTTTTTAGATATGAAAATGTGTGAATTTACCATATTATCCTCATTTAATTAATAATTTTAATTCTTAATATTTGGATTAACCAATAGCATTTTCTAGTATTTTGAATGTTTCACAATTCTCTGCCTTTTGCTTTATATATATATATGATGATGTGGCCCACGATATTTGCAGGCAGTATAATAACTACTGGTATGCTTCTTTGCAAATTATTAGTTTGATTCTTCCTTCATCAATATTATTAGTATTTCAAAAAGAAATAGAATTATCGGATATTGAAATTTGATCTTGTTGGTATTTTAGCTGTAATTAGGCACAGTTTGCTACTAGCATCACATAATTATTCTTTTATTAATTACTTCAACATGTTATATTCTGAATTTTTTATTATCTCCCAATGGGTTAAATTAATTATGTTTTTTAGAAAGAAAGACAAACAAAAATCAACATGTCCCCTATGATGCAAGTACATATTATATTATTGACTTGACGCATTAATGGTTTTCGAGGGATGTGGTTTCTCTTCTGCCATACCTTCACGATTTGGATTATATATGTAGGTAGGTGCATAACAGTATTTATCAAAGGGGTTTGTAGCTCAAGAGCTATGCACTCGAGGTCTTAAGTTTTGATTTCTCTCTCTCTTAATATTTTGAGAAGTTACTCGTCCAATATTTCTTTGAACAAGGACAAGATAAGAGAACACAAAATCACATTCAATAATCAGAATGAAAACCTTACTAATTCAAGGTCCAATAGGTGTCATGATATGCTGATGCATGCAACACATAATAATATATAGCCAAATGCTCATGATGGGTGGGTTTCAATTGAAACGTACACATGCAAAATTACTAAAAAACGACCGATAAAATCAAGATCGTTGACTGATAAATTATTTGTAAAAGTGATTTGATTTGCAAATTAATGGTCTCATGTTCGAAGTCCACACTTTGATAGTGTGTTTGAGAAATTCCACCCTTCCTCTCTCAATATCGTTTGTATAAAAAGAAAAAAAAACTGTAACAACAATAATGAGGAGGGGCCCTTGCCAGATTTAACTTGGGCCTCAAACGTATGAGCCCAAACTCAGGCCCATGAGTACCTTCTCTGATGCTGAGGGTTGCGCTTGCGCAATCAAACTCTTGGTGGACGCTCTTTGCACCGTTTCCAACTGACTGACTGCGAGCCGTCGCGCATTTCTTTGACCCATAAAATAAAACCCACAAAGCCATCGCAACAGCCTCCTTCAAACCCAAACCTAAACATTTCTTTGGCTCTGCGAAAAATCGCATCGACTCTTCAGCGCGAAGCTCCATAGCCAGACAGAGAGAGAATGCCAGGCCTAACATGCAACGCCTGCAACAAAGAGTTGGTGGACGACGCGGAGCAAAAGCTCCATTACAAGTCTGAATGGCACCGCTACAATCTCAAGCGCAAGGTACCGTCCATTTTTCATCTTCTTTCATCTGCGTATATATCATTTCTAGGGTTTTAGTTTGATTGTTTTTGTTCAATTTGTTGATTATTCCCCCAATTTGCTGCTGGTTTAAGATAGGAAAAGCAAGGGATTTGAAATTCCCAGACGATGGAATAAGAAAACGAATTCCAATTTTCTGGGGCAAATATGTTTCGTTAGGCGTTTTAGTTTCTTTCTTTTTTTATTGGATCTCAAACAGATATTGGAAATCTTTTTGGATGCTTCATTGTTTAAGATGCCAATCTTTGGATTCTAAGATTTTGGTCTATGACTATGAGCAAATATCAGTTTATGCAGGCATTGATAAAGCTGAGCTGAAGTTGTCTTTAAATTCACTTTTTCCCACAGGGGGATTATAGATTCTGTCTTCTATTTTGGTTTGCGATTAATTAATTTGACATTGGCTACAAATGGTGTCGTCTTGTTAGTACTCACTTGATGAAATTCTTTTATTGAATGTTGTTGTATATTATGGCATGCTGTTGTTGCTTTGTAGCGCAGAATCGTGTTCACTTACATTATTACATACATGTTTGATTATCTTTAATAAATTCTGAAGTATTCTTTAAAATAATCAGGTAGCCGGTGTTCCCGGGGTGACTGAAACATTATTTATAGCAAGACAAGATGCCGTCGCCCAGGAGAAAAATGGTTTAAGTGAAACCCCGATGCTTTACAGTTGTGGTCTTTGTGGCAAAGGGTATAGAAGTTCTAAGGCTCATGCTGAGCATCTCAAATCACGAAGTCACATTCTGAGGGCCTCTCAAGGGACCAGTGATCAAGAAGAGAAGGCAATAATTAGACCACTTCCCAGTCGTGTTGTGAATAAAGCTCCCCCCAAAAGACAGGAAAGTGATGAGGAAACTGAAGAAAGTGAAGATGAGTGGGAGGAGGTTGATTCTGACGAAGACTTGGTTGGTGAGACTGCAAAATCTTTGACTGAAATGAACGTAGATGAGCATGCCTCCAATGAGGATATGGATGAAGATGACTTTGAGGAGTTGGATCCATCCTGTTGCTTTATGTGCGATCTAGAGCATGATACCATTGAAAGCTGCATGGTTCACATGCACAAACAACATGGATTCTTCATTCCTGATATTGAGTATTTAAAGGATCCAAAAGGCCTCCTTACTTATCTTGGTCTTAAGGTACTGAAATACCTTTATGTTCTTTTCCTGGAGAAACTTGTTCCCATTTTGGCTTTTTCTTCAGAGATTGGTTGACTCTTCACGTCTTAAATTTTCAGGTTAAAAGGGATCTTATGTGTCTGTATTGCAATGATAGGCGCCATCCTTTTAACAGTTTGGAAGCAGTTAGGAAGCATATGTCGGCAAAAAGCCATTGCAAGGTACATTATGGCGATGGTGACGATGAAGAAGAAGCCGAGTTGGAAGAGTTCTATGATTACAGCAGCAGGTTATTCAATTTTGTCAATGGCTAATGTGTTATGTTTTTCATTGTAAGCATTACTTTTCTTCTGTATGTGTTTGTATCTCTTAGCTGAACTGCTTCTGTCTTGGTTTTCAGTTATGTGGATGAGGCTGGCAAACAATTGGTTGTATCAGGTGATATGGCAAACAGTGTAGAACTTGGGAGTGGTGGCTCTGAGCTCATCATTACTAGAAGATCTGATGATGGCACATCAACCAAAACACTTGGTTCCAGGGAATATTTGCGCTATTATCGCCAGAAGCTGCGCCCATCACCAACAAATGGTACCGCCATTACAGCTGCATTAGCCTCAAGGTTTGTTCTAATCCCTTATGCTGGGTATTCTCTATAGTTTGACTAAACAATTTGGATCGAGCCTTCCCCTATATTCACGTTGGAAAAAAATGATAACAAATCATGTGGTGACAGAAGTTGTGTTCTGATTTTCAGGTACAAGAGCATGGGGTTGTCGACTGTGCAGTCAAAAGAACGAATGGTCAGAATGAAGGTACTGAAGGAAATGAGAAGATCGGGAGTGGAGGCTATGCGCAGTAAGATGGGAATGAAAAGCAACGTCATCCGGAACCTGCCCAAGAATTGCACATATTAGTCCTCAATTACTCCTATTTCTGGAGTTGAATGAATGTTGGAGGCCTAAAGTTTCAGTAAGCACTTTTAAGTATCTTGGGTTGGTTGTTTAAGACCGTTTGAGTATTCATAGCAAGTGGCAAGATTTCTTTTGTATGAACTACAATTTACCAATAGCAATATTTTGCAAGTGTTATGGTATGAAAGTCTATGTTTTGTACGAAATATATATTTTTTCTTCCTACGTAATTAGAAAAACAATTTTAATATTTATGTTAATTCGCAGGAGATACTTCTTTATGTTTTTTTCATGGTTATCTTCTGGGAAGATGTGGCTGCTTAATATGTGCTTTGTCCTGTTGGTTAATTTTGAATTAGGATATTTAACAGTCCCGTTTCGTTCATGGGAAAGGAGGATTGGAAATGAGAATTCAATTGCTTTCCCATGTTTGGTAAGTCCAGGCATGAGAAATGGTTGCCTGGCACATGGGAAAGTAAGGGGGAAAGTGAAGCTCTCCTTTTAACTTGGGTTTTGTTTTCCCTCATGAGAAAGTTTGGAAAAATGAGCCAACATTCAATGCACAATTTTCATGACTATTTTGTACCTATGAACAATTTATAATTGCAATGTATCATTAAATGTATTCTTTTTTTATTTGATTTAATATGGATATAATTGGAAAATTATACAAACTTTGTTTTCCATTTCTACTCAAAACAAACATGGGAAAGGAAACAAAGTGAAATCTCCCGGTTACTTTCATGACATTACCAAACGTGGGAAATGAATCTTTCATTCACATTCTTGGAAAATGACATGGGAAATGATTTCCCTTTAAATCCATTCCGTGAACCAAATGAGGCCTAAGAGCATCCACAATAGAATCTATAAACCACCTCATTGGATAGAATTTAGGAAGGAAATGAGAAAACCCACCTCCAAGTTCCAACTCCTAAAATAGGAAGACCTTTTGGAGCTCCTAAATCTGAGGAGAGATAAAGAATTTCTAGTGGCTCCCTATAATTAAATGCTATTTTAATTTAATGTTATTTTAAGTATTTATTTAATGATAACTATTTATTATATATATATATATATATATATATATAAAGCAAAAGGTAGAGAATTGCGAAACATTCAAAATACCAAAAAATGCCCTTAGTTAATTCAAACATTAAGAATTAAAATTATGAATTAAATGAGGATAATATGATAAATTTACATTTTTTTTCATATTAAAAAAATTAAAATAAAAAATAAAATCAGATAATAAGTCATACTTTTATGAAATATTACTCATATTATCTTTTCTTAATTCTAAAAATAAAATATAAAATAGAACCAATTGGCACATGCTTGAAGGGGCTAGTTTTATATAAAGAGGGAGAATTTATGCTAAAATAAAAAAATAAAAAAATCATTTATGATTTCCTAAACTAGGAAGCATAGTTGGAGTTGAAATTTTATAAAGAGCTCCTAAAATAACTTTATATATTGACAACATTTTGAAAAAATCCCACGCAAAATGGCATCTCTTTTAGACTATCATTGAAAATGCTGTAACAAGAGAGATGTCTTTGTCTTTGGAACATAGGCGGAAGAGATCAATTCGGGTAGAAAGAAAAAGATGCTGATATAAATTGGTCACTCTAAAAAGTAATTACATACTAATTATCGATTTGGCCAACAAAGTCTAGCCAGTGCCCAGTGGAAAAAGGTCTTGACTTGCATTTCGAAATTTCATGACACCTTGATCATGTTTATGACAAATAGCCCCCTCCCCCTTCCTGACGTTGGAAAAAAGAAAATTATCGATTTGTGAAAGAAAAAATCCATTCACATCATCGTCACCAGGCAAGAAAAGATTTTCAGCCATGCATATTTTCAGGATTATAAAAGTAAAAAGAAAAAGAAAAAATTAATTTTAAAACTTTTACAGGTGTGCTGAGAAAATAAGCTTAAAGACTAACGAGTGTAGAGAAAGTGTGAGTGAGAAGGGGGGAAGGAGATTTTGGTGACTACAGTAAACACTAAATTAGTCCACAAATTAATAAGATATGAAGCAAAGGTTAGACTTTTAAGCAACAAAAGGGACCCATGGAACCGATGGATGTGTCATGTAATGTCCAATCAGCACACCTCATTGCAGATCTAACAATATACAATCCAGATGTAGCTTGCTTTTACATGTAAACAAACCACTGAAGAGATCCACAGCAATCTCTTTCTTGCCCCTTCACTTCTACTCTAGTTAAGCACTGCCACAAGATATATAATACAGATCTAATGAGATTTACTTGTTCACAAAATAGCGCTAAAATTCATGGAATTGATAGATGTACTGTACACAGAAAATGAGTTGGTTTTTATTTATTTATTATATACTGGTATAGATAGATTACTTCATGAAAAGGCCATTGTAGGGAAAACTTCACCTGCACAAAAGAGGATGCGTAAGATCCATGTGTAGAGCATACCTAAATGTCATAGAAGCGAGAACGACGTCTACGTGAACTGCAAATAAAAGAGCAATATGCATAAGTTTTAGGTAAAGACTAGAAACCAATCAACTCTACCTACTCTTACAAAACTAAAATGAGAGCAATAAAGCTCAACAGTTAGTATGCGCATGTGCAAGTGCTGAGCTCCCCAAACCCCTACTTAAAGAGATTCCTACTGGCACAGGTAGCTAGTCCAACGAGAAAATGAATCATATGGTGCATTGTTTAAGTTTATTTCAATAAGATGGTGTACTAGATTTCTTGCAGCAGGTGTCCTCGCCATGACTAGGTGGGGATATACGATATTAAAAGATAAGTTATGCGTTCCAATTTAATTCATAAAAGTTGATGTACAAACACAACTGTAAATAGAAAGATACTATCAGCCAAATCATGCAGGCAAAGATTAAAATCCAAAGATACAAGAATGAAAAAGAAACATCACAAACCTGCGATGACTGGAGCCACCCCTGGAGGAGCCATTTGTACTCATAAAATCATCATCAGTCTCATCTGCTCTATACTCAGGGAATTCAACAGATGCCACAGAACCTTCATCAGAATTCGAATTATCGTAGCTTGCTCGGCGACTTCCTCTTCTTGCATCACCAACTCTTGACCTTCTTCTGTTTCTAGAATTTCGTAAGTTATCAAAAACCTGATATAAGATACAGGAGGTCCACCAGTTACGTTCGTCCCCATGGAAGTCCTCAAACTCATCTCCAGTCTCATCATCACCATATTCAATCACATAGTCTCCTAAAACCACCCCACGAGGGACTTCTGAATGAATAGTGCTCAAAACATCTATGATCTCGGAGGACTGCTGGAAATTATCCCAATCAAGCTGCCGAGCAGGATCAATTTTTGAAGGACGAGAATGAGGATGCTCTAGTTGAGCATGTTTTTGCAATTCCAAGTATGTACCCATAAACGTACATTGATGCTCCTCACAACAACGCTTCTTCACATCCAGATGTCTACGAGCCTTGTCAACAACAACCCACCCAGTAACTTCACCCCTACACAAGGGACAAGTAGGCCTGCAATCTTCTTCTGATGCCATTTGTTCAGTATTTACTGCAGGACTCACATCAGATTTTGAAGGAGATGACATACCATATGCACTTTTGAAACGGTCTAAACAATTGGAGTGTAAGTGGTTTGTATCACAAACAAAAGCATGGCATCCTTTCTCATAAGATGAGCACTGAAGGAGTACACCGTTGTGAGGGAAATCCAAACATATAGGACAAGTCACATCTTCCCAATTTGTATTTAATTCAACATCTTCCATATTGAATGAACTGGGTTGAAGCCCAACTCCTCTTTCATTAGAGGCTTTAAAGGCCATGAAGGGGGCTATTATTTAGAATTAGCACAAGCACATGACAATGCACCCCACACTTGGATCAGCGCACCACTTAACCAATGGGAATTCTGAGAATAAACTACACAATCTTCCAGGTCAACAGTCACTTATCCCATATGATAGCATCCTACACAAGGCTGTAAATGATCACAATAAGTATGGATGGATGGTGAAACGCAAGCTATATGAAGAACTGCAAAATTGTTCCCTACATTCTATACTCTGGATGAAAATTTTAATAACCTATAATTAAAAATAAAATTTCCACTGACTGGAGTTATTACAGCACATTAGAGGAACCTTATAAAGGACATAAACCGACGGGATATTAGATTGTAGTGAGCCAAGAAACACCAGTTTTGAACAACACAAAACTCAAACCAGTTTAAAAAACCTCACAAAACTGCTCTTAGATTAGCATACTACCTTTATCTATGACCTAAATGTTCAGCATGATAGCAAGAAAAGTAGGCTTTGCAGAGAATCCGGACTAAATTTTTTTGAACAGAGGCCGGTAAAACATGTTCAGTAAGACATTTCTTTTTTTCTTAGAAAGCAGCCATGACCTACTATATGGATTTAGCTAAGCTGAGTAACCAAACAATATAGAACACAATAATATCTATTTATAAGAACAATCTATTTAATTCTTCTGAGTTGGTTGCAGTAGCCAAGATGTTACGCGGTAAGTTTATCTCCAATTCTTCAGGTTTAGAGTTGAATAGAACAACCAAAAGAAAAGTCAACAGGCGCAAACAGCCACCACAGGAAAATCAATTTCAATAAGCAACTTCTTCAGCTATTTTAAGACTAGTATTTGACTTTAATCAAATTCAATAACCCATTACCCATACGCTTCATACATACTAGCAAACCCAGCAACAACTCTTAACGATTCGAAACTATCCATGAAGCTGAAATGGGGTCAATAACAAACTAATCAATCCAAAATTATAAACATTAAATAAATTGATTAAACCTGCATAAACACCAAAGATTCATAGTTATTCTGAGCAAATATGAATCAGAATCAATAAGCAATCACACAACACACACAACTGATCAAACCAGGACTTGGGTATTCAGTCAACTGGCAAATGATCCAACAAAACTAACAAGGCAGCAAAATCATTGAAGAAATGTTAAAAGATGAAACATTTACGCTAATGGGTATTCACTTAAATTAAAAAAGGCCAAGGCCAAAAATTGAGGCACAACAATAAAAATTGGAAGAGAAAAACGAAACCCAGAAACTGAGACACAAAATTTGCAACCTGGCTCACCTAATATGTGAGAATCTTCGATTGAAAAATGCAAAACCCCTCTGGGTAGAGACAGGGAGAGGCAGGGAATGAGAGAATTTTAATTTCCTTTTCTTTTTGTTTTGTTTAATTTATGAAAGTAAAAGAGAGCATTCTTGGTCTCTCTTCCTTTATGCGTGTGTGATTGGGGAGAATGGTCAGTTTTCTGAGGAGTAGGTAGGGTCTCTTTCTCTTTCTTCCTTTTTTTTTTCTTTCCCAAAAGAATGATATATAAAAGGCAAATTATACATCCAAAATTGTTGGTAAAATGACTAATATACCCTTATGCTTCTTTGACCAAACTCATGTGACAGTGACAGAATCCATTAGGCTAGCAAGCCATTCACACTGAACTTCTTTTTTTTTCATATGTGGGGAGTGGATTATGGATTGTCTGCTGCTTAAACCATAAAATTTGTTTTTCTTTTTGGGTATATTCTATAGGCATGTAATTTTGTTTTTCCTTCAATTAGTTACTATATTTGATAATGAATGTATTTACATACATGTGTATATTCCACATACATAAGAACAGTATTTTTTTTCTTGTTTAATATGTTGTGCTTTTAAATTGATAATAGGAATCATTGATTAAGGAACAGTATTCGCAATCCTCGTATTAGAGAGATAATCAGTAATGTGGTCAATATAGTAAATGTAATATTCTGCTTAAGAGATTTTTCAGATATTATTACGCAATAATACTAAGCGTTACTGAATTATAATAATGTCTAAATGATTGATCAATATAAATCAATAAGCAACCTAAAAGTAAATCATAGTAATAATTTCGTTTTCTATCATTTTGTTGGGGTTTAAGTGCTTCATTTTGTCATTATTAGTAAAAGTTGCTTTTTATTATGTCATGGTTCATCAAACATCAACCAAAGTTGACCCAAAAAAACATCGATCAAATTGACTTGCATGTGAGGTGTGGAGTTGTACCCACTTTGGTGGGCGGTAACCCGGTTAAGTACTTGCATGTTCCAAAAAAGTCAAGCTCCTTGCAATTCATCATTCCCCAAACTCCAAAGTACCACAATTACCATTTTTTTTTTTTTTTTTTTTTTTTTTTTAATTTTTAATTTTATTTATTTTATTTTCTTGTGTAATAAAATGTCATTTTCGCAGTAAACAACAAAATATTAAAACACCAAAAAAAGAAAAAAAATAATATTGAAGCTTTCAATAATATTTATTAGACGTGCAAGTGTTAATCGATTTTCATGATCTCTTAGGACATTGTTTATTCAAAATGACAAGTGGCTGATTTTAATACCTAATTATTTTAATTAGAATGAGAAATCTCTTATGACATTGTTTATTCAAAATGACAAGTGGCTGATTTTAATACCTAATTATTTTAATTAGAATGAGAACCGAATAAAGGAACCAATTTTTTTTTTTTTTTTTTTTTCTCTCTCAATTCTCTCACATCAATCAAATTTCATATAGATCCTATGGTATATCATGGATTTCATCTCGTGCTAGAGAGTTGAGAGAAATTTAAAAAAATATTGAATTACACAACATTTGTTGAAGGAAGAATAAAAGATAGTCAACCTTTAAATGTGAATATTAATCCTAGAATGATATTTCTCTGTAGTTTGCATGCGATTTGGATTCGCTCAAACGTAAATAGTTTGTAAATAATTGCGTGCTTGGAATTTTCTAGTTTAAAAATAACATAAATAGTTTTTTTTTATTCAATAAGAACATAAAAAAGATGAGAAAATTACACACCAATGAGCAATGACTTTCACAAATTGGGTTTCTTTTTCTTTTTGTATTTTTGTAATTTATTTTTTAAGAACAAGTCGGGGTTTAGAAATAACTTAAAATGAAAGGGAGAAGAAACCATTTTATCAAGTGTAAAACACTAATTTATTCTTCTCTCTCTTGGCAAAGGAAAATGAAATGGAGAAGAAAAATTGACAAATATGAATTTTCATTTTAAATAATTAATATTCTAGACCTTATATTAACCACTATGCATGAAAGAACCAATAAATTTTACAAATGAGTCCTCTACAAAGTACAAACCACTTGGTGTGGTGTACATGTGTATATGAAGTTATGAGCCGAGACTGCTTAATGCACATACAACAACCAAACCCCAAAATTGTTATAAAGAAAACAATTCAACCCCAAAATAAAACCACTTTTAAAACTGACCTAAACCCTGAAACGCCATTGCGGGTTGGTATGAGTGTATGACCAATTGATCATATTCTCCCTGCACAACCGGAACGGTGAATGAACTATTTCTGCTCCTCTATAATCCGGGTTACAATGCCAACGGCAATAGTGCTTCCTAATGCCCTTAAAAAAGCCCTCCCAAGGGCTCTAGAATTAGAGAACTCTTCCACACAAACTGGCTGCTGCAAAACAACCTGAAATAAGAGCAGGAAAGGATTGGTTACTATTGATACCAAAAGTACAGTACAATTAACCTGCAAAACAGCAAGGAATGGTTTTGATATTATTCACCTCTACAATGGCGTTCTGCTTTGCAGTAAGACAGCGAGGAGCCTTTCTTGCCACTTTGCCAGTCTTGGGATCAAGTAATGACGATATTTTTACAACTCTGGCAGCCTCCTTTGCATGGTGTATGTGAAATTCCAACTGCTCATTCCAGTCATATTAGATCGCTTTCCATAAAACAACAGTGATGCAAACAGCAAAGTAATTTGTCACGCAAATAAAATACAGACCTGAGAGCCAATTAAAATTGGGGTTGTAACATCCAAAACCAGCACCTTCAATTCCAAATGTTTTGCAACTGCAACTGGGAAACCAGGGTGACAGAGCACACCTCCTGCCATCACATGACCTCCATCTATGCCTTGCAGAGTAACAGCCACATTGTCACCAGCTCTCGCAATTACACAAGCCTGAGAGTCACGTTCTAAAGAGCGTACGGTCCCTAATTCTCCCGAAGGCATAACCAGAACCTACACAATTAACTCATTATGGCTACAGTACAAGGAAAGATACAAGGGTGGTGGAGCAAAGGAACTGTTCACTCATATATAATTGATTTGGTTAGACCAGAAATCTGATTATAAAATGGATTACTTGCATTAGAACATGCATGAGCCTGTCATCAAATCGTATGGATCAACTTTATCCAAGAAATAACAAGAGACACAGACAGCCAATTCAATAGCTCATGTCAATAAAAACCACAGCGCAATAAACTGTTGCTATACAAGTATAAGCAATTCCTATTAAACCCAATTGCCTGAACGTACAATTGGATTTTATTGGAATTGTTTATACACAGGACAATGTTCTCTTGTCAGACTGTTAATTTAGACCACACCAACAAAATCCAATTGTGTGAATGTACTGTTCCATTTCATTGGAATTGGTTCTCTTGTCAGACTGTTAATTCAGACTACACATTTAAAGTTTCAAACACGATCCACCTGATCAATAGCATAGAATGCGGATCATCAACCAGTCTGATAAAAGAATATTTTCCCATATGCATACTTACATGTAAGTATGTACATGTGCGTGGATATTCTTGAACATATGAAATCTATGGTTTTAACTGATTCACTGAACTATCCATTTGGGAAGGGACCAAACTTTTAGTTAGATTACTCACAACGACATCTAGTACTACCCACCAACATACCTTGAATCCACTTCGGAGAGCTCCAGCTTCCAATTTACCACAAGCAGATACCTGTCCTTGTGAAGAAGATTTAATGACATCACATATAGGCATGAGCAGTGGCTTTGAAAACTCTCTTGTGGGAGGTTGGAGGGAATCAATTGCATCCAACAGGTAAGGTCCACGGTACCTGCATTTCAGTTACCTCAGACTATTTTTCATTTACAATAACAGCTGCACAAAAGGAAAAGTTCTCCAACAAATTTCATTAAGATGCTACATTATTTACTTCTTAGGGTGAGCTACTATCAGAACATGAGCATAGGATTGCATTATATGGGCCCTAAAGAAGATATTTTACATAAAACAAGTTACTATTCCATTATTTTCAATACAATGGCTTCCAAATGATCTGAAGAGTTCACATAAGTAAAAGATTAAGATCCTATGAGAGAGGGAAAAATTCCATAACAACAAAAATCTGCAATACCCTAATATTAGACCCTATAACTAAGCCCACTAATAAACTAATACCCACATTCTAAAACTAATAAATAGAAACTAAATAATAATAAAAACTTGATTTCTAAGTTTGCTCCTGCGTATAAAATAAATACTACTTTTCTTCTCATATCCATCATCGGTAGTGATTTTGAATAGATAAAAAAGCAAGCAAACTCACCAAGAAGAAAAACGGGGATCAGAAGGAGCTTCTACCAAATTCTGATTTTCCATGGCACTCAGTGGAATCCAAGACACCAAAGAATCTTTGAAGCCACAGGAACGGAGAAATGTTCCAAGTCTCTGTTTAATAAAATCAAACCGATCCTTGGAGTACTCAACAATATCCATCTTGTTCACGGCAACTATAATTTGATCAACACCAAAGCTTCTGATAAGTTGTGCATGCTCCTTTGTCTGTCCCTTGCTACCATCCACACCAGCTTCGAATGCGCCAACTGAAGCATCTATGAGAAGTATTGCAGCATCAGCTTGTGTTGCCCCAGATATCATGTTTGGAACAAAATCTTTATGGCCAGGGGAGTCGAGCACAACAACATGATATTTTCTGGAATCAAAATATGCAACGGCCACTGTCATAGTTATTCCTCTTTCCCTTTCTTCTGCACTCTCATCCAATGCCCAAGCATATGCGAAAGACCCCTTACCCTGATTAAATCATGAACCCAAGTTGAACACAAGATTTGAGGTTCTGAAACACTCAAATACTAAATTGCAATGAGGTTACCTGTAACTTTGCCTCTTTCTCATATTTGTGCATTTCTTTTTTAGATATCCTTCCCAAAAGATGAAGCAGTCTACCTGAGAGTGTTGATTTTCCAGAATCAACATGGCCAACCTACAATAACAAGTGAAATAAAAATTGGCTTCATTTCCTATTAAGTAGTAGTAGTAATAATAGTAGGAGGAATAGGATTATAAGACCATAATCAAGTGGCTTACTATTGCAAGATTTAGTTGAGTCAGTGTATCTACAGCTTGGTCAGGGAGCATCCACTTTTCAGGTTTGTAGTCCGCTTGCGAATGAGATCCTCTAACATTAACATTATTAGAAGATCCAGATCTAGCATCCAAATCCAAATTTTTCAAGCCACTGGTAACACTCTGCTGCTTGCCCCTAATCACAGAAGAATTTGTGCTCTCATCCACAGTGTCATGTCTGCTTCTTGGCTGCGATGCCGACGAACTATCAGACAATCTACCATTTGCTTGTAAAGTAATTATGTCACTACTTCCATCGTGATAGCTGACTGTCCGATTCTCCAACTGGTTTCCCTCATCAAATCTATCTTGTTTACTTCTTTGCCCTATTGCAGAGGAGCTATCTGACCATTCAGCACTTGATAGTACACTAACTGCACCACTCTTCTTAGCAACCTTCAAGGAAACTTTTGAAGATTTCAAGTCACTAACACTGGCTGCAAGTAAAACATAGTAGAAGACTGTATCAAACATCTAATCTCAGAAAAGCTAAACAAATGCATTTTAGAAAAATGACCAATAAAGCATGTAGTCTTCTGAAAAATAGATGATTAAAAGAACCTCTTAGTGCACTAGGCAAATATTATATGCAATCAGTTATGGTAGCAGGTTTCTTCTCAGTCCAGAACCAACCAAACAGTTTCTCAATTACGGGCCTGAAACAACCCATTGTTGAAGACCCCCAAACAAGCTCAAGCCATGAAAAGTTCTGTCCAGGTTTGGCAAGAACTTCTAGATCTTTTATATCATAAGTTAGCTTATATTATAAGCACAATAAAACTTTTAAATTTCAAAATAGCATTCCTCTAGCTCTCTCCACAGCTTACTATATTAATATGGGAACTTTTCTCTATAGACTGGAAGTTGTGATTAATGCAATTCACATCACGATGGAACTTTGATAAAATAAGAAAAGTATACCTTTTGAACCCGTTCTAGAGGACCACAATCCATTAGAAACCAAATCATCTGGGGATGGCACATCAAACTTGAAAGGAGCTGTATCATCAATGCAATTAAACTTAGAAGTCGCAAGATATATGTCACAGCTATATCGAATGATATTTTTTAAGAAGCAAGATGGTAGAATGCTTGGATTAAAAAGCATCTCTCAACTGTGAAAATGATGATCTAATTCTACTCCACGTCATCTTTTGGAAAAGGGTGCAGACCTATATTAATATGGTGATTGTTATGAATGTTAAAAGCATTATAGAATTCATGAATAGGTCCTTGGAAATCCCCAAGCTTGTGGAAATTATTGCCCTCTTCTATCACAAAATCATCTTTCTGCTGATGAAATAGTACAGCCTGTTTGGGTATCTGGCGCGGCAATGATGCAAAAAGAGACTTGGCCATTATGGATGCTCCAGAATCTTTGCATCTGCCTTCAACTGCATGAAAGATATCTACTCTAAAAAAGGGCAATGAACTTGATTTTTATTTTGTATTTTATAGGATGCAATGAACTTGAAATGAAACCTGAGTAACAAGGACACTAACATAGAAATATTTGCCTGAAACAGATGAGATCCACCCAAAGGGTGATCTCAAATGAAAGTTAGATTAAATATAGTATCCTTTCGCAAACCAAAAGATACATACAAATTCTTCTTATATTGCAAAAAGGAAACAAGGGCTAAGGAAAAGGAGTGTCCTTGTCACACAGAACTCCAATCAAAAAATAAAAATCATAGAGTAGTAAATTATATTGTGAAGCCTATGATACACTTATTACCTGTTTTCTTATCACTATTGCTTTTCACCACAGGGTTTCGAAGAACCCCACAAATGTCGCATGCAGACATGCTCCCCTCATTGTCGTACGTGCAAATGGAACAACGCCAGACCTCAGGCCTTTCAGTTTCCCGCTTTGACTCAAGTGCTTTGCCTGTTAAAGCAATTACATGTTGAGCAGTTGGTATAACATAACATGTATAATATCAGCACAACAGCTGCATATCTGAAGGGTAATTATTAGTAAACAAACTATGTAAACAGATAAATAAGGATTTATTGACAGAGACTTCGCAGTTTACAAACTTAGCTAGCATTTTTCTGATTGCAAGGTAGCACGGCATCATATGAGATTTTCAAAAAATAAAAAATTGGACAAGCCAACTTCTTCTAGATTGCACAAACATCTTTCAATCTAAAAGTGAATTGAACCTTTGTGCTTTTTGAAGATTGAACCAACACAACAGATCACTGAAGCCAATATACACTTGTATCAAAAAGGGAAATAAGCAAGGGAAAAATTACTCCAAAACCCGTAAAATAACATGCAGAGTGAAACTGATCTGATTACCCACTCTTCTACTCAATGAAACATAAAACTTAAATACACTATCAAAAGGCCACTGTCAACCAATGGCAATAGCCTCAAGAAGATGCGACTAAGGGCACAACCAAACAAGATAAAGCCCGGGTGAAACAATGAAATAAATTCAAGTTAAAAAAGTCACTAACCATTATTTTTTATGGCGGAATCATCATCATAATCATAATCATAATCGTCATAGACATCGTAGTCATCATCATAATCAACTCCGTAGTTTACTTTATGAGGCATGGTCCTACGGAAAGAAATGGCTCAATTAAAGACAAAAGAACTTACATACAGAAAGCCAACTTTAATCCAACAATAAAATGTGTATACGAAACTGAATGAACCAAAGAGGGACATACCCAGAAGATGCATGCACCGAGCAACCCTTATGAGGGTTGATTTAACAAATGTGAACTTAATCTAATTCACAACAATGGTTTTTCAATGCTGAAAACTATTGTACGAGTTTGATTTTGAGCTCTGGAATATATTGCTCTGTCTTTCTCCCACATGAATGAAGCTGCACCCAAACATACATGTCCACAAAAAATCAGTTCTTATTACAAAATTGAAATGCTCTGTTTTCTTAAAACAATAAGAATCTGAAACATCAAAAACTGAAGCAATTTAGAGAAAATAAAAGCATATTCGAATCGACAGTTTTCTCAGCAACCAAGCCACGTTTGGAACAACTTGTTAATTACACATTCACGCCGAATGAGATTTTGAGGGGAAAATTCAGTTGAATTTGCACCAGTCTCCACCCAAGTAATATCCAATAAAAGAAATTCGAATAAATAAACAAGCAGAGACTGCCGCACATTGAAATTCGATGGATTCCAACGCTTCACCGAAAGAATTAGGGTTTACCTGGTGCAGAAGAAGTAGTGACGAGCAACGGAGAAGACGGTTCTTTTTCTTTCTCTTCTTCTTCGTTTTCTCTGGCTCAATACTGGACTGGATATCAAGGAGGAAATTGAAGGAAGAGGTTACCTGAACACACTCTCTTCCTAATATAAAACGTTGAAAAGAGAGAGAAAAATAAAAACCTTTCCTGATATGCGAAAACGAAAAAGGTCCTTTTTTATTTATTATTATTATTATTATTGCAATCGTTATCAGTCAGGAATGGTTCATTCATTCATTCTATTATGTTTGCTTTTAAAAACAATTTTTTTTGGTCAGTCTTCCACTAGCCAAATCATAATTTAACGTAATTTAATATTTTAATAGTAGAGCCGAACGGCTATACTCTTTAAATATATGCGAATATTTAAAAATATATTTAAAGCATATAGCCGTGCGGCCATAATCTTTTGATATCAGTATAGCCGCTCGGCTAAAAATATATTTAAAGAGTATAGCCGTGCAGTTATACTCGTTTACTTTATTTGAATATTTTAATAGTATAGCCGCCCGGCGATACTCTGTTCGCTGATGGACTTCAACTCATGCTCACCATCTGAACCAGGAGTTGTTTTTGTTGCATCCACTAACAGGCGCGAAGCAATTGTTCCGAAACTAGATTTGCCTTTTCGAGTTAAAATTGAAGTTACTGTACCTACTGAAGAAGAACGCTTTCAATTTCTCAAGCTCAAAACGAGACAGCTTCCTTTGATTCCAACGTTGACCTACAAGCCTTAGCTGCATCTTGCAAGGGATTTGTTGGGCCTGACCTTGAAGCTTTAGTTCGTGAGGCTGCTGTGCGTGCAAATAAAAGGAACTCATATGCAAATAAAGATGCTGGTGTGTTAAGCTTAGCAACAGAAGACTTGGAGCATGCAATGTCTGAGGTTAAAGCAATTATAACAATACCAAAGTGACTTGGGAAGATATAGGAGGATTAATAAAGATGTGAAGGTAAAACTTGTATTCCGAAGGTTAATTGGGAAAATGTTAACGGAATCTGTAATATGGCCTAAAAAAACACCAGGATGCATTCGAGCGGTTAGGTATTAGGCCCCCAACAAGGATTCTGATGTTTGGTCCTCCTGGATGCGGCAAAACCCTCATGGCTCGTGCTGTAGCTTCTGAAGCACGGCTGACTTTCCTTGCTGTGGAGGGTCCAGAACTTTTGAGCAAATGGGTTGGTGAATCTGAGAAGGCTGTGAAATCCCTGTTTGCAAAGGCAACGACTAATGCCCCAGCAATCATATTCTTGGATGAAATTGACAGTCTTTCTGCTATTCGTCAGGGTTTGGCTTCAGATAGGGTTACAAGTCAGCTGTTTTTTGAATTGGAAGATTTGCATGCAAGAGATTGCTGCTACAAGAAGGCCGGACAAACACTCTCAACACAAGGTACCACTGACTGATCCCTGCTGCCATGCATGATGCATTTGCTTGCTTGGTTGCTTTGGACTTCATTTGTACTTAAGAAAAATAAAAAGTAATAAACTTCATTTGGAAGTGCTTCTTCTAAGTTTATCTGATTTTTTGCAGCAGGTTTTCAAGCCTTGGAAAGTTGAGACATTTGAAGAAGATGGGATTTTGGTTTTGGAGTTTGAAGAGGCACTTCCCATTGGACCAGGAGTTTTGGGTATTGGGTTTGAAGGAATTTTGAATGACAAGATGAAGGGATTCTATAGAAGGTGTGTTCTTTGAATTCTGAGTTTGTTAAATTGTTACAGTCAATAATATTATTACATTTCAATAGTATAGATATGTTTAAACTTTGATTCATTCTGTGCAGTACATATGAGCATAAGGGTGAGAAGAAAAATATGGCCGTTACACAGTTTGAACCGGTTGATGCCAGGCGGTGCTTTCCATGCTGGGATGAACCTGCTTGGAAGGTAGTGATTTTGTTTAAAGCGATTCTGGAGACTTAACATAGTTGTAATTTCATCTTTGAGTCTACTAGAAAAGAAAGAGATATAATTGACCCCGTTCATTCTTATCGGAACTTTGATTGACAGGCTACATTCAAGATTAGATTGGATGATGTTCCATCTGAATTAGTAGCTCTCTCCAACATGCCGGTTGTAGAAGAAAAAGTGCATGGACATCTGAAGACAGTTTCATTTCAAGCATCACCAATCAGGTCTACATATTTGGTGGCCGTTGTTGTTGGGTTGTTTGATTATGTTGAAGATCATACATCTGATGGTGAACTCATACACAATGTCCCTTGTTTTGTATGTATGTTAGTACAACCTTTTCTTGGTGGTGTCACTTTTCATCTCGTCATAGGGGTCAAAGTGCGGGTCTATTGTCAAGTTGGTAAGGCGAACCCAGGGAAGTTTGCTTTGAACGTTGCTGTCAAGACTTGAATTTTACAGAGAGTATGTTTTTGGATCACAATACTACAAAAATTACAAATCATTCATATTCAAATTTGAAGTTACACTTGATGCATGTTGTGGATTATAAGTAGTAGTTTCTCTAGTTTTTTTTCCCTTCCCTGCTAATTCTGCATCATTATATTTGACATTCAAAATTGAATCATTGACGAAATGTTTGACAGTTACTTTGCTGTGCCATACTCTTCGCCCAAATTGGATATGGTTGCAATCCCTGATTTTCCTGGCGCCATGGAGAATTATGGTTTAGATACATACCAAGAAACAGCTTTGCTCTTTGATGAACAGAATTCTGCAGCTGCAAACAAGCAATGGGTAATATACACATCCTAAATGTCACTCTAGCTTTCAGAATTGAGCTTGGTTCATATGATATGTAGCTGTTGTTTGTGAACCCTAAAGAAATGTTTCATAGTTTCATTTGGAATTTGTGAAAGGTTGCAACTGCCATGGCACGTGAATTGGCACACCAGTGGTTTGGCAATCTTGAAACGATGGAATGGTGGACACATTTATGGCTGAACGAGGGATTTGCAACATGGGTATCACTTCATTTCACTTGTTGTAATTGTTGGACTTAAAGTGAGTATTTTAACGCCATTAGGTGAGCTATTTAGCTACTGATAGCATATTCCCAGAGTGGAAAATGTGGACTAAGTTTCTTGATGAAATTACTGGGGGTCTTAAGCTCGATGGGCTTGAAGGATCTCACCCCATTGAGGTATTACTACGTGGACTAAGTCTTTCCATGGTTTTATTTTAGTTCTGTTGTCCAAAATTTTGCTCTTTGGCGGCATCAAACCTAGATCACCTGCATGACAGGCTTTAAATAGTAATATTCACCACTGTACTTTGCAGGGCATAATTTATTGAAGAGTATTAGTATATATGTGTTTCGGGTATATTATGTTTTAATCTTTCTTCGTTTTGGCCAGGTGGAGATCAATCATGCTACTGAGGTTGATGAAATAAGGGAGCTTCTGTTATCCGGATGCTACAGAACTATATTGATGCTGAATGCTTCCAGGTTGGTACTTTGGTTTGTTAGCAAGTATCCTTGAAGATTGAAGCAACTATCTTATTTCTGAAATTTTTACATTTATGTCATGGAAATTTCCAAAAAATCAAGGCTTCTGGGCATGCAGGACTTTTAGAGGATAGAGATCTTGAGGAGGTTGTTGGATTGTGATGTGAAATACTGAGCTAGCTCAATATCTAGTTCCTTGGCACAATCATGCGGAGCTTAATTATAGTCTTTTTTTGTTGTTAGAAGAGCTTAATCATAGTCTTTTAGCATAAATTTGATGCTGGGCTGATCTTGTCCCTTAAATCTATCCATAATGGCTGTGGTCTTGTTTGTGTATGCCATAAGTTATACAGTTAATGAAATAGAGTAACCATTTATGCTATATCTAAACTGTATAGCCGTGCGGCTATACTCTTTAAATTTTTACGAATATACCATATAGCCGCGTGGCTATACCCGTTAAATTTATACGAATATTTAAGAAGTCTAACCGCACAGCTATACTGTTTAAATATATACGAATATTTTAATCGTATAGCCGCTCGGCTATAATCTTTAAATAGCCGAACGCCTATACGTTTTAACTGTATTCGAATATTTTAAACGTATAGCCGCGCGGCTATATTGGAATCTTTAACTATATTATCTTTAATATTTATTTCTTTTTCCGTATAATATTCTAGTATTTATTCATTGGTACCTGGACAACTTATAAAAAGATATATTCAGTTCGTATGGCGATTCTTCTGGCCACGATTTAAGAATATTATGAGCAGTGCACGTGTGCCGACAGTAATCTTGAAGGTTCTTTTTCTAATTTTACAGAACAAAGAGAGTTTCAAAGTTAGATTAGCTTAATTATATTAGCTCTGTTTTTGTTTTTTAATTTAGCAATATCTGAGCTATTGTTTTATATATTTGAGTGAATTTGAAGAAAAAAAAGAAAAAAGAAAATCAATTTAGTTAGATAAATTTTCACTGTTCGATCAATTATCTAACTTCCCTCGTAAAATTAACTTTAAACCGTTCATAAAATCTGAATCAAAAGGAGAATTTCGTGATTTGCCCCAAAAACTGCAATTGGTTTGCAGATATCTATACCAAATAATGTTTCTATACAGATGCAGCAGTGCACGTTTTTCATGTACAACATTTGCAAGGCAATTTACAACTTGACACAACAGGCTGTCGTCCAATAAAACGGTGTAAGATTCGTGTCGTATAATATACTCGTTATGTAGTAAAACTTTGTCACGTTTAGCAGCTAACTCCAAAAAACTTTGGTCTACCTATCAGCTAACACAGACTCACTCCATGAAAGCATCAGATCTCGCACAACGGTTGGAAAATCTGCACGTCCCGACACAAAAAAGAAAGCCAAATGTGGTCAACAAATGTAGTACAAATAATTTTGATCGTAACCTAACATTTGAGTTTAAAAGGGTTAAATGAAGTTTTTACCTCGCGCTACTTCCACAGCAACTGACGGTACGTCTATCTGATCCTCAACCAGTCTATACACATCCACAAGCTATAGAGAATGGCATATCGACAAGCAGCTTGTCAAAATTTAGTCCTAAAGATTATGTTTTTCATTTTTTTTCTTCTTTGTTTCTTCAGAAAATAAGAAAAAAGAGAGGTTCTCATACCTCTTGAATGTGAAGCTTTGAATCTTCTGTCAAAGCAAGAATGAGCTTTCTACGAATTCCTTCGTCGAAAATGAAAAGGCGAGCTCCATCTTTGATGGTGTCAGTGAGGTCCAGTTTCCTACTGACTTGCAAGTCTCTTGACCCTTGCCTGCACAACATAGCCAAGAAAATATAACCATCTTAAACTCCGAAGAAGAAGAACAAACAAATTGGCAAGCAGGGCATGATCAGATACAGACATGTCTTTTGCTTGGAATGCAGGGTTGCTGCTCAATTTGGTCACGTTTTCTTTGGCAAGAACTATGAGGTTTTCTAGCCGCTTCCATTGGAAAACACCATCTTTAAATAGTACCTAAAACCAGAAGCAGATTATTATCAAAGGATTGCAATTTCAGAACCAAATCTATATGGTTGATGATTCTTGGACATGGCTAATTGAAATAACAATATAGTAATAAGAAGAAGAAGAAATGCATAAGCTTGACCAAAGAAATCATATTTCGAAACCAGGGGAAAATTGAGGTGTTGTGGTTTGAACAAGTTAGGGAAAATAAAGAGAAACTGATAAGGCCAGAGAAAAAGGAAGAAGGCAAAAAGGAGAAATTCAAAGTTTAATTCATCCCGTACCCATTACTGAACAAGTTAGGGAAAATAAAGAGAAACTAATAAGGCCAGAGAAAAAGGAAGAAGCCAAAAAGGAGAAATTCAAAGTTTAATTCATCCCGTACCCATTACAGACTATTCCCTTGTCCTGATACAATATAGGAAAGGAAAAGATGCCCAATGATTTGGTGCTGACTGTCTAACGGCACTCCTAGGTTCATGGAGGAATCCTGTACATTTATTCTAGCATCATCTAAAGGAAAAACAAGGTTGGGCTTGAAGGAAAGAAGGCTCTGACGATATTGTTTATAGATAATTGGTTTTGATGCTTATTGAGTGTCAACAAAAGCTTTTTCATAGCTAATCAGAAAAATCCTCAAAATAAAACATAGTTGTTCCCAAGGATAACACTGCTCATTTAGTTCAGAGCAAGTTCTCTTCTTTTCTTTTTTGAACAGCAGAGCAAGTTAATGAGAATGAAAGGTTCTTGAACATATGTAGGTTTGATTCAAAATTCAACTAACAGCCATCTAAGGACATTAAATACAAAATAGCTTTGAACTCACCTGTATGAGGCGTTCACGTAGAGCTGGGTTTGGATCCGTTAGGAGGCGCTTTGCCACATATGGATAGGCAACCTATTTGATTGAATAATGTTAAGAACAGTATGGGGAAAGAAAGCTTGTCATACAACAAATGGCTATCACCACAATAACAAAATTTGTATACGAGAAATGAGGTTTCTAATTGCAAAACATGACAGGCACTCCATTGCAGCATTTAGTATACATAACTAAAAGTAATTTAAAAGAAAGTTAACATTGGGTTAAATGGTCTATTAGAGAAAATTTCTACATGCCTAATTTCATCCATTAGAAAAGGCGTATGAGAAAATGAAAAAGATCTACCCTTACCTCAAGAAATTTGAAGTCTGGCTGCAAAGTAAAACAGATGCCCTCTTGAGTCAATAAAGAACGGATAACAAGCGAAAACCTTTCTGGGATACGGATGGGATAGTTGTAGACTAATTGGTTAAACTTCCCTGCATCAAAGCCAGAAGAAATCATATTGCATATTACAAACTACATAAGAAAAGATAAAAACAAAAGAAGCTAACAGAAGACAATTATCTCTTTCTCTCACAGCATCAGAAAACCTTGCAGGCAACTAAATCATACCTAAATAGGGTATAATTAAGACGAAGGATTATATACATATCATATCTACACACGCTCACACAAGCCCAGACTTCCACAGAAAAAAGAAAAACTGGAATAAGAATCAAAATTATAGGACATGAAATTACCAGTAACACTTCGAAAATTAAAGTCAGACAGTCCTTTTCCAACAGAGTTCTGCCATATCGATTCTAAAGCTGGAACAATAGGAGACACATCAGTCCCAGGAGCCAAGAAGCCAAGTCGAGTGAAATCATTTGCCATCTCAACATAGTCCTCGTTTACAGCATGGACAACAGCATCGATCAAAATTTGTTTATTTTGCTGAAAAATAAAAGATAGATCAATATGTAGGCAAGGCAAATTAAGAAAAACTAAAGCATAATAGAAAACTAACAGATACAAATGCATTCTTATTTTTCATATAGACCATTGAAATGTACTAGTTTTGGTGGCTGGGCTGTCCTACTGGTATGGATGGTTACTACGTACTATGTTAAACCCTCACAACTGTAAGAAGACTACATTAAAGATATCGAGTTTTCCTATTAAATACCATTGAAGTCCATATTTCACCTGACTAAGAACAGCTACGTTCCCGAAGTCCACGTATGCAATACGTCCATCTTGCATGGCAAAAATATTTCCAGGATGTGGATCTCCATGGAACAACCCAAATTCTAGCAATTGCCGCAATGCAGCACTGACTCCAACCGTTAAGAACCCATTTACGTCAATACCAGCATCTTTAACAGCCTGAAATACATGGAGGGATATTATTGATAAAGATATATCTTCTCATGTTTCTTTAAAATAGCACTGTTTATCTTGACAATCATACCTGTGGGTTAGTGCACCGAATACCATCAATCCACTCCATCACTAGAACACGTGGACCACAAAGTTGCTTGTAAACCCGAGGAATTTTAACCGTAGGATCACCTTTGAAGTTCACAATAAAATCTTCAATGTTGCGGGCTTCCTGTATTACAGGAAACAGAGTTTCACTAGTAATTAGAAAGGTCAAAATAAAAATGCAATCATAGTGGTTGTTCAAACTGCAATTCAAGTCATGATGATAATAAGGCTGTAGGAATAAATATAATGCCATCAAGGTTCATTTTTTGTGCTATAGCGCAGGTCTGAAATGTACCAAAGTGTAATCAAGCTCCTCCAAAAGCTTCTCACCAAATTCATCAACAATCAGCTCAGCATTGCACCCCAGTTTCTGTAGACTGATGCCATTCAAGAATGAAGCAAGAGTACGGAATAGAAAGAGATCCCGGTAAATTATAGGTTCTATCTCCGGCCTTTGGACCTGTAAGTATTAAAATAATAATAATAATAATTTAGATTGTTTTCAGGATTTTTGCCACAGTAACCTTTTCATCATTTTTGCAACATAACAATTGTGGAGCTGTTAATGACCTAAGAAAAGGCCCTTATGTAAACCTTAATAGCAACTTCCTCTCCAGAATCACGTAACGTAGCTCGGTAAACTTGACCTAAACTGGCAGCTGCTATCGTCCGAGACGAAATTTTACTGAAAACAGCTTCTAGGGGTCGACCCAATTCCTCTTCTATTATATTGAAGGCAACCTGAACCAATGTCATGCCAAATTCTAGTTTAAGTTATCTAAACTCCACAGAACAAAATTGTCTCATCCCAGATACAAGCAACAAGATTTTTTTTTGTTGGTAAAATGAGTTTTTACCTGATTGGGGAAGGAAGGAACGTCATCTTGAAGAATGCACAGTTCATTCATATAATCTTCTCTGATAATATCAGGTCTGTTTGCAAGAACCTTTCAATACATGGGTGAAATCAGGCATATGTATATTTGAGCAAATATATGAACCTAAAATTCAATGTCTGAGTACAACTAGATTTCAAATCTGTATGTGGAGGGAAATTTTCCACTTTGATACTTCATGCTACAACTGAAGTAACATGGTGACAATTTCATTCTAATTTTTCTTATATCGATCTGAATTTCAGAAAGCTATGTGAATAGACCATAAAAACCATTGAAGTTATTTAAGAAAAATCTTACAATTAAAAAATAAAACAGTCAAAACTCTTATTATAATCTCAAAAAAATATTTATCCCAAATGCATCGGATCGACCACAATGAAGGGTGCCTCCTATTACATCTAATCTAACCTTTTGGATCTTTACATATTTTCTTCTTCATTGCATTCTTGATCTTAAATATTAAAACCTGATTGGAAAAACTTACAGCTAATGCATCAATTTTTTTTTTTTTGTTGTTGCTATTTTCAGCTAATGCAGTGGAAGTATACTGACATATTTCAACTAGGAAAATAGGATATGACTGATATGAGTGAGGTGCAAACCTGGCCGGCTTTGATGAAAGAAGGCCCCAAATCACACAGGAGGTTTCTAAGCTGCCGAGCACGAAATGGAACAACTTCTTCATCCCTTCCGACGAAGCAGTCATACGTCAAGGCAGACCAGTACAATCCCAAACTCCACACAATCTCCACACCTCGCGAAATTAGAGACACAATTGCCCCTCTGGATTCCAGCACCTTATTCCTCACCTAATTATATACAACAGCATCAAATCCAAATACCTTCTCATCGTCCATATTTCAAAAGAAGCTAGATGATCATCAAATTCGCCCAAAATTAAACACAAATTCAATTAGAAACATGACAAACTAAATCAATTACAATTTCCAACCAGGACTGAATCATTTGCGTCCCGTCATATTCAACTTTCATTATCAACAACATTAATTAACATACAACTTCACACCAAAAATTAAAAGAAATTAATATAATATAATATAAATTCAATGAACTATAGTTGAATTTCATACATTTTCGGGTGTGTACTTGCGGAATGGCACGCAAACGCCGCGTTCGAAGTCGAGCTGCTCCATGGCGGCGCTAGGCTTGTTCGATGGCTCCAACCTGCTCTCACCGCCGCTCCCCAAGCTCCTCCGCTTTTCGATTGCGGACGACGCAACGTTCGAAACTCGGAGTTGCAACGGTCTCTTGCCTCTCCGTATTCGAAGCCTGTACTTAAACGACGTCAGAGCTTGCAACGGCGCATTTAATCTGTGGCTTGGAACAGCGTGAGCTCTCGAGCTTAGGTGCTTGGTAGGAGACGGAGCTGTGCTTGTGCAATTTACACACAGGAAGTCCATGGCTTCTGCTTTCTCAGTGGAAGTGAGAGAGAGAGAGAAGGTGGTGGGAGAAGGGGACGATTTTTGGTGGTTAAGGGAAAGGGGCAAAGAGGAAGTGAGCAAGTGAGCAACGACTTCAAAAATTAGTTGGAAAAAACGGATATTATATTATATATTTGTGTGAGCCATGGCCGGCCACATAAACGTTTTGGGAAGTAGTTTGGATTATTAGTTCAAAACCTAAGGAAAAGTGGGAATTGTGAAAGTGATAGGTTGCAACGCAAATCTTGTCTTTAGGATAATTTCTTTTAATTATAAATATCTATGTTATATTTTTCAGTAATTACGACAAGACTTTAATACCTGATTGTGGGTAATAATAAATTGCTCGCTACAGCTCACTTTGGCCATTCATAGATCGGATCTTTATATGGAGTCATATCGGACACATTAGGTCATTGGAAAATATTTTGGTCACGTTTACTGATGATGGAGTTGCACATGGGTTGGCTCGTTCTGCTTTATTTATGAACTATTGTTTACTGACTTGGGTTTTGTTTGATGTGTATGTATACACCGTTCCTTAAAATGTGGACTTTGTTTATTTGAGTTTATTTTGATTGTTATGTATCTTATATGAATCTCGGTTCAATATTTCTGTTTATTTAATATTTTGGAAGTTTACAGAAATATTAGACAAACATCCAAACCAAAGACATACCAATCAAAGAAATTTCAAATAAACAAAGTTCAACAAAAGCATTTCAAAGGACGGTATAAAACCTAAAATGTATACTTCAAGAACATATACATACCACTCACTACACAAAAGCATCGGATCTTGCACGCCGGTTGGAAAATCTACTTGTCCGAACACCAAATGAGCTCATGCTAATTCCATAACATCCTAAAGGTTATGTTTCTCTTTTTCAGAGAATAAGAAAAACCTCATAAATTGAATGTGAAGCTTTGATATAACGATATTAAACTCTCCAGCATAAGAACAAACAAATTGGCAAGCAGGGCATGATCAGACACAGAAATGTCTTTTGCTTGGAATGCAGGATTGCTGCTCATCTTGACCACGTTTTCTTTGGCAAGAACTATGAGGGTTTCTAGCGGATTCCATTGGAAAGCACCATCTTTAAATAGTACCTAAAAGCAGAAGGAGATTATTGTCAAATCAACATACTCAACTTTTCTTTTCTTTATTCATTTCTACACGTGTCGGTATGTTTATTAGTGTTGTTGGAAATCAATTAATGACTGTTACGTTTGGTGCCACTTAACCTTATATTAGGAGAACATTTTATAAAATAGCCGTTATATAAAATTTATTTTAGCATCATATTCTTTTTATTTGATCTCATTTATCTCCTTGACGGCTTTCTTCAACATATATTTTTATTTGAAAATTAGTTGGCACTAGGAGAAAGTAAGTTGAAGAGAGCTGTCAAGGAGATAAATGAGATTTTTTTTTAAAATATGATGCTAAAATCGATTTTATATGACGATCAGTTTATAAAATGTTCTGCTAATATGGGGGTAACCGGCAACATACGTAACAGTCATGAATTGATTTGTAAAAAAACTAATAAACATAGTCACACTTTGAGAAATGAATAAAGAAGCAAAAAGATGAGTATGTTAGCTTTGATGAAACAAGGCCCCAAATCGCACCGAAATTTATGAATATCAACTATCATCAGCTTGCACCTCTGATCTTTACAGGAGATGAAAGGGACTCTTTCCTATAAGTACCATGATCATTCCCTCAACTATTAGAGGGGCATCCACGTAATGTGCATGATAAAATAGTATAGCATATATACATGACAACAAAGAATAATAAAAGTGGTAACTTAACAAATGCATGAATGTGTTCAATCACACAAAAAACCCAAGTCAAGTTCAAGCTCCATGTCATCCGGTATAGTCGATATATGAGATGGAATTGGTAAATCATATACTTTTGTTTTTCAGTTTGGCAATTTTATCTTTGCGAAAAAGTTTCACGCCAAATGAGAAAATAAAACCCTCCATCTAATTGGTGTTTCGTACTCCTATAACACTTGTTTTTGTGAGAAAACTCCATCCTATCATAACTTTGGAAAAAATACAAAGAAATAAGATTTTGTTTAAAAAACAATTCGAATTTCCGATTAATTTAAAAAGAAAAGAAAATGATAAATTCGATTTTACCCAGAAGAGTCGGGTCAAAAAATAGGGAAATGAGCAAGATGAAGATTTAGCGGGAAAATTAAAAGCCGAAACAAGATTGGCGGGAAGATCATTTCATTCCCAAATCCCAATTATTAATAGCATCAAATCATCTCATGCCCCACTTTCCCTCTCTTTCCTTTCTCAGATAAATTTCTCTCTCCCACGGTTTCAGCGATGTTCTCAAGCAGCCAATTCGACTCCACCTCCGCCTTCTCCGGCGGCGGCTTCATGGCTTCTCAGTCTACTCAGTTCGGTGATTCCACTCCATCTCCGGCCAAGGTAACGCATCTCCTCCACTCTCTCATATGCCTCCCTTAGCCTCTCGAATAACTGCAAAATGAAAAGTATATTGCGTTTGTATTTGTGATAGTTAAATGACGACTTAGGGTTTCGATCTGAGTCAGTGTTTGGTTGCTTGCCCTTCAATTTCCTGGCAACCAAACAAGGGGTTTTATTTCGATATTATTTTTATTTTATTACTTGTTGAGGAATTGTTGCTTTGTTTGTTGTTGCAGAGTCGCGAGACTCACGGGTTGGTTCCTGTGACAGTGAAGCAGATAAGCGAATCCCATCAATCTGGTGATGAAAAGTCAAATTTTGTAATCAGCGGGGCAGATGTTGCTAATGTACTAATTGTTTTTCGAAAAATCAACATATTTAAGTTTTCTTTTCTCAAAAAGTTTTAATTAAAATTATATGTGGTTGGTTTAGGTATCGGTGGTTGGCATGGTATTTGATAAATCTGAAAGGAACACTGATGTTGGTTTCACTATTGACGATGGAACAGGGCGAATCAAATGCCGAAGATGGTAATGTTTACATTTTTTTAGTTAGATACAGTTAATATCATCACATTTTTGACAGTTTGAATAATTTGTTATGATTATATTGTTTCATGTAATGCACAATTTATAGCAACAGATAGATACATTGATCAGTAACGATTTAAGTTCTGAGTCCACTCTGCTTTCTGATAATGAGTTACTCTATTTTTTGTTCTCTTAATAGGGTGAACGAGAATTTTGACTCAAGAGAAATGCAGGAAATAGAGTAAGTTGCACTCTCCATCATCAGTGAGTTTTGTGTTGAAATTTTAAGCCTTATTATTGACATCAGATATAAAGAGCAACCAACTGTTTATGAGGTTCTTATGTATTATTTTCCAATTGATACAGAGATGGAATGTATGTTCGTGTTAATGGACACTTGAAAGTCTTTCAAGGTGTTCGACAAATAGTTGCCTTCTCCGTGAGGTATGGTATAAAAGATGTTCCTTTTAGTTTGAGCAATTTAGATGTCTTGAGATTTTCAGTTGTTTTAATGCCATATGATTCACAGTTCTCATTGTACCTAGCCACTTAGCTTTACCAATGCATCATATAACTAATTCCAATATGTCAATTGAGGTGGGATGATGCAACTAAAACAGGTGCCACGTTATATTCACTCATAATCAACACACAGGTGCACAGTGCACGTACACACAGACACATGAACTTTTCAATATGGTTGAAACAACACATTGAAATTTGTGTCAATCTTAATATGGATGTCTTACTATCAGGAATAGTTGATTCGGAGTAGAATGTTTTCAATCGTACAATTTTGTATTGTTAAAGAAGTTAGATTTCAGACAACTCTTGTAAAATATTGTTGAGTTTTACTCTAATTTTGGATATTTGTTCTTTTAATGTTTTGCTGTTACCGTGATGTAGCTCTAAAGAATTATTATTTACAGAATTTTGGGTTGTGTTGCAGGCCTGTGAAAAACTTTGATGAAGTTACCTTTCACTTCATTGAATGCATACATACCCACTTACAGACATCAAAGTTACAGGTATCAATAATAACTTGAATCGATGAAACAATTACCTTGTTTTACACCTTCATTCACTTGAAGGTAAATTTGGATAGAATGCATATCTTATGTCTTTTATATTTTTTCATGGTGTATTTACATTCATTAAAGCTGCAAGGAAATTCTGCAACTCAACCTCAGTCTGTGGACTCATCTCTTAGCACTCCTGTGCGGAGTGGATCAACTGGATACCAGACAGCCCCATCAAACCAAGTAAGCTATCTAACTTTGAAAAATTTACATTTCAAGCTGTCCTGTTCTTGTTTAGCATGCAATTAATGTTGAATTTTGCAGTTCTCTGGGCAAGTTAGCGTTGATGGGATAAAGGGCTGTGATCAGTTGGTCCTCGACTATCTGCAGCAGCCTTCAAGCATGTGAGTTATCATGAACTTATTTCCCCTGTTTTGGTTTTTGTTAGTATTGCCTTGTTTTGTGGAAGATATGTTGGCTGCGGCTACCTATATTGAACTATTGGGACTGGTTTTCTATTGCAGTGGAAAAGAAAAGGGGATACACAGAGATGAACTTTCCCAGCACCTGAAAGTCCCTGTGGAAAAGATATTGTATTCTCTCTCTCTCTCTCTCTCTCTCTCTCTCTCTCCACATCCAATTATGCATGCAGGAGTGACTTCATTTGATTCTTATTCTTGATTTCACATTTCTATTTCAGGGAAGCAATCAGATCTCTTGAAGAGGAAGGCTTAATATATTCCACGATTGATGAGTTTCACTACAAGTCAGCAGCATATGGCTAAGTATTCGTCACGAATTTTGACTTTGTGCTGCTACGGTTGGAAAGGAAAGTAACTTATATGAGTGCTGTTATGTATATTTCTCTTTTAATATCTTTTTATGTCCATTTGGATGGGTTTAGTACCAAAGTTCAAACAATTACATTTGTTGTTTTGTTTAATCAAAAGCGCTACTCTTCCAGCCAAAAAATATTCTGGATTGAACATTCAGTATCAAATACTAAAATAGTCACGAATATATTGCCGTTTAATAATTGTGTTATACATGTACATATGTATATTTCAACAATACTTCCATTTTCCATGCACAAGAAAAATGTACAATACACGTGCGTGTGGATTTTTCATGTTTAATACACGTGTTTTTACACAATTGTCAACAATACACACACAATTCACACATTATACACAATTTTACATAGTATTGAATAAAAATAATATATATTGAAATATTATATAATGGCTGAACTTTATGATCATTCATATGCTTGGTAGTAAGGTAAGTTAGCCTAAGGAAAAAGAAGAAATTGATTCATACCCACTCCTGCAGGGGGTTTTTTAAAATTTTCTTTAACAAATAGTATAGCTGCCCGGCTATACTGTTGAATATAATATATTTCAAGCGTATAGCCGGCCGGCTATACTGTATTTGTCATGTTTTCGCGCACAACACTCTCGAAAACATATGTTGCTAATTTCCTTTTAATAAATAGTACCGCCGCACGGCTATACTCTCTAAAGATAATAAATTCAAAAGGTATAGCCGGCCGTCTATACTGGGTTTTTTAAAAATTTGTTTGAAAAATAGTATTACCACGCGGCTACACTATTAAAATACATTGGATACTTGGGAGCTGGGCCATGCTATGTAATTGGAAGTTGGCCCACACAAGGTAATTGGAAGTTGAGCTAAGTAGAAGCCAATTGGGCTTCAAATTCAACTTGGGCATTGAATATATAATATTTAATAATAAAAAAGATGGCATTGGGCATTTAAGATTTAAATTAATGATTTAGTTTCGAATTAATAAATTTTTGTTTAATAATTAATTAATTCAGATTAGTTTAATTAATTTCACTGGGGGCCTATTTTGTTTTTATTTTTATTTTGAATAATAAATAGTATAATAATATATTGCCATTTAATAATCGTGTTATACACATACATATGTATTTTTCAACAATACTTCCATTTTCCGTGCACAAGAAAAACGTACAATACACGTACGCGTGGATTTTTCATGTTTAATACACGTGTTTTTACACAATTGTCAAGAATACACACACAATTCATGCATTATACACACAATTTTACATATTGTTGAATAAAAATAATATATATTGAAATATTATATAGTGGCCGAACTTTATGATCATGCATATGCTTGGTAGTAAGGTAAGTTAGCTAAGGAAAAAGAAGAAATTGATTCATACCCACTCTTGCAGGGGTTTTTTCTTAAATTTTCTTTACCAAATAGTATAGCCGCACGGCTATACCGTTGAATATAATATATTTCAAGAGTATAGCCGCACGGCTAGACTGCATTTGTCTTGTTTTTACGCACAGCACTCTCGAAAACACGTGTTGCTAATTTCCTTTTAATAAATAGTACCGCCGCACGGCTATACTCTCTAAAGATAATAAATTTCAAAGTTATGGCCGGCAATTTCAAAGGTATAGCCGGCCAACCGGCCATACTGGGTTTTTTAAAAATTTGTTTAAAAAATAGTATAGCCGAATACATTGGGTACTTGGGAGCTGGGCCATGCTTCGAAGTTGGCCCATACAAGGTAATTGGGAGTTGGGCCGAGTAAAAGCCAATTGTACTTCAAATTCACCACATCCAATTGTGCATGCAGTAGTGACTTCTTTTGATTCTTATTCTTGATTTCAAATTTCTATTTCAGGGAAGCAATCAGGTCTCTTGAAGAGGAAGGCTTAATATATTCCACGATGTACGAGTTTCACTACAAGTCAGCAGCATATGGCTAAGTATTCGTCACGAATTTTGACTTTGTGCTGCTACGGTTGGAAAGGAACTTATATGACTGCTGTTATGTATATTTCTCTCACAGCATATGGCTAAGTATCAAATACTAAAATAGTCACAGTATTAGTTAATTGTCATTTAACTAATTTGTTATGTGTTCATTTAAAAACTAAATTGTTAAAATCAAGAGGAAAGATAACACTGTCTGTCTAGCCATTGAATTCGAGGATTCGAGGTTAATAAAGGTTTCGTTTATGTATTATTCATCACACTCATTTTTATTCTTCTTATAGAACTAAGCACAAAGTTGAAATCAATTTAGAATTCGAATGAAGAACAAAAGGAAATAAGAGTTTAAATACAACTAAGCACAAAGTTGAAAAGAAAAATGTTTGTTTAGAATTCTAAGTGATTTAGGAAAGAATCAACTACGTAGTTAAGTTTAACGTTTAACGTTTACGCCGACTAGACTACATCATGCATAGGACATAGGAAGAAAGACCTCGATGATCTAGGGTTAGCTTATATATAAAGTTCAAAGCCAAGGGATACCCTATTATTATTCTCCATCAGTGAATTCCCGTCGTCTTTATCCTTTTTTGTAGTAGTGTATGGTGGTCATCCACCAACTCATGCATTTACAACAAAACAAAAAATATTTGTTTTTTCAGTTTGTTTTTTTCTTTTTCCTAACAACCCACAAGTTCACAAATTTTTAAGATTTGAAAACAGTTTTCAAGTTGCATATCAAACAAGTTTTTGAATCTTAAAAATAGATTTAAGAGCACTTTTTTTTTTTATAAAGAAAAATCAAAGTTTTTGAGTTCCCTTTTTGAATAGGATACCAAACGCCCCTAAGTGATTTAGGAAAGAATCAACTACCTAGGTACATACAAGTTGAACCAAAAATTTAGGCATTTAATTACCAAATTAAGTTTAACATTTACGCCGACTAGACTACATCATGGATAGGACATAGGAGAAAGAAAGACCTCGATGATCTAGGATTAGCTTGTATATAAAGTTCAAAGCCAAGGGATACCCTATTATTATTCTCCATTAGTGAATAGAATTTCATGTTGTTGAAAGATCATAAAAATCAATCAAGCATGTCGACGGAGACGCATCTTTTTCGTAGCACAGTACTTATTACTACGGAAAGTCGAGAAACGGTCGTACCCGAAACTACTGTAATCCAAATCAGTATGGACGACGGGTTTCCGATCAGCTTGAAGCTCTTCAACCATGTCAGAGGAAGCTCCGGCTATCCAGACCTCCTAACCGAAAGAGGAGTTACGGTCCCTCTCTCTCGTCTCAAGCCATCAGCCGAAGGCAACAGCAGGAGAATCCGGCGTCGGTATAGAAAGGTTCTGGCCGCCAACCTTATCAGGATGGGTGTCCCAGAAGATGAACACCGGGGTATTATTTGGAAAATATTTCAGGCCGTTGATGACGTGGCCATCCACGGAAGCAGCCGGGAGGGGTTGCCTACAGTTACTGTCCTCATGGTCATGGAGGAGGTGACTGTGAATAACTATAATAATAATAATATACCCCCATCGTTAGGTTTTCGAACAAGTGTCGAAGAACCATTATATTACAAGCTGCTTGGATTATTCTATTGTCCTAAATTTCCTTTTCATAAACCTCGTTCTGAGGATGTGGACGGTTTGGACAGGGTGATGGTTAGGTTGGAAGAAGGGGTTAGATGTAGGGCATGTCTAATTTGTGGCGAGGCCCTTGATCCTCCTCGTCCTCTTGGAGAAGAAGAAGAAGATCATCGTCAACATCAACAAAAAGAAGGGGTGCCCAAGAAGATTAGTATGATTTCTCGCTTGCCTTGCTCGCATCTTTTTCATCAAGATTGCATTGTGCGGCTGTGGCTGCGTAGTAGTAGGAGCAGTCGCGGCGGAGGTTGTCCCGTGTGCCAATTGACAATGCTCGTTAAGGGCACAAAGGACGTGCTCGCGAAATTTCAAACACCCTCGAGATCGTGGGGGTTGCCGCTCACGATATTTACCGGCGGCATAATAACTGCCGGTACGCTTCTTTGCAAATTATTGAAGCATCGATCATCAAAAGGGAATTAAATTTGGTGTCTTGTAGTAGGTATTTTGAAGGTTTAATAATTCATAGTTTCCTGGAGTCAGTCTTTGAATTTACAAATTAATCTAATTGTTAATTTTAATAAATTAAATTATCCTTACAATTACGGAATTACTTGTTACAGTGCTCATGATTCTTCTAGGATCATGATTCTTTTCTTAATTACTTGTTATGGTGCTCATGCTCATGCTCTGTTAGATAGTTAGGGGCTAACAATTGGGTTTTACAATTTTTTTTATTACTTTTTTTAGGAATGTATAATATATTTGTTCTCAACACGAAGTTAATACCGGATTATAAACCATCCAATACACATGTTACATGTGGAAATATTGTTCAATATATAGGTTATAAAAATAAAATATTTTCACATATCGTATGTGTATTGGATAGTACACCAGTCACGTGGTGTATCCAAAACCGGAGCTTTCGTTTCATCATGTTGTTCTTATACTTGTTGGCTTTGCTGGTGACACTATAATTTAAAAATCATGTTTAGAGATCTCTAATTTAAATTCTGATATTATAAATAAAAAATAAATTAAGATGTGGAGTTGATCTGAAACTCAAAAACTGGGATTTGGGTTAGCCCAAAATAGTCCCACGACCAATGTATTTAGGCCTCCAAAACTTCACCAAGCCCAATTCCATGCGGATTGGAATTTAGCCCGAGTTTCCAGTCGAACCGCAACTGACATATACAATAGAATCGTTGCACTTGGGGGTCCCCTACCCCTCCTCCCGCCTCAAAACTTCTACTGTCAGCCTTAGCACGTGACACAAAAATGAACTTAAATGTGAAGAAAATTTGGAAATAAGAGTTTAAATACAACTAAAAGAAAAATCGGTGTTTTGATTTTGGATAGGAAAGAATCAAAACACGTATTCAAAAGGGAAACAAGAAAAATACTGCACTGCAATAGGGTCAAAATTTGGACCCAAAAAAGAAAGGGAAACTAGAAAAATACTTGCACTGAATTCAATTCCAGCTCGTCAGCACATTCGCTGACCCGGTTCGAGCAGCAAGAACATCCTTTAGGCTGTATTTTTATTCTTTTTTATTCTTTATAAAAAAACCAACATCCAGCTATATATATATATATATATATATATCATCACTCTTTCTTCAACACCAAAAAGGAAAAAAAAAAGTTAATCATCATCATTCATCAATCTCTTTGGCTCTTTTGTTCAATCATTTTAACAATTTTGTTTTTCTTTCATATTCAGGAATTTCAAAACCAAAAAATGAAAATTCTAATTCCTAAATTCATAAAGACCAATCAAAATTTGTGATTGCCATTGTTGATAATGAATTTTAGTTATAAAAAAATTGTTTTATGACCTTAAGTAATGAAAAATTATTATTTTTAGTATTTGGATTAGATTATGTGAAGGTCCCATTTTAAGTTTCACACAGAGCCTTCAAAATCTCAAGACCAACAATTGTTGATGATGTTGGCATCATGGGGTGGGTGTGGTGGTGACGATGGTGTTTGAATGGTAGTCAATGGCGAACCTGTGCAGGAGCAAGGAGGTGCACCTGCACCTCCGGTCGTCAGAAAAATCCATTAGAGCAGCTGGAGTTGCACCTTTGCTTTAGACAAGAGATGCACGCAACGTGTTTGACAAAATGCCCAAACCACCTGGGCTGGGCGCTACATTCACTGCGCACTTGTTTTTTTTTTAACATCCCCTGCCCGAAATGATATCGTTTTGGACTAGGCTTTTAAAAAAGGCGTTTTTTTAAATTAAAAAAAAAATGGTCAAAACGACGTCGTTTTGGAACATGGTTTTTTTTAAAAGAAAAAAAAGAAAAAAAAAGGAAACTGCTGCTGCTACTGGGCCATTCTTGTATTATTCCTTACTTAATTGGGGTTTAAGTGGGAGTTATCTTTATTCAATTGGGTTTTGGGAATTCCTTATTTAATTGGGATTGAAATTCTCTTTATAAATGACCAATTTAACATTACCCAATTTCATCAAAGTGTGTGTGCATCACAAGAATCATACGTTTTTTTTTTTTCTTTTCAGTACGCCAATTCAAAGTAAGTCGAATGTTTTTTTTTTCTTGAGCAAGCGCCAATTTTGTTTATTTCTTTTTTCTTTTTTTAATATATATTTTTTCTTATTTAGCTCTCTCTACATTAATAAGGTTAGTAGGAAACTCAAGGAGGAAGAGGCTACTTGACACGCTATTCGAGGTATATATTAATTTTTATTTATTTATTTAATTGATAATTTGATATTGATTTGTTTATTTAATTGATAAATTATAATCAATTAGTCATACGTATAGATATAAAACCCTTATTTTGTTTTAATTGTACAGTTATAGAACGGTACTTTAAGAGAAAGAATTTATTGTGAATAACATTAGTATTGTTTAAATTATAATGTTTAGTTGTTTTTTTTTTTTTTTTTTTTTTTTTGCTCTTAGCTTTTGAAAATTGCACCTCTGTTGAAAAATTCCTGGATTCGCCGCTGATGGTAGTGATGTGAATGAGTATGGTGTGGGTGACGATGGTGGTAGAAGTTGTGGTGGTGATGGCTTTTGCAAAAGAAAAATGAAAGAAGAGATCGAGGTGGGAGAAGAGGGGTAATCACCCTTTTAAGTTCAGTAGTGTGAATGTCATTTCTTTGTTTTCTACTCGTACGGTCTCTCAAAGAGTGGTGTGTGGTCACTCTGCTACATTAAATTCGTTTCCTTGGATTTAAAGGGCCGTGCCACGTGCGAACACACTCAATCTGTGAAAAGGTCAAGTGAAATCCACAATCCCATTTCGACACTTGGCATGTGCCACCTGGCCCTGTGATCTAGTGTCTCCATCTCCTTCACGTGAAACCCCTCCCATTTTGAAGATTTTGATCTTCCTCCCCCTCATGCTCATGTTGGGGACCTCAATGTTGCTGTACAAGAATCATTTCCAATCAATAAAAAGTGCTCTTGTTTTATGATTTTGGATAGATTGGTTCTCTTTCCCCTCACATGATTTGGATATTGGATAATGTTTTGTACCTACTTCTTAATCTTACTCCCCCCAAATTTTGATAAGAGAAAAACATTTGATCCATAAATTCCAAAAAAAAAGAGGCAAATATATATATCCATCGTGGAATTCTAATGTGAACATATTATAAGTAAATTCTAAGGAAAATTTTAGTTGTCGTGACAATATATTTTTCTTAGTAGAAGATCGGAAAAGATTTCACTTGAAAAATACAGCTTTTATTCTAGAGTATAGATAATTAAATAGCTATAGTTTAATTTTGTGTTTAACTTAATTAATTAGTGAGGTTTTATTTATGTAACTCTTCCCTTCTTTTTCAGAGAATCATAGCAGTAACTATCAAATCATGGGCATGTCGTTGGTATATATAGCCGTGAGCTGTGCTTAGTGATTGTAATTACCAAACTGCCACTGTCTCTTTCTCAGTAGCAACGCACCTATCTAATCGATGCTCTCCAAATAATACACATGGCAAAAACAAAATGTAAAAAACTATATATAGTCGACCCATTTGCTTCAAATCACAACAAGTGTTCTTATTAGATCATCACAAAGCCAATATTTTACAAAGCAATCCAATATATATATATATATATATATATATATATATCCCCAAATAACACAAACAACATGTAGACGTACTCTTTATTACAAGCAAATAAAATTAAACCCAAAACATATCAAACACTGAACCAACTAAGGATGACATAAAGAAGGAAATTAAACGTAACAAATGAGACTCACACAACTTTAGGATACCAACTGATCATGTGTCACTCGCATGTAGCTACACGTCTCGGACATGGAAGATGTTGGGGTTTTTAATGACAATATCGTACATGTAAACAGAGTTGAACTTGGAGAAGTCTCTAGGGAGAGAGATTAGGTCAATGGAAGATCGCTTGTGGAATTGGAAGAGGTCGGGGTCGCCTCCATAGTACCTCTCCCACCCTAACCCGGTCAATATTTGCTCGAGCGTCGAGTAGGACGACACCACCTGTCCACTTGGCAAGTGCACCAAGGCCTTCTTCCTGGAAGATGTCTCAGCCTGTGGATTTTCCACCAGACGAATCACCCCGTTCTTGAAAACCCAAACCCCAGACATTGTGTTTCTTCTTTCTTTGGTAGTAGCTAGTGGTGCTTGGTTTTTTGGGTGGAGGGTAAATTGATGCAAATGCTGTTTGTTTGGAGATGAGAGAGAGAAAGAGGAGAAGGAAATGAATTGAATTGTACTGTTGTGTTGTGTTGTGGCAAAAGAGAAAGGGGGGAGGGGGTATTTATATGTCAAAGGGACAAATAAAAACAAGGGGGAAATACTCTTTGAGTGGGAGGGAGAAACTGAAAAGGATGGTGGATTGAGGTGTGGGCATGTTTGGCTTTGGAAGAGAATCTAGATTAAGTGGGACCCAATGGGATTAAAAATATGAGGGTGCTACATGGATGATATGCCCCTAGGGTTTGATTTAGGGCACAATTCAGCACCATCCACACTCACATCCAATTCCGTGGGGTTGGGGTTCGGAGGAATCTTTGTGTAGCTTAAACATTGCAAGCTAAGCTAAATGTAGCTTTTTCGAGTGTGTTTTTTATTTTTTATTTTTTTATTTATTTTTATTTATTTACATTTTTTGATGGGGAATCTTTTATATTGCTAGGGTTGGGGCAATGCATGCCACTATTCATTCATTAAGAAAAGATTCAAAAAAGAAGAAAGTCAAATGATGGAAAGAAACCCACTTACATCACGAGATGTCCACGTGAAGGGAGTGGGAGTGATTGGGGCATATTTTTATTTTCTTGTGTGGATCTCGGGATGTTGGTGGGTTTGGCTACTGAAAGCAGATGTTTGGGTTTCTTTCTGTTGGAGACACGTACTCCTTTGCTATTTGTGATTTTTTGCAACCTTAAAAGCCTTGCTTTGCTCACGCTGTCTTGTCAAATCAGGTTTGGATTTTGTTTGTGATTTTCGAGCCTAGATTTGTGAAAAGAAGAATTAGTTAGAGTCTAGAGTTATGAAAAAAAAAGGAGTTAATTCATAATGCAATCAGTAAATATATGATATGTTATACGGTTTAGTTAAACACGAATATGTAAGGATCTTTAAATTTCCATTTTGACTTCGAATTTTATGAATCACAAGCTTCCAAAATCATATATACTTGTTTTCAAGTTTTCATTTTGAAAGTGATGCCGTTCACACTTGGTATTTGTCTTCACATTATTGATTAGCAGAGTATTTACTTTTACATTCAAGGTTAATTAGCAAATGACTCTAAATATTCGATCCGTAGGCCTTACGTCTCTTTTGCGTCTCTTTTGTATTAAAAAAAAGAAAATAAAAAAGAAAAGTATTCATCCACTACTTATCACTACATACATGCACTTGGAAGTTGTTGATATTGCTTGATCTAAAAAGCAAATTAAAAGAAAAGGATAGTAAGTCTGACAATAAAATGTGTGGAATTTTTCCCCTTAATATCTCAAAGCAACACATTTCGACCAACAAAATGCTTCAAATGATTAAGATAAGACAGTCAATTATTACTGTAAATAATAATTTTCACAATTGAGATTTCTCAACACCACTCAAATAAATTATATATGTCACACTCAATTCAAACATATAATTGAGCCCTAATGTACAATAATTTGTCACCAAAAGGACCACTTGACTAAGTCTCAATTATCATTGTCAAAAACTTCATGCTTTCCACAGTTTCTCACTCTCAGAATTTTATAATGCTTCAAAAAAAATGCCATGTTGCCCACATGTCATCACATGGGCTACAATGGTCCTGTAGCCAGATCGAGGGCTAGGACCTTTGAGTAGCCGTCTTGTCAAATCCATGATTAGGGTTTTACGTTAGGATATTTTGGAGTTTAAACTACCTGCCACGTAGAAGAGACCTGTGGAAAACTAAGACACCACAAAAACTTGATGTTCTTCATTTTGAAATTAACATGACAAATGAAGAACCATGCGACAAGATATCAATTTCAGTGCAAATGTTGGTTTGTGATCTCATTAATGGTGCACTTTGTTTGATCTGTTTCTTACAGTGTGCAAATTGGAAAAAGGAAAGTTTTGTTTCGATTAGTCAATCTTTGAGTGTCTTGTCGGTAAGGAAATTCCGTTCTCTTTTTTTTTCCTTTTTTATTTTTATTTTATTTTATTTTATAAATCATTTTATCATCGTTGATGTTGTATGAAGGATCGAAACTTCTCGTGTTAGGGGTTTAATTAATCCGTCAAACTTGATCAATCATGTATGAGTAACTCTAATAATACTTCAATATCCTTAATCGTTTGCATATGTTCAACTCTGCCATGAGAATGTCATGAGTTTAAATCTCATGACCAATAATTATTGAATAAAAAGCAATAACAGTTTATTAGAAACATATTATTCTTTGTTATATTATTACTTCAAGACTATCAATTGTTAAAAAGAATAGTGGTCCTCAACTTTTGAGTTTGAAAGTTGATTCCCATGCTCCCCATTGCGCATGTAGAGCATTGCATATGCAGGTTTTTGTATGCCTTTAGGCATCCAAGCCCTCGAGCACCATATCATCTTTGCTTCTGTATGTTCCTCTTTTCACATGCCAAGGTCCTAACGATATAGACCTCTCCAATCCTATCCCCATTCACTTTGGAAAATCCTAAATGGTACCCAATTCCTTCAATTTTAGTCCTTTCTATTTTTGTTGCATATATATATATATATATATATATAGTTTTAAATTTCATTTTATTGGATGGAAAAATTGGGCTCACAGCTCAGAAATTGCTACACCACAAAGTTCTTTCCCATGTCAAGTGGATTGCATGCCTGGCATTAGGGTCTACCGCACGACTTGAAGATATTATATTATGAGGTGTTGCACTCGAGGTTTTCAATCCTCTCTTTTCAAATGTCGCTTGTATCAAAAGATTCAACTCCGATTCGAGTACCGAACAAGTTGCTTTGTATCTCAGTGACTCTTAAGGCATGTATACATCAAGTAATTTTAATGAAATTTTACACTCCGAATTAGTTTAGGATTTTATATTTGGAGGATATATATAATGTCAAGTGATTCAAAACCAGAAAAGAGAATCCCTTCCTTATTACGTGCAGCATATCACTATGGTGATGAAATAAAGATGCGAAATGATAATTCTTTCGATATAGTTAAGTGATTCAAGACCAGAAAAGAGAATCCCCTCCCTTCCTTACGTGCATATTAATATGATGATGAAATAAAGATGCCAAATGATCATTCTTAATATGTCATATCAATGAGGTGTTTGGATCTTGGAGGACAACTCTAGTTCTACATGATTTTCGATTTTCATATTCTTTTTGTTATATATTCTTCGAATTTTCATACGAATTTCCACATTCTTTTTTTCCCCCCTCCTTTTTTCTCTGTCTACAAAAGTTTTTGGTGGGGGTGAGCCGTAGATTCCATTACACACCACAAACTTTAAGAAACATGCTTAGCTTTATATATGTGTATATATTTATCGTTTTATATTAGAAGTGAGAAGAATCAAGGGAAAGGTAGCCTCCACTAGAATGTGCTAAGCTAATCACTATCTTTTATATACTCTGATAAAATAAAATGAAGAACTTCAAGAATTAACACTTGAAAAACAAGGATTTATTGTGATAGCCGAAACTTCTAGATTTAGCCAAAGTTTTCATTTTACATTGGCAATGAGCATCAGACCTATATTCATCGTTATCCAAACTACCATAGAATAAAGGTGAAGCATACAGCTTGCGTTTTGGACATGGTTAGTTTAATTTTAAAAAAAAATAGTGAAAAAAAATACTGGGAGAAGGAAAATCAAATCTGAGACCTAGAATGCAGGGTAAATGATGTTAACCACTTGAGGTACAAACCCTTTGTTTAAACCCATTAACTTAATTACTGTAAATTCGATGCATTTCTGCCGTACTTGGATATAATTTATAATTCATATACCGTAATTTTATGATTCGTCTTTTCTTTGGGAGATTTGAATTTTGAACCCCACAATAAAACAATATTTCAATGAAGTAGTAGTACTTACGGATTCTACTTAGGGGTTTTTTTTTCATAAAGAAAAAAGGTATTTTATTCGACAATAGTGGCAGCATTTATACTCATTGTCATTACGTATTTTATGTGCCATAAAGCAAGTTCCTAGAGTTAATGTGCTTTTCTGGTAGGCATTAGTTAAATGGTAATATAATATACATTTAGAGATAATCTAGCTCAAAGGAATATTAGAAAAGTTATTAGGAGGATAATCTAGTTTGGTAACTTCAAACAAAACTAGTCTTGTTATAGAAATCAGATGCTAATTCCCATCAAAAAGAGCAAATAGACTGCAATGAGAATAAGATTAGTTAGACGCGCATAAAATCCTTGTAAGTAATAGATTTTAAAATTCAAACATCTCTTTTAAAGGATTTTGAAAATTCCATTTATAATAATATGTGAGAAACCGTATACGACACACATTAAATGAATATGAACGAAAACTGTCCATAGTGGATGGGAGACCCTACTCAACCCAAGTTTAGAGGATGCTTAGGGTTCCATGCTTAATTCCAAATACAAACCACTCATTTTAATCTTTTGTTTAATTACAAACTCACGCTATGTGGCTCAACTTAACACGACAACAAAATGAAACGTATATTGCAAAGACATGTATTACAGTACTTCTTGAAGAAAGTTGAGTTTCCACCTCAAAATCAATTGGCAACCAGTAGCCCAACTCTTTATAAGCCATTGCAAGGTTTTCTAACTTTCCAATATGTTACTTTTTACTTTCACATTCTCACACGCTCCCGCACGTGTGGCGAATTTTCAAGCCTAACACGTGGACAACACATTTTGGATGACGTGGAGCACGTGTGGCCGTTGGGCTTTCACACGTGGGCTAACTCGCTCTGATACCATGAAGGAAGTTGAGGTTCCACACCAAAACCAATTGTGGCAATGGGGGGAGTAGCCCAACTCCTTATAAGCCCTTGCTAGGTTTCTCAACTTTCCAATGTGAGACTTTTTACCTTCATATTCTCACACTTCTGGACCTTTGGAATAGAGGAAGAAGGGAAGAGACGTTGCAAGCAATGTGCCACAATAATTTTGCGATAAACTCATACCATGAAGAAGGGAAAATATATTGCTAGCTTTTTTCATTGATTTCAGTAACCTGATTACCTACAGTGATAGTTGTGCATGAACACCGCAATTAATGTAACGTTAAACAAGCTTAACAAACGAATATATAACTAATCCTCTAACTAATTCTAATTGGTTTTGAACGAGGAAAAATGAGTTCTGTTCAATTTACAGTAAACGTACGTCCTTGATGAAATTTTCTATGATTGAATTGGCAATCTTCTTTCTTCTTGTTCCTGATAGCTAGCTTTTGAATTCAACGTACAGAAACTCAACATGATGGAAGAGATCCAAGTTCAAATTTATCGCTCCCTCTCATGCATGCATGGCAATTAATATTGGCGCATGGAGAGAGTTTGGTAACTAATTAGATGATAGAGTAATGCACTCAATATATACGACAAGATATGAAAATCAATTCAATGAGATAAAATCAGCATCATAGGGGTTCACAACTTACACACCAATTTAAGGAACAAGGGCCTTGTTCATCTCAACATTTTATGAGAAACAAATTTAAAAATACATATAGGTCTTTTTGTTTTCCCCAGTTTTTGAACCTATTCTCATAATTTCCTCCGATGAGCTGTGAATCTGTGATCAGTACTTCATCATCAGATCTAGTTAATTAAGCAGCCAAAAGCGAAACCACCCCCATGATCACCACCCCGGCACCAACGGCCATGATCTCACGAGTACGTGAAGCTGCAGAGGGCGCAGGTGCCGAAGGCGTGGGCGCTGTACTATCTGACGGTGAGTCAGCAGATACTGGTGGCGAGGATTTGTCATTTTCTTTGCCCTTACCTTTGTGCTTTGACGGAGCTGGAGCCTCGTCTGACGGGCTTGGAGCTTCGTCATCAGAGTCGTCCTTCTTCGACTTCGAGGGGCTTGGGGCCTTGGCAGACTTGGGTGCGCTGGCAGGGGCCGAGGAGGAAGACTCGATGTCAGGAACATTAATAATGGACCCCACCTGAAGCACTGAAATGTTGTAGGGCTGGGAAACAACCGACTTAACAAAGTTGACACTGTTGCCATTCCCGCCCTTGGCTGCAGACCCGAATGAAATTTGTCCGTTGTTCACCGAAACCTTGATGAAGCCTTGCTCCCCCCTTGCCTGACCCGTCGACTGGAACAAAGTTGTGAGAGTGGCGGACTTGTTTGATTTGAAGATCTTCTTGAGCTTGTCCTGATCGTAGTAGTCCAACACCACGTGGACGCTCAGGATCTTCTTGGCCATATCGGAAGATTGCCCAGAGAGGCCTCCCGCACCGCCATTGTCCACTGCGAGGATGGTGATGGTGCTGCGTCTGTTGATCTCGTCGGCGAGCTTAGTCTGGGAGAGGAGGTTGTTGAAGTTGGAGAAGTCGGATTGCTTCTCGAGGATCTTGGTGATGTTGAAGGCAGAGACAGAGGAGGGTGACGAGAAGAATGCAAGGAAGAGGGCAAGGAAGAAGGAGAAGAGGAGGGAGGAGGCTCTATGTTCCATCTTTGTTAGCTGCCACTTCTTGCTTTGCTTTCTTTCTTGCTTTCTTGTTTGCTGCTTTGAGTTGTCAAAGCTTGCTTTTTGTGTGGAGGGAGATTGTGGGATTTAAATAGGGCACAAATTGTGAGCTATAATTAGACATGCATGCACAAAATGGGATGTTAGGGGTTCAAAAGGTTGGGAGTGATTTTCTCCTTTGTCCGAGTCACAATTGGGATTAGTTCTAGTCGACGCACTCCTTAAAAATTGCTAACCATGCGTTAATTACTCTCCCTAGAAGCAAATTAACCCAAATTTAGAAAACTAAAGTTTCTACTCAACACATTCTAATCACTTAATCTTTTGTTTCGCAGGTTGTTATTCTAGTGGTAATCTCAAGAGTATTTACTCTATACTCATGATCATAATTTGAGTTGTATCTTCTATATTGACCTCTAAACTTCATTAATTTTATTTCGCTCAAACTTAAGAAATAAATAAATATAAAGGGCCAACCATTGCTGATGTGATCTATGTGTTATTTTTATTTTTTTGGTTTCTTTCACTTTAAATAATGTATTAATGAAAGTTGCCATTGAAGATTTCATTACAGTAACGATAGTTGCACCTCACCATATTATTCATAAAGTATCATTCTAATTTTTGCGTTTTGTAAATATTTATCTGATTAATGTAATTAAATGAGATGAAATTAGTTGTTTTTCCGATTACAATGGATGATCTGTTGGGTGGTTTGGTTCCAGCCAAGATTTTCCTTTTTTTTGGGCTTCTAGATGCAGTGAAAATTTAGGTAAATACACCCTAGTTTAATAGATAATTAAAGTAAAAATTATATTATGTCAAAATTTCAGAGGGACGGACCCTTGGCTCACCACTAGCAACATCGATATTGTCCCTAACTTAATCACCTGTTTAGCAGGTGTGAGGTTTTTATACAAAAGGTCTCGATGTTATTAGGAGTAGAACCATTTATTATATGAGACTTTCTATTTTGTTAAGTTTCCGATGTGGGACTCGTGTATTCTTTAACACTTCTCCTCACGTGAGACCACTTTTTAGTGGGCCACATGTGCAACCAATTCCACATCGGTCACTTTTTTTTATTTTTTTTATTTTATATTTATAAATTTTAAATTTGGGGTTTGTTTGATTTTTGATTCAATTTGGGGTTTTTTGTTTGATTTGAGTTTTTTTGATTTGGGTTTAATCGGGTCCAGTTAACCGACCCGCTCTAATACCATATTAAATTTCAGAGAGACGGGTCAGAGGCCCACTACTAACAACATTGATATTGTCCCCAACTTAACCACCTGTTTAGCAGGTGTCCTTTATGCAAAAGGCCTCGATGTTATTAGGAGTAGAACCATTTATTATATGAGACTTTCTATTTTGTTAAGTTTCCGATGTGGGACTTGTGTATTCTTCAACACTCCTCCTCACGTGAGACCACTTTTTAGTGGGCCACATGTGCAACCAATTCATATTATTCTTTAAAATTACTATTAAAAATTTTTGATAAAGAAAAACAAGATTAACCTCAAATTATTTACAATCAAATATGCAGGGAGCTGGCCACCCATAATTGCATATTATTTTTGTTATGTTTTAAGGTGTGTTGAGCAATGATATATTTCAAAATTTATGAGCTAAGCGACCTGAGTAAGGCCATCTCCAATGGAGAGGGCCAAATATCAAATTTTGGCAATATAATCTGGATGGAGCCCCCAACGCATGTATAGGGCCATGCAAAATATCAATCCAGTCAATTATTTTGAGTGGAATAGCAGTTCACGTTTTGCCTGGATTGAAATTTGGTGGAGCCCACTCACACAACCCACTACCCCATGTGCAAAATCATTTTTTGTGGAACTATTAGAGTTAAAATTATTTTAAAAAAATTTTAATAAAGCTACGGATTCAAAATTTGAGTTTGGAGGGTTGGGGGAGAATGTTTGAATCTAGACAATACATGAATAATTATATTTTAAAGGATGTAAATTTGGGTTTAGCCCTTTTAGCATTGGAGATGGCCTAGTGTAATGGGGTGTCATGGTCAAATCCTTGGGTGTATATTTAGAAGCCCTTGTTACACATTTACAAATAAACTAGCCCAGGAAACCAGTTTCATGGACCGTCCATTTACCTTTTTGAAGAAGCCCAATGAGAGCCAGTTGTAATCTTTCAATCTCAACAACACAAACCACTCTTTTTCATTACCAATTTTACTCTGTCAATTCTCATCCCTCTCTCTCTCTCTCTCTCTCTCTCTCTCTCTCTATTTTCATTGGCTGTCTTTCCCACAACCTTGTCCCATACTTGAGGAATGTTAAACATAATTTCTTGTAAGTCTTTTTTTTGGATCGATGGAGTTAGGGGTTTTGAATTTGAGATATCTTTTAATATTGGGAAGAGAAGTACCACTAAACTAAGAGCTAGTTGGTTCGTATAAGTCATTCTTAATTTGACTATTTGATACTAAAATATAACATACTTGTATACCTCATAGAGACCCATTCACGTAGAATGGCTTGTTGTCCGTAAATATATGGACACTATCGAATTTAGTCGTCCAATTTCATCATTATTAAGTTCACCAAACATGGTTTATGTTAATATTATAATTATAATTAGATAGATCATATATATTTAAGAGCTTGTGAAAATGTACTTAAAGGGTAATCTCTTATGATTCCAAAACAATGGTTGTCAGAAGAATGTATATGTTTTACATACATTTCCCTACAAAAACCATTAAGTTTGTATTGTACCCTTTAAGATTTGATATTTTCTGTTCCTAATACATTCATATCTCCTTTTTGATAAAACCCAAAAAAAAAAAAAAAAAAAAAAAAAAAAAAAAAAAAAAAAAAACTTAAGCACAAAAAGTGAGGCCAAGCCGATCATCACACCGGCACCAACGGCCATCTCAACGCGAGAAGCAGCAGATGGGGCAGGGGCAGGGGCAGTGCTTGATCCTGCCTCGTCGGGCACTGGTGGTGACGACGATGTCGTCTCATCGGACGATGTAGGTGCCTTGGACTTGGACGACTTGGGGGACTTGGGCGAGGCGCTTGGGGCCTTGTCATCGGACGATGAAGAAGGAGCCTTGGATGGGGAAGGAGATGACTTGGGAGAGCCAGCAGGGCTTGAGGCAGCAATGTCAGGGATGTCAATCAGCTCAGAGATTTGAAGAATAGAAATATTGAACGGCTGAGAAACAACGGCTTTAACAAGCTTGGCGTTGAGATTGCTGCCTTTGGCGGCGGACCCGAAAGCGAGCTCGCCTTCGTTGATAATGCCGGCGTTGATAAAGCCCTGCTGGTTCTGAGCTTGGCCGGTGGACTGGAACATGGTGGTGAGTGTGGTGACTTTGCTGGACTTGGCCAGCTTGGTCAGCTTCTGCTCATCATAATAGTCCAGGATCACGTGGGCGCTCAGGATCTTCTTGACCACGTCTTGGGATTTGCCAGCGAGGCTGGAGATGGCGCCGTTGTCGACGGCCAAGACGGTGATGGTGCTACGGCTGTTAATCTGCTCGCCAAGTTTGGTCTCCTTGAGGTAGGTGTTGAAGTTGCTGAACTCCGACTGCTTCTCCAGCAGCTTTGTGATGTCGAAGGCCGAGGCCGAAGAGGAGAAGACAATGAAGAGGAGGGCAAGGCAGAGGATGGTAGAGGCTTTGTTCTCCATCTTTTTATTCTTCTTGCTTTGCCTTATTTATTCCTGCTTTGAAAGAAATGGTTGCTTATTGTTTTCTTTCAAAGCCTGGTTTGTGCAGAGGGGGGTTTGGGGGATTTATACAGAGATTGATTGCTATAATTAGAGAAACAAAATTGGATGTTGGAGCCTGAAGGTTAGGAGTGAATTTCTCTCTGCCATACACAAAAAAAGGCCAAGAGATTTGACCAGGTTTTTTTTCTTTCTCAGAATAAGAACAGAAAAACACAACTGAAAAGCTGTTAGATTATAATAACCAATGTATATTTGACACAAAAAGATAGTAATATAGGGTTATGGAAAATATTTGTTTAATCCCTCTCGAACATAGATAATATGGTACTAGAATACGCCCACGTGATATACGACTTCACATATTAGTGATGAGTTTGGGGTTTACGAACGGTTTTATATTTGTTAGAATTCAGTTTTAGGAAAACACAGTGGAGACTTGCAGGATGACAGTTAATGACAATTAAGTTAAATGATGTAAAAATGGGGTGTTGAAGCTAATAATCACCTTGCATGCCAGAGTCGATATGTCAATCAAAACTCCAAAATTGCTGCTTCTAAACTTGGTAATTTCATCAACAGCCTTGCCTATAAAAATTACCAACACCCTTCTCAATTTTCACAACCAAAAAGAAAAAAAAACCATGGCTTCTCTCAATGTCTCTTCCCTCCTTCTCCTCCATGCTTCTCCAGTGCTTCTGGTCTTCATCAACTTGGTTACGGCAGCAGCCTTGGACGTCCCTAATAATCTCCCACAAAATTTGAAAGATTTGGGTGCCCTCGGGGACGAAGACACTAAATCCAAGATCATTGATCAGATCAACGGCCAAGCTGGGACATTGGCAAATGCACCAAAGAGTGATGCTACTGGTGCTCTAGCCAACATGCTGAAGTCTGCTCCGGCGCCTCAAGGTAAAGACCAAATTACCAAAATCATGGATCAACTCAAAGGGCCAGCTCCACAGGCAGATGCACTCAAGACTGGCGGGGAGGATACAATGCTATCCCAAATGTTCAAGTCTGCTCCGGGGCCTGGCGGCAGCGCTGTAGCTGGCGCCGCTGTGGATGTCTTTACAAGTATATTGAAGCGTGGTCCACCAGCCACTGATGGCAGCCAACAAAAGCCAGAGGCCCCTCCTACGGTTTCGGGTTCACCAACTCAGGTGGCTTCCGGCGTCCTCCTTGGTGTTGTTGCCATCTTCTCATCTTTTGTGGCATTGTAAGGAAAGCATGTAGCATAAGACATAGAGAGCAAAATGGAGAAGGGGGAAGAATTGGAGGCGCCAGTCTTCATGTCCCCAAAAACTAGGGATGGCGGAAATCCCCGTCAGGTCCCCGATTCTAACGGGACGGGTACGGGGATCCCCAATTTAAAAATATCCAATCGGAGACGTGGTGGTGATGGTATTATTATTCTCATCCCCGAACCCGGCCGCATAAGTGATGTATTTGTTTTTAATTAATAAATATGTTATATAATATAATATAACAATTAAAAAATTACCCTAACCTTTGTAAGATGATGAAACTTTGGAATGTTTATTATTATTATTATATGATTTTACTATAGGAACCTTCCCTTTAGGCTTCTTCAGACCTGAAAATTCCACCAAATACTTCCTTAGTTTATGGTACAACACAATTCCAAATTGATTATCTGGGTGTTTTCATGCTCGGCTATGATGGACATTCTGGTATGTTATATGGTAGTTATCTGGTCATCAAATGCATTATGCATGAGTATCTGCTTCTGCAATGAATGTCATAACAATTAAAAGTTATCCTAAGCTTTGTAGAATGGTGAAACTCTATTGAATTAAATTGAGATGATTTTGAATAGTTAAGTGAAATTTTATAATTCAATTATATAAGTGAAATTTAAGTGTTATAATATGAATAATTTTTTTTAATTGTTTTAAAAACTGGGGATTTGGACCAGGTTTGGGATACCAACCCCCGACAAGGACAAGGACGGGAATTCTCTGAAAATTCAAGTCGGAGAAAGGAGTGGGTATGGGGAGCGGAGACGGGAATTGTATTGCTATACCCGACCCCTAACCGGCATGTTGCCATCCTACCCAAAAAACCCCCCAAAGTGAATGGCAGATATCAAAAACATGTTTTAACAATAGAAACGCAGTACATGATTTTATCAAATTTCTTTTTCATTATTCCTCTAATGATATTATTTGTTATCAATTTTTTTGAGAGGATGGAAAATTTCCTCTGGCTCCAAACAATTCTCTCTACTTCCCAAAAAATTATTTTCCTTTTTTATTTCTTTTACAAACTTAAAATGCATACATAGAAGGGAAAAGTAGGAAAATAATCATTCAACTTCAATCTATTATCAAATCTAAACAAAGATCATTAACGGAAATTGATATTATAAACCTATGAGCATACAAATCTCGGGCATACTTACGAAATGGCGGCAGTCATGAAGAAAACTTCTAACCACACGAAGACGCAGAATAGATTTCCATTTCTATCTGATATACAAGCATATAATTGGGATGTGATGGAAAATAATAATAATAAATAAATAAAAACCTTTGCATGGGTATAAAAAGCCTTAAGAATAATGCAATGGAGCAGAACTGGAAATCAAATCTGGAATCTGGAATATTATGCTGTTAAAGCAGTTCAACTGATTTCCTTCAAGCACTTACAAAAAGAGTAGGATCATCAGTAACCTACATTCACTTGTATGCAACGGCTAATCATTTGAGCCCTTCAAAAGTATCCAGATCAGTATCGGCCCAACTTTACAGTCATCGTTAGAACACAACCATATGCAAATCAGTAGTAAAAAAACTCTACTGTCAAAACAGCCAATGAACTTTGGCTACCCCACAAAAGACGGTTAGTTCTAATAACAAAAACTCCGCTGCCATGCTATGCACCACCTCCTTCATTTGATCTTCTCAATTATATTGCCAATGACTTCCTCCATGTTCAGATCCTTCATTGGTTTAAATGGTCGTTTCATGCCCTGCAACAGACGACCCATAAATGGCAACTCAGAAAAAATAATTAATTCTTAATAGGCTGATAACACGTAGTGTAGATCATTTCTTCACCATAATAAACTGTCTCATGGATCAGAATCTTAAGATCACCCTCCCTTCATAAAACTAAATGATCTAACCAGCGTTCTTTTTTCAGATAAGAGAGAAGACCAGAGTTTATCTAACATAACCTTGGCCTGATTCACCAAATATAATCAAAGCAAAGAGGTTCAACTGCAGGTATAATTTGTCTGACCAAGTAAAGGTGGGGCAAATATTCTTGTCAGCAGCTCAAATCTTTAGGGAACAGCTTGAGTATGGCTCATCTGGGCCAAAGCAAGCTCAGACGCAAAAGGAAATATTCAACCCAAGATAAAACTTGACTAATTTATGTCAGCCCGAGCTTGAGGACTTTAATGCCCAACCGGGGTCGAGCCTACCCCCTTACAGTTTCTTTTAGCATTTTTCCTTAAACGAAAACTTACCTTTCCAGTGAAAAAAGAGAGTAAGCTATTCGCTCACCCATAGGATCATTCAAAATGTAAATAAAACTTGAGGTCGTCACAAATGCAACTTGTAAAAATATAATAATGCGGGTGTAAGAATTACCAAAAGACTGATGAATGTCTCACCACCTTCCTCCCGTATTTCAAAGCAGCCCCTTCTTGGCTATTTCCAGAAAGAAAATAAAGGGAAAGGTCAGATAATTATTTATGCTGATGATGCCTTAATCCATTAATTATTGATTGAAAACTTACTGAAATACCAAACACTTTAGTCTATTTGTTATTTTCCTTGTGACAAAAGGTTTTGTATGATTCTAATCTGCGCCCTAATGCCTTGTACATTAGCTTCCAAATAGTTTGAATACTTATAACTTCTAAACTCAAACTTCTTTCCTATAGTTGAATAACAGGTCTACAAAGCAATTATGCATAAATACCAAATTCGGTATATCCCCTTATCTGGTTATTCAAGTAAAAGATTATCAAACTTAAGCCAATTTCTATTAGGGTCCATTTGAGAAGAGTAGTTTCACATTTAGGGATATAGTGAAACTCCTATAGTTGGACTATTAAAATGCAAACCTATATTTGAATTAGAGAAAAAGAAGAAACATATGGATTTCAAATGATTCCTTGTATGTAGTTATTTCAAATACATTATGTCTAGTGCTTTATGGGTTTTCTACTAATTCAGTCTTATTGTATTCTTTTAAATCATTTCATCTAAATGAACTCAAATTCATGGACAAAATTAATATCCTTCAACAAGTATACCTTATCAGGGTTTATGAGAACTGTGATACCAGGAACGCCTTTCTCTAAACCACCTTTGACCTGATTAGCTCTTGTCTTGAATGAATTGCATTGCTTGCTACAGAAAATAAGCAAACACTAGTTAAAAAGAACAATAAGATGAAACTGTAAATAGCAAAAACCAAATACTAACTGAAAAAGGCAAAAGCAAACCAAATATGGGCTATGCGGAAAAGGAAACGTACAATGGTTCCCTACTTTCAGAGAGGCTATTTCACCAACTGGAGCATGTAAACATAAAGTCATTTGGAGTAAATATTGTTGTGTCTGACGGACACCTCAACAAAAACTGAGGGCCAACTATCTACAAAATATTCCTCATACTCATTAAAACAGAAAAGGCAGGGGACTGCACAAGACACTCACTAATGTGGAGTTTGGGGATGACATGACATACACAGCCATATCTCTGTTTCTGGAAGAGGTTGGTTTTGCAATTCAAACCCAGACTACCAATGAATAGTTTTCATTCCCAGATGGAAGCAAAGGTCCATAAAATTGTATCCACCAATGAAACTACTCAAAAAATAAAAAATAAAAAATAAAAAAGAAGAAACATTCTAAGTTCTGATTCATAACTATATTTACTTATTTCACAAGCTGGTAGAATCAAAAGCTCTCTTAAAAGAATGAATTTTAGTTTGACCAACGAAGAAGTATTTGCCACAGACGCAACAAATGTGCACTGTTTAATGGTCAAGAAGAATCTTGATTCCAAAACCAGTTCCTGCTTCCTAAATGCCAAGTTAAACATGAAGTAGAGAAGGGGCCAAACACCTCAGCTTTACATTTAAACCACAGACAGAACCCCTTAAATCATTGGCTTTTATCTAGGGGCCAAACACCTTAAATCATTATGTAAATAATGAAACCATGACATAGAAAATGAATAAAAATACCAAACAAAAATTGTTGCTCATGAATCAAGTTTTTTAACTCCTATTTTTCTGTAGGTACCATGAGGCTCACATATCATTTTCCTTTTCTTCCATTCTTTCTCACACAGCCACACCGTAAAGAGGAAAGAAAGAAAGAAAGACAAAGCGACAAACAAATTAGGCCAAAATCATTGTTCCTTCCTTTCTTCAAAAGAAAAAGAACAGAAAAGAAAAGGCCAAAACTGACTTAATTTTCGTTTCATCTTTCCTTGGTAACCAAACAGAAGAACAAGACAAATAAAATACCCATTACAACTACGTAATACAGCGCTTACGATTCCAATTTCCTGATTGTCATAAGTTTTCTGAGGAAATATCTACAACTTATAATAAAACCCCCAAAAATAAAAGTATACTCAAGAAACCCTAGTGTTCTGATAAATTGAAAAAGAAAGAATATAGCAAAATCTCAAAGCGAAAACCATGGTATGAATAAAAACTGAATAAGCAAATAGATTTTTAAAAATTAAATAAAACAAGAAGCGTAATAAGAAATTACATTTTCTTGCATATTCCGAAAATTTCTCAGTAACTAAACATGGCAAAACGAATACAGTGGGATAAATTGCCTCACCAGTGTTCAATCACAATGGTCTTCTTGTTCGACTCCTCACCATCATTCTCCTCAGCTTCGTCTCCTTCGACCTCCTCTTTCTCACCCTCAGTCTCAGCCCCCTCCTTTTCCTCACCATCATTCTCCTCAGCTTCGTCTCCTTCGACCTCCTCTTTCTCGCCCTCAGCCTCAGCCTCAGCCCCCTCCTCGCTCTCTTCGGCCTTCTCCTTCTCTTCCTCCACATCTTCCCCTTCCGCTTCCGCTTCGTCTTTCTCTTCCTCTTCCCCCTTCTCTTTCTTCGGCTCCTTCTTCTTCTGAGCTCCCTTGGACTTCTTCCGCGCCGGCAACTCGGGAAGTGACTCAACCGGGTTTGCACTCGAAGCTCCCCGAGTCAAGCTCCGAGTCACTCGCCGAGTGGATCTGTGAGTCACCACCGTGGTCGTCACCGTGGTCACCTCGGCCGGCTCCTCTTTCTGATTCTTGCGTTTCCTCGGCGCCATTGTCACAAAATCGACAAACCCTGACAGAGTAGCAGAGCACAGAGAGAGAGAGAGAGAGAGTTGCGTTTAGCTTCTCTCACAAGCAAAGGCAACGAAACGGAAAACTGACTCGCTCCGGCTGAGGGTGGTGTGGTTTTTGTACCCGACAGATGGCTCGCATATAATTTTTCATTTTCCCGCGCTTTCACTGATCGCGTATTTGAACAGACGGCTACGATTTGCTCATAGGGTAGTGAATGACTGCAGGCCGTCGATGGATGAGCGAGTACGGCGTAGCAGTGATCTATGACTCCCGATGGGAAATGAAAAGGCTTTTTTGGGGTCGAACCACGTCCACACAATTTCTCTCTCTTATGCGGACACGCTCATCAAGACATAAAATAGTTTTTTTATTTCTGTCAGATTGATGTGTATCTATAAATATAAAAAATATTTTTTTTTTATTGTTTTTTTTATTTATAATTATTTTGTAAGAAGTAGTTTTTAGAGTTTTAAAAATTTATCTCTTAAATCCAACTCTCTATTCTCATATGTAATTAAGAAAAAACCTCTCTCATCTTTCTAAATGACAAAAGGATGAATTTCATGCTTTTTTAAAATTAATTGAGAGGATTTATTTGGTGTCATTTGCTAATTTAGCTTTTGAGTACTACTAGTGACATCATCTTTGTTTACCAAGTTTTATGTGTTTGATTGATTCAAATTTGAGTTTATTTTATGTGTTATTATATATACGGGGAGATTCTCTAATAAGTATTTTATATTAATAATTAGTTACATACTTATCATTTGGGTTGTTAGATTGCATTCATTACATGTAATCGTAATCTCTTAGATGCAATTCAACAACCGAAATTAAAAGTATGTAATCAATCATTAACTTAATACTTATTGGAGAATATCTCATTATATTCTATCAAAGGTAACACAAATAAGGTATTGATATGTATGTTCACGTACTATTTAAAATTTGAATTTAGTATACAAATTTGGTGTCTTTCATATAACCTTTTTGTGTTAACCTAATAATATGATCTCAAATAACTATAAACATTGATTAATAAAGCACATTTTGTGAGTTCTTTTGCTTGATTGGCTCAACAAGAAAAGGAAAGTAAATATTTAAAAATTTGCAACCAATATTCATAAGATAAGCTTAGCTGTTGAGCACTTGTAATTACGGAAGTGAGCTTAACACTCTTGGTATTTGGACGTAAAAAATGAAACACTTGAAAATGAATGCATTTATCATTCAATACTCAATCATTTAAAACACATAAGTAATAAATAGAAAACATGCTATAAGTATCAGTAAATAATGTGAACATTTTGGGATATTCAACTGGTTCAACTCATAAAAATTAAAACTCAACAATAGGCAATTAAATGGGATTTTAGAGCATTTTTACCTATTTGTCATGGCAAAAGACAAGGATTGTTACTATTCACATAAATAGTACTTGCCTTATTAATTTTTTTGTTGGTTTTCCATGTATATATATTGCCATGGCAACCCAATGTCAATCACTATTCACATGAGATATGAAGAGATGAATTTGTATAGAGTTTTGGTGTGGGAAGTTCGGGCTATTCTTGCCTTCGAGCCTACCAAGGCTCAGTGAAGCCCACGTCTTGCTTGGGCTGTTTTGTATAGTTGGAGTTGCATTTCTTGGCCTAGGGAGCCTCTTGCCCAAGCTAGGGCCTCCTAGTGAAAATGCTCTTAGAGTTTATGTTGGTTTTGTTATTTGAGACTACAGGGGATATGCTAAGGTTGTAAGTTCATTTTCTTTAGGTTTTAAGTTAGTTATAGAAGCTGAAGTAAATGGTTTGAAGTATGAGTTGTATGGTAGTAGGATTGTAGGCATCCTTGTTGTAATTATATTTATGGCTTAAAAACACAAAAAAGTAAGAAGAATCAATATTTAGTAATTTGATGTGCTTGAGAGCTTAGTATGTAGAGAGAGATTTTCATGCAACGGGAATAACACTTTTCACTACTTCGGTCAATAGCGCAATGACATGCGGAATAATTTTTCTGTGTATAATTACATTATTGGCAAAAATAGCAAAACAGTGTTATTTTCATTACAAGAAAGTTTTTCTAGTAGTATGTAAGTTGTAACTAGGAAGGGGAGGCAAACAGAGGCAAACAGAGTCAAACAGCGTTCTAAGAAAAATCGTACTAAACATAAGGTAAAAAGCTCGGAACGCTTCGACCGAAAAAAACAAACAAAAAAATGCTCGGAACGCTGACCAATTAGATAAGGCAAAGAAATAAAGTTTTCATACGTGGCGTCATCTACACCAATAGCCTAAACCAAAGCGGTCCCGCCTTTGATTTGCATTGCCTACGTGGCACCACTTCACCTGTAATCAGATAACTGCAATCGCTTAGCAGATTTTCACAATCTGGTCGAAGCCCCGCCTTTCCTCCATGGCTGCTGCATTAACCTCTTCGTTAGCTTTGTCACCCTCACCCTCCACATTCAGAGGAGGCCCTGAGCCCTCGAAACCTAAATTCCTCAACTTTTGCTCAAAACACACAAATTTGGCTTTTGCCATTTTACCTTACACTCATTGTCGTCGGCACAAAACGTTGAGGATATTGGCCTCTGTTTCAGTCTCCAACCCCCAAGCGCTGACCGGTCCCGAAGACCTCTCTGCGTCTATTCTTTCCAAGGTATGGCTTTTATCAATCCCATGTTTTAGTTTTTTGGTTTTTCAATTATGGGTTCGTGATTTGTTGTTTGGTAGCTGAGAAAATGTGATTTTTTACCCATATCAGTTTCACTGTTGCCTTGTTGGAAAATTAACAGGCTTATGTTAATGGATTTAGTACTGTATCAAGTATTGTAGGTGCAGTTTGATTTGTGGTTTATGCCAAGTTTTTTATTTATTTTATGTTTGACTCGTGAAATATGACTTATGATCTGAATCAGGTGACACATTCTGATAGAGGAGTTTTGCTGAAAAAGGAAGAACAAGAAGAGGTAGCTGAAGTGGCCGAGAAATTGCAGATCTTTTGCGTTAGTGAACCAGTGAAATGCCCTCTTATTTTCGGAGGTAAATCCCATTAAGGTGTGGACTTTGTTTCTGGAGATGCATATTACAGCCTAACTTTTGGGCTGAAGCATTGTGGCCAAAACTCAAAACTCCTAGTTCAAAATTAGTCTTGACTTCAAAGTTCAAAGAAGTTAAAAGTTGAAGAACAAGCATCCATATGACATTTGATTTTCAACTTTATCCAGGTGTTGAAAACAACAATGACAATTACCACAACTGCCTTGGCATTTGTTTTTGAAAATTAGCATGAGCAACTGTTTGGCATATGATAATCTACTCATTACTATTACATGGTATGCATTTCTTTGTTGTTGTTGGTCATATGATGATTTAATATAGTGCTTTCACAGATTGGGATGTGGTGTACTGTTCAGTACCGACATCACCCGGGGGTGGCTACAGAAGTACGTTAGGCCGCCTTGTTTTTAAAACGAAGGAGATGATTCAAGTTATTGAAGCTCCTGACATTGTCAAAAACAAAGTCTCCTTCTCTGCTTTTGGGTTCTTGGATGGAGAAGTCTCTTTAACAGGTAGGCTGCTGAGGCTAAGATAAGACCGATGTTTGAATTTTTTTCCTGATTATACGCTTTGCTTTGTAGTTTGAACTTTAAACACCATTCTCATTTTCTGGTCTGATCAGTGATGGTTGGGTTGGTAACAAAGCTCCTTTTATTGAACATTGCATGAAATCCAGTCTGTTGTTGTAAGCTTCTGTTATTCTTTACCTCACATACCTACCTTTGACAACAACAAAAAATCACATTATCAAGTTTCATATGCTAATCTTTTCATAAGCTTGTTCCCTTTTCTACTTGATTGAGTGTTCTCAACTTCTCATCTCTGCACGCACGAGCAGGAAAGTTGAAGGCTTTAGACGATAAATGGATCCAGGTTATATTTGAGCCACCAGAACTGAAGGTTGGTGCATTGGAGTTCCGATACGGCGGTGAAAGCGAGGTTAAACTCCAGATCACATACATAGATGATAAGGTCAGGTTGGGGAAGGGCTCTAAAGGTTCACTTTTTGTTTTCCAAAGACGTGGTAATTCCACTTGAAATGGTTATTGTGAGACAAGAACCGTTTTCCATGAAAAATGTAACGCTTAATGATGCAAACAGATGTGTGATATCTCAATGCTATTATTGTACATTTGAAGCTACTTTGATACGACTGAACATGTTAGATCAACGGAAAGTTGGGCCTTAGATTTCGAAAGATACAATCAACATGATCACGAACACACTAAAACATGAAAATTTGCTTGATCCAAAACAAGTGAGAGGTGTTGCAGCAGACAAAGGAAAAGTAGACAATCTTCTCTGAAAAAAATGTAGTAACACAAAAAGGTTTCTTGAGGTCCAAACAATCAAAATGCAATTCCAAAATTCCAAATCGACAAAAAAGAAGAAAGGGAATGTTGTTAGCCAGGGCCTACTTTGGGAATGTCATAATGCTCACTAAGATTTGCCAGATAGTGATTAAATTCCTGAACCCGATCGCGATGTGATTTTTTGGCCATCTTGGCAAGCTTTTGCAGTCGAATCCTCTCTGTCTGTTGGAGGTACCGCCTCTCCGCGGGTGTCAGATGATCATCATAAGCCCCAGCCTGTACTCTGCCACCGTCATTCTCAGTATCATCCATCACTGCTTCTCCACCTATCACCCTCCAAAACAAAAAATTGATTTCTCCATTAGCGAAACAAAAATCACAACCTCCAAACAAAAAAGATCAAAACTTTACCACAAAATTGGAAAAGGGTTCATTCATATTTGTAAATTTTAATCACCACCTACCAATACCGTCTTCAATGGGACCATAAATTTAAAAAAAACACCCTAAAAAATAAATAGAAATAAAAATTTCAAGAATATAATATCAGATTACGTGCAATGCAACGCAGAAAATAAGAATTTGAGTAGAATTAGAAAAGAAGGGAAGGGCATCAACTAACCTTGTGAGGCTTGAGACAATTGGTGATAATAATTGCTGCGTTTCTTCTTATTTTTCTTTGAAACCCCACCTCCTTTCACGGCCAAGGGTTTTCCTTTCAGCTTCAGCTTCCCAACAACAACTAAGTTATCAAAAGCAGACATCTTTACCTATAGGGAGAGATTACGCGAGAGAATGAGAACTGATCGTCGAACCCTTCAATTCTGTGATTATGGCAAATATGTAATATGCAGGGACGTAGGTTCTAGAAACTCCTCAAACTCTCTCTCCTCTTCCCCAACGGACATGCACGCACATTGAGTTATGGGCCTACATCAGTGGGTAATGGGCTTCAATTCAAAATACAAGTCCAACCCAGAGTCTCTCCCCTGCTCTAACCCAACGTCTCATCATTTTTTGAAGCTCGTTCTATGAGGCTATCAGCAACCCAGAAATTCTTTTGGGTTTTGTTAGAAGCTTTGCTTCTGCTGTTGAACTCTCGGCGGTTTCGCTCAGGGCCGTGAAAAGCCGTCGCTTAACGCTAATTGTGTGAGAGAGAGAGAGCTTAATATCAGTATTTGAGTTATGTTTCTTTGTTGAACTGGGCACTGCCCAATTGGCTCCTTCAAACTTAAGGTTGGTATTTGTTCCTAGGATAATCTGGTTTTTATCATCTCCCCATATTTGTCTCATTGTTAACTTGCTGCAAAGTTTGGTTTGGCATATCATTTGCTAGATTTTGGCAACCAATTATGTAGAACGTTTTTGCATCAAGGGCCCATGATTATATCTTTTCTTTGTCTTCCATCGAACTATAAGCAAGAGTAATTTTGTTCGTTTTATCTGTTTTTTTCTCCCTTGCCAAACATGAAACATATGAAACTAGTTCATATCGGAATTTCCTATTGTTCAGAGCTTTTCCTATGAAATAAGCAAAGAGTAATTATGGCTAATAATCTCACCAAAACCATGTGCCCGCATTTTGTGTATTATGAAATGAGAAGAATGGCAATGCTCACATTTTTCAGTGAGGAATAGGATGTCACCAGAGTGGTTTTACATTTGCCTAAAAGTATTCAATACACAAAGCCTACGACATCTTCATAAATCACCGTTCACATTCTTGTTTTTTCTTTTTCAGGGTAAATTTTGTACAAATTTGGAGCTAGAAGTACCATTTTTTTGGTCTTTCTTCCCTTCTAAATGGTTGTCATGCTTAGTGCCCGTCTTCCCACCATTAACTATGCTCTTCCTTCAGGTTACTGTTATCTCAAAACCTTAGCAGCCCTATTATATTCTTCATTATCTCATCTCAAGTTTGTCATTTTATGAACTTGATTTCATTTTTTCAGGTAGAGATTGTAAGTACACAGGTCAAGCAGTGGTAAACTATCTCCACCTCAATTTAATATCCTTTGTTTTTATAATGTATATATTTCAAATATTTCTTTATTCATACCGAATCAGTGATTGATACTACATCTGCCATCGTTGGATTTATTACATTGCGAAACAGTAAGTTTTATCTCTGGAACGAAAACTATATTTATATGATTTATGAGTTCAACTTTTGTTAACCGACAGCCCATCCATTGTTTAGCAAGGATTTATCAGTTTGCTCAATGATCTTGATTTTGTTGGCCCTTTTTTGAGTAATTTGCGTATCTGTTTCAATCGAAATTCACCCATCATGTTAGCTATGAAGTATCAGTTTGCTCAATGAATTTGATTTTGTCATTCTTTTGAGCATTTGGCTACTGTGTGTTGCATCAACAGATCATTACACCTATTGGACCTAGAACTAGTAGGTTCTCATTCTGATTAAATGTGATATTGATTCTGGGCAGAGAGCACTCCCTATACGAATAATATCAATAGGGAAAAAGAGATCAGAAGGTGTACAACTCGTAGTGGATGAGTACATTGAAAAGCTTAAGCTCTACTGTAGTGTTGAAGATGCTCACATACGGAACAATCCTAAAAATGCACGGTACTCTCATTTTTTTCATCTAAATCATCACAATCTTTGTAGTTAATGTGAATATATATATATATCTTTATCTTGGATATGCATAGACCTCTTTCCTGCAAACTGGACATTAATAATGTGAGAAAGTTCACCCAAAAAAATATATATTGTGAGAAAATTATTGACATTGGACGCATGGAGGAAATATTCATATTGTGGTTTCATCTGATCATTTCTTTTTGTAGAGCTTATATTAGTTTTCTTGTACATTGTAGTGATTGGAGAGCTCAGGTTGATCATGAAGACAGTGCTGTTATGGATCTTATCAGGTCTGATGATTGGGTACAGTCTGAGCATCATATGGACTCAATCTTAATTGGATGAATAACTTCTCACAATAGTAGGAGAATTAGTCTTGCCTTTACATAAAAAAATTTGCTCTGGATACCTTTTCTTTGTAATGTTCTGCTATTACCCTTGATCTGCTCATCTACCGAGCCTGAACCAACTCAATCTCTACTACCCTTTCGGCACATGTTTTTAAATGCTTACCTCGTCAAGCTTGATTTTTCTTACATATAGAATTTCCATGAAAAAAAAGAGGTTCTGATTCTTATGGATTTATTTAACCATTATTATCATGCTGAAGGCTAAATTTCTTTTATTCTAAACCCATTGTAGAAATGACTTCCTTTCTCAGATGCTCTGGAAAGGGAAAGTGGTGCCATTCCATTTTGGTGGAATTCATCAAAGCTGTTATAAACTATATGCTAAAAGGGTTATACTTGTTTCTACATTGTCACTTTGTAAACTTGCGCTCGTAGGTTGTGCTGTTGGATGAGCATGGGAAAGACATAGGGTCCGAGCAGATGGCTGAGTTGGTGGGGGATGCTGGAAATACAGTATGAATGACCTCTCATTTTTGTGATTTTCAAGAATGATAGTGTGCATGCTTGAAATTCATCCATTCTTAATATATGTCGTTTGTATGTATGTTGAGCTGGCAGAGGAAAGTTTAGCACGAAAATTCAAGAACTTTTTACCAATAACACTATTGTTTCCTTTGTCTGTAGGGAGCTTCAAGACTATCATTCTGCATTGGTGGACCGTATGGTCATGGAAAACGATTGCGAGAGCGTGCTGATGTTTCTGTCAAGCTGTCTTCTATGGTATTAAACCATCAAATTGCAATAGTTGTGCTCGTAGAACAACTCTATAGGTAAGAGTATGTTGATCTGCTGACTTCTAAATCATGCGGTTCCCAATTACTGAAATGCCGACTTCTGAAAAGTATTCAAGGAAATCATTTCCAGCTTAAAGCAAATATTAAGGATAAATTACATTAAATAAGTTAAGGAATGCTTGAATTTTAAATAAGATAATGTCAGATCACGCTGAATGACTAGATAATCCATGTTTATCAATTTACTTCAGGTCGTGGACTATTCTGAAAGGACAGAACTATCATCGTTAGCCTTTCGTTTCCTATTCTAAACAATGCTAACAGGTATTCCCCTTCTTCATTCCAGATGATTACTCTGTCTGCCTTGCTTGAGTTAAGTTTGAGTGACTTGGTTCAACCGATGTAGGGCATCGGCAACATATACATCAGAGTAAGAGTAATACACTGGACTGACAGGGTTGCTGGTGGCTTAAACGTGTATTTGGGTTTGTGGAACTAAATTGTTCTGTAGTTCTGAAATTCATACACTATTTTTCTTACTCTCAGTAATGTAGTGGATTAAACCTCAATGAGAAAGAAATTACAGGTATTAAAGGAGTTTCATGATAGATCGTTTCTGTGAACCTTTAGCTTCACATGGCAAAGTTTTGAATTTTAATACAACACATCACTATTGATCATTCATGTTCAAATTATAGGAAACAGAGTGTATTATACGAATCTTGATACCTTGATTTATTACTAGTTTTTTGTTAGATTTGCTTTAATTTTTATCAAAATCGTTTACAGTTTTTGTAAAATTTAATATTCATTTGTCAAAATTTATTTTATTATTATTATTTTTTTACAATGGTAAAATTTGGATAATAAAAGGGTGAAAATAGCAGGTCTTTGTTCAACTCTATTTATTTAACCCAAAAAATAAGGTTTTGACACAATAAGATGAAATTACCGCCAATAATAACGGACCTAACGGTAGGTTTGAAGGCAAATCAGTGTCCTTCCCTCCACTGGCTTACAAACCGCCACGTTACGAATTCAAACTCTCTGCCACGTGTCAGCAGCCCAACAGCCTAAAACTCTCTCTCTCTCTCTTTCCCTCGATCTCACAACATTGCATGGCTGTTCTTCACTCCTCACTCGCTCCCTACTGTCTGAAAAAGCTCATCATCCTCCCATTCCCATATCCAAAACCCACAATTTCAACCAAAAGACTCAATCTTTTCCAAGCAATGAGTTCCAGCTCCAAATCCCAACCCTCTGCCCCGGTCTACAAGGTTCCGGGTTTGGACCCGGAGGAAATGGACCGGGTTGCGGACCAAACCTTTCAGAGGTACTCGTCCTCCTCTGTCAAGAGAAACGGCAAAGGTGTGGCTGTCGTTTGGTTCAGAAACGACCTCAGAGTGCTGGACAATGAGGCTCTTTACAAGGCTTGGATTTCGTCCCAGGAGGTTTTGGCTGTGTATTGCGTTGATCCCAGGCTTTTTGGCTCTACCCATTACTTTGGTTTTCCCAAAACTGGAGGTACCAATTTTATTTTATTAAAAGAATTTCAAATTTTTGATCTTCCTAGTTGAAGTTTTTGGACTTTTGGCTTGTTTTCTATTACCTTGGGCTGTGAAACGTTTGGAATTTTGTTCTCATTTTGGCTTGTGCTACTTTGTTTAAAATCTCCTTGTAACGTAGAATGATGCAGAATTGAAATGTCATACAATTTTGTTGTTTGGCAGCATTGAGAGCGCAATTTCTCATTGAATGCTTGGCTGACTTGAAGAAAAATTTAATGAAGCGGGGTCTTAACCTGCTCATTCAACATGGGAAGCCTGAGGAGATTCTCCCTTCTCTTGCAAAGGTTTTCGGAGTCCACACAGTTAAGTGATTTCCACACATTTGATTGGTAGAATGAGTTTGTTATGTACTTTTCAACTTATTAAAGCAGCAGAATGTTGATTGTAATCTAATCTACTTAGGTATATGCCCAAAAAGAAACTTGCAGTGAGGAGCTAAATGTCGAAAGATTGGTCAGAAAAGGTCTGCAACAGGTGGTTTTACCATCGTCTTCAGCGCAATCCTCTGGGCCTAGCTCTACAAACAATCCTAAGCTACAACTTTTATGGGGTACCACTATGTACCACATAGATGACCTCCCATTCGACACCCTCAGCTTACCGGATGTGTATACGCAGTTTCGTAAGGCATGTAGATTTCTTTCAAGTTCATTTTACTTCAAATCTATATAACTGGGGGAGGTTTTCTCTGTTAGTTGTGTTTATCGATGATACCGAAAACTCGCAGTCAATTGAAGCGAAATGCACAGTTCGTGGCTGCATCAAACTTCCAGCATCTCTTGGGCCACCACCCAGCATTGGGGACTGGGGATGTGTTCCTTCATTAGATCAGTTTGGACTTCAATCTCCAAATGTAGGTTATTATATCATACATACAAGTATACAAGCACATATTTCATACTTTGTCTATTAAGAAATTTGAGAAGTTCTTTTTACATACTCTGGATGCAGGTAAGTAAAGGAATGAAGTTTGTGGGGGGTGAAAGTGCAGCCTTGGGCAGAGTAAACGAGTATTTCTGGAAGAAGGCAAGAGGAATCTTTAAGTTATATACGTATATATATTTATATGTATATTGATTTTGAAAATGTCCAATAGAGGAAAATGGCTTTTTATTTGAACACATTTTATAATATTCAAAGGAACAGTGTTAATAGAGTAATTTAGTTATCTGACTTATTCTCATGTGTTTCATGTGTAGGATTTGTTAAGGATATATAAACACACCAGAAATGGGATGTTAGGACCTGATTATTCAACAAAATTTTCTCCATGGCTTGCTTCAGGAAGCCTTTCTCCTCGTTTCATTGATGAAGAGGTTGAAATTCTTGGTTATTATGTTCCTTTCTATATATGACTACATGACATTGAGAAAACTGACACTAATTTTGGCAATTGATTCCTTAAGGTAAAGAGGTATGAAAAAGAAAGGCAAGCAAATGATTCAACATACTGGTAATTCTCTCTCTCTCTCTCAGTTGCATGAACTAGAATGAAACTTTTGGAGGACAAAATGCTGTCAATATATAATTTCTTTGTTGGAACAAAGGTGATATAGATCCCCCGGGTAACACAACAGAAACCATTCTTCAAGCAGTGTTGAACTTGTATTTTGTCTTTTCCCTTTTTTTTAATCTCTGTTCAACACAACAGGGTATCGTTCGAATTGATATGGAGGGATTACTTCAGGTTTCTATCAGCAAAATATGGGAATTCCCTTTTCCATTTAGGTAATTTAGTTGATTGCTTTAATATTCAATCATGTCAAAGTACTAAAAAAAAGGCCTAAGAAAAGAAGTAAAATTATGTTAACTAAACAGTTTGTTGCTGCGCAGCACATGTGAGCAACTTATTTTAACATATCATTGTAGAGATTTCAATTCTCGCTACTTCTCTTTCTTAGCAGTCATGTCTTTTTTTGGCCTTTTTGAAGGTGGCCCAAGAAATGTGGAGCATAGATGGAGCCAAGACAAGATTTTATTTGAATCCTGGAGAGATGGTCGTACAGGGTACATTGCTTTGCCCAAGAGCTAGATGATGAATATTATATCTCCATAATCTTTATGAAAAACAAAACAGAAAATCTCTCTCTCTCTCTCTCTCTCTCTCTCTCTCTCTCTCTCTCTCTCTATTAGTGTTTTGTAATTGCTCTGCTAATGATATACAGAGCTTGTTAAACCTCTAGGTACCCTCTAATAGACGCCAACATGAAAGAGCTATCAACCACGGGATTCATGTCGAATCGGGGAAGGCAGGTAATTCCAAAGTAAACTGTCACTATGAATGGTATATAGTATATTTATGCATTGCTACCGTAAAACTTCTTGTTTTAACCTTTAATGTTATTATTCTGGGAAAATTGGGCATAGTCTTGAAAATAATCAATACTTCATTTATTATTCTACAGATTGTATGTTCCTTTCTAGTTCGTGATATGGGTATTGACTGGCGAATGGGAGCTGAATGGTTTGAGACATGCCTTTTGGATTATGACCCTTGTTCCAATTACGGGAATTGGACCTATGGAGCAGGTGGTTTCAAATTCATCATTTTATTTACTTCCATGTATGCATGTTTCTGTTAAAAGTATTAGCACGCCTCTCTCTTAACTTTTTGTGTTGGGTAAACACTCCTGGCAGACGAGGATCATAAAATTATAAAGAACCAAGGTCTCCTTTATAATTGTAGCCACATGCTTTAGGATTGTAATTACTTAACTATTTTGGTTTAATACTAATCAACATTTTATCATTTGTTCATCCTGTTAAGGAGTTGGAAATGACCCCAGAGAAGATCGTTACTTCAGTATTCCGAAACAAGTGAGTGCACAATACGTTGCCTCGTTATATTTTCTTAATATGAGACCTGATTTTCGAATGACGAAGTGCAGAGTTTTTCACAAATTTTTCGATGAATTATGTTTGGAGCTACAACAGCTTTATAAACACTTTCTGTACCTAAGATGCTATTATATTTTTTCAGGCGCGGACATATGACCCCGAAGGCGAGTATGTCGTGTATTGGCTGCCTCAACTAGAATCACTTACAAAAGAAGAAAGAAACTTTCCTGGAAGGGCATATATGAAGCAGGTTGTGCCTCTCAAGTTTGGAAATACCAGTAGGCACCAAAACCAGGACAAGGCCTTGGCTGCTAGAGGCACCAATTTTGGAGGAAGACAAACAAAAGGGCAAAGGAGATAAATCTGGGTTGAAACTTGAAAGGATTTTACTATACATAATACATCTTTATCCTTCTCAAAGTATGTGCTGAAAATGAGATGCAAATATTTTGTTACTAATAACCTTCAAATATATGCCCCGACTTTTCGTTTGCCACCGTTGTTTGTTTAACTTGATTTCATTCGGACCTAATTCGAAACTTTCATTGAACTAATTAGGAATTTAAACTTGTTTGAGTGGCCGGAAGAAAACATGATTAGTCGGAATCATAGATTAAGAAATTAACTTGATCACATCTGGGTTAAGTTTATGTAATCTGAGTTCAAGTTAGAGTGGTTCAAATTCGTAGTTTTGATTTTTGAACTAGGTTTAATGATCCGATGTAAGTTGTAATAATTGTTAATAATCCGAATCTATAGCCTAACCCAACTTTATATATGATTTTGATGTAAAGGTTATAACTATTTGATAAAAAGAAAAAAAAACTTACTATAGTGGGTGGAATATTAAGATAGCTTAATCTATATATATGAAACAAAAGATAAAAAATAGTAAAACATTCAAAATATCAGAAAATGCACTTGGTTAATGCAAATATTAAGAATTGAAATTATTAATTAAATGAGGATAATATAGTAAATTCACACATTTTCATATTAAAAATAAAATAAAATAAATAAAAAATCAGATAATAGATCATATTTTTATGGAACACAACTACTCATTATCTTTTTAATTCTAAAATAAATTAAATTTTTTTTTTTAAAAAAAAGCCTTTTGCAAACGCGGAAGCTTGTGTGAAGAGGCTAGTATTACATTTATCCAAAAAGAAAAGAGAGATAATAAGAAGCTGGATTTGGGCCCGACTTATGGGGCTGAACCCGATTTGACCCAAATTACCCTCCGACCCGCCCCTACCTGTGCATTCGGGTTCTTCAATCTTCAACAGCACATGAACCATTTGGATCTTCCAAAAACTCGCGCCGTCCGGGGCTAACCTCGCTCAGGAGAAAACTAATCCGTACAAAAACCAGTCACAAACACTTAGTTACGGAGTCAAGGAAGAAGAAGAAGAAGAAGAAGAAGAAGATAGAAGAAAGAAAGGGGCTTCTTCTTCTTTTTCAAAAACCTTCAATTTCTTCACAGAAAGCTCCAATGGCAGTGAGTTCAATCCCATAAATCGTCATTTCACATTTGTTTATATCGTCGATTGTTCATCTGTTTGTTTTTTTGGGTTTTTACAGCTCGTAATCGCATGTGGAGAATCGTCGCCGTCCCACATTACCCTTCTGAGATGTTTGAATCGAACCCTCGACTCTATCAAGCACAACATTGCTCGCATCTTTGCTAATATTTTGTGCTGCCAAGCTAACTCTGATGAAAGCTCCTGGTAAATTTTAATTTTCTAGTCTTACACTTTACTCTTAGTCTGTTGTTTGTTTGCCGAGAAAAACTGCTAGAAAAGATGAAGAAAAGGCCTATACATATTGATGCAGATGATATTATTGCTTGTCATTTTGTAGTCTTATTATTAATCTGCTGTTTGTATCAGCGAAAATGAGTAAAAAAAGAGGAAAAAGAAAGCTAAAGAATTAATACAGAGGACATAATTTATTGCTAGAAACCTCTTAGTGCTCTTAAATTTCAGCACATTTGCCTTTTTGTAAGGAAAAAAGAAGAAGAAGAAGAAGAAGAAGCTAATATGCATTATTTGCTTTGTAATATTCATATGCAGGACTTGTCGGGGTAAGGATCTACTTCCATCCACTTTTGAGGATTTCAGGAAAAAATGGGACGAGAATTACCATGTGAGTGCTCAAAATTGGTTTTCAAAGAAGAAGAATTCCTGCGGTAAACAAGATCCACGCGCAGTTTGCAACGTGTTGGATGCAATGTTGAGGGATAGTTTGGAACGTCTCAAAACGATGAGGTCAGCTTTCAGTCTATGTACTCTTAGGATCAAACTCAAAATCTTATTTGATGGATAGGGGAAATGCTCAAATACAGATACATATTTCATAGTTCATAACAAGCTTTTGTTAATTATGTGAAAATCTGCAGGGAAGGCATATCTACGGCAAATATAGGCTTTTTGGATTGCACTTTGAAAGCTAATTACACAGATTGCATGGCCATCATAAAGGTTTTATGTATAGATGGTAAGTTGGGAACAGCTTTTTGGCTTCGGAGAAAACTGATAAAGAAAGGCATTGTTGCTGATGTCTTGACACACAATTATCTATTAAATGCACTGTGTAAAACTGGTGACTTGGAGAAGGCAGATTGGCTTATTAGGGAGATGTTAGAAAATGGCCCCTCTCCCAACTGTGCCACGTACAACACTTTTATTAAGGGTTATTGCCGCCTTAATGAAGTGGATAAAGCTCTTTATCTTTTATCCACGATGGGTAACAGTGGTATTAGGCCTAATAGAATCACTTGCAATATAATTGTACATGCATTGTGCAAGAAAGGCCTTATGGAGAATGCTAATAAGCTTCTAGAAGACGTATTAGATGATGATAATGACAAGACAACATCAGATATAGTCATCTCAACTACACTTATGGATGGTTATGTTAAAAATGGAAATATGGTTCAGGCACTTAGTCGTTGGCATGACATGGTCCAAATGAATATCCAAGTAGATGTCATTTCTTATAATGTTCTCATTCATGGATTTTGTCTGAGTCAACACATGGACCTTGCTTATGGATACCTTTGTGAAATGATCAAAAGAGGAATACTTCCTAGTGTTTTTACTTATAATACAATTTTAAGTGGTCTTTGCAAAGGAGGAAAGTTAGAGGAGGCTTGTTATGTCCATGGACTTATGTCAAGAATGGGAGTTACTCCCGATCAAATTTCATACAAAATACTTGTTCGGGGCCTATGTAGTAAAGGAGATGTTGTCAGAGCTAATGAGTTTCTTCTTCATATGCTAGAGAAGTCAGTGGTGCCTGAGACTCTAATATGGAATACTGTCATTGATTGTTATGGAAGATATGGGGATCTTACTACTGCATTCTCTGTTAAGGATCAGATGCTCGCTTTTGGTGTTAAACCAGATGTGTATACTTACAATGCATTGATCCACGCCCAAGTGAAAGAAGGAAATATTACTCGTGCTCTTTCTCATAAAAAGGAAATGCTTCTGTCTGGTCTTTTTCCTAATGCGGTCACTTATAATTTGTTGATAGGTGCTGCTTGTAACTTAGGCGACATTCTTTTCGCAGTGCAGTTATATCATGAAATGCTGATAACAGGACTTGATCCAGATATAATTACTTACACTGAACTAATCAGAGGGTACTGCATGATAGGTAACATGAAGAAGGCAGAAGAGCTTTTTGAAAATATACAGGCATCTGGTTTACCTATCGATCATGTTCCATTTAAGGTACTTGTCAAGCAGTACTGCAAAATTAAGGAGCCTGACATGGCATTTGGCATTTACCAGAAGTGGCTGACGAGGGGGAACTGAGTTATCCTCTTGTATAAACTTTGACCATGCATACTGCAACATTGTCATCTAGGCATGCAAGTCAAAATTCTTGGATCTAAATTCAACAGAATCCCTTCTGACAGTGGCCGTTTCTACTTGTGGCAAATAGGAATCTTTCATATGTTTTTCCTGAAGGTATGTGTTTCCACAAATGTTCCATCACACTTTGAGTGATATATTTATTTTTAGGTATTTGTGTTATTAATTTAGACTTTTTGGTGATTCTGGTCATCCATGGAAAGCTGGACAGAGAAGCTTCTTTGTCTGCTTCTAAAGTTCTACTAGACTACTAACATACAAAGATGCTCGTCTGGTTTCATGTTATGTTAAAACTTGATAACTTATATTAGGATGGATAAAAAAGGGTCTTGTTCAAGTCTAATTCGTGTCAGCTTAGGGCATCAAGTTTTTGCGTTCATATTTTTGTGAGTGATATGGAACACTGACTGTTTTGTGCAAAAATCTTACAGGATCAGGTGGTTGACAGGTGGCTTATAGAATTGACTCTTTTTCTTGATGGTCGTGGTCCTAAAACTGGGACCAAATCTGATAATTCCTTTCACACGGAAACAGGATGCTTTAATATATACTTGTGAAGATCGGATGGGCCCAAACATCCCACAATTTGGACCGTCATTATAAGGAAGATGTCCTGATGCTAGGGAGTATATTCAGCAGGACTTTGGTCAGAATGTTTCACCTATAGTTGTTCAGGTTGGTATATTCAGCCGTTTCCTACCAACTTATATATACTTGAAACATGAGTTTCAGAATTATGATTCATCTTATGAGACCTTGTTTAGGGATGCATGAACTGTTGATGATGAGATTACACAGTTATTGAGCTGTAATTTGTACCTGAATTAGTCACTCTATGCAGTCACATTCTAACTCGTCTTGAGAATTTGTACATTTCTATGAGGTTTCTTTTTGTGTTGAAAATTTATAGACAACAGGACGGGACCTGGACGTGTAATGAGAACAAAATCCTTCTTTTGAATGCTTTACTCTCTCGTGTGCAGGTGTTTATACCACATATACAGCAGAGATGGATTCAGGATTGTTTGCCTCTGAGGTTTCATGTTCTATTCACCGTGTTTTGACACCATATTATTCATCCAGTTTGGAAGGATACAACAGATTCTAGGTTCTGGTTCACCTTTCAAAGAAGAAATCTGCAGGTTGTGAAATTGACCTGGAAGTATTGGTTTTTTGTTTTGAATTTTTCATTATTTATAGTAAAAATGTTACATACAGATTACAAGGGAAGGGACCATAGAAGCTGAGAAAAGCCTTATAATAACAAACCGAGAATAGCAATGGGTATTGGAATTTTGGTCTCTCTTTTTTTGTGTGCATAATTCTGTAGTGGCATTATAGAATTTTGTGTAAAACCAAGAGGTGATGTAATAATTGGTGATCAGATTGGTCTCAAATGGAATTCAGGAGGTTGCTCCCATGATAGTAAAACTATTATTTATTATAATAAGAGTTGGAGAGTTGAAACTGATTAGGCAAAGCATTATTTTGTTCCTCGGTGAACCATTAACAATGGGCTTTGGTAGCTACGAGAGGACAAGAATACAAGGAAATGGTAAAGAGGGAAGGGAGACGGCAAACCCCTTGTTCTAAGCTTTCAGTCGTCCCAGAATTGAAATGCTTTCTTTTGGGATCGATTTCCTGGCTTCTAAGTTTTAGAGTAGGTCTCAAAAGTAAAGATTCTTTCCTTGTCCTTCCTAAATGTGGTACCAAGGAAGGAAAAAGACGAACAACTCAATTCCCATTAGTAGAGCATTTTTCTAATAACTAAAAGTGCTTCTCAAGTAGAAAAAATCCAATGTGCTTTTAGGCCATAAAACCGCTTTTTAGAGAAGCACTTGGTACGTATATTTTCAGAATGTACTTTCATGTATTTTTTCAGAAAAGCATTTAAAATTTTAACAAAAATTTTTGAAGTGCTTACTAACAAAAAGTGAGCCATGTAGAAGCAGTTTCAAACGAGTAGGTAGTTAGAAAATGAAAATGAATGATTTGGATGGAGAAATTAGTTACAACTAAAACATCCAAATGGCCCTAAAACCCAACTGCTTTCTTCATTTCTTACTAAATTAAGTAGAGCCTACAACCCATTTCAATTAAGAAAAGATTGAATTTCATTTGCATCTTCAAAACTTTTTAACAAAAACTGTTCGCATTTAAAAAGAAAAAAGTAAAAATGGGTTGAGAAACTGAATTATATATAATGAAATAATGAAAAAGGTCGTTGAGTAAAAAAAGAGCAAGTAGACTTTTTGGCGGGGAGATTCTAGTAGGCCAGCGCGGTTTGGAGAGCTGGCGTTGGGGTCGGCCGTGCGATCCAAAGAAGAGGGTCCGTGGTCCGGTGTGGGCCCCACTCACCGTGTGATCCGGCCCCGCCTTGGAAGCCTTGAGGTGCGTCTAATTGAATATTTGCGTGTGAAAAAAATAAAACCAAAAAAAAAAGAAGAAAGAAAACGAGAAAAAAAGCAAAGCCCCATTTTTGAAGAGGACGCCCTTTCTCTCCTTCATCCTTTTTCCCTCGACACTCTCACTCCATCGCCGATACTCTCTCTCTCTCTCTCTCTCTCTCTCTCCATCATCGATCAAAGCTCTGCGTTTGCGTTGCCCTCACGGACTTCTCTTCCTTGTCGACTTTCATCATTACTTTCCCTCGCTTTCTCCGCCCCAAAGATCTGAAAAGCCAAGGTTGGTTTCTACTTTCAAGGTTCTCTCTTCCACAATTTTTCGTAATTTTCCAGATCTGATTTTGATTTTTTATTCGTCTCTGCATATTGCTTTTGCTTATTGATGATTGATTTGGTATTCGCTTTCAATTCAAAAGAGCAATTTGAAAGGGAATAATAATGGCGGACGACAAAGGCGTCGTCGGAGAAGCCAACAAGAAAGACGCGGCAACTGTACCTGAGGTGGTTGCGAAGAAGAAGCGCAAGGGACTTTTCTCCAGAATGTTCAGTGGGATCTTCCGATTACACGGCGATGACTTCGAGAAGCGGCTCAAGTACATTTCCAAAGAAGAAGCCACTGTCCTTGCTAGAATGCAGAGGAGGTCCATAACGTGGAGGCGCATGAGCAGACATCTCATTCTCTTCTCTGTCTTATTTGAGGTATTGGAATGTCATTCATAGGACCCATCAATTAGGACTTTGTTGCAGCAACTGGGCTTTTTTTGGCTGATTAAGAATTCTGAACTTTTGTGGCAATACTATCTAGAAATTGCACCATACTCATCGTCATGTTTATTGGCATATAGAGTTTGAACGAGTTGGGCAAGTGAAATATTAGAAGGGAATGATATGTGTTTGCGTACTTGTGTCATTTTCAGATTATTGCAATTGCTTATGCTATAATATCAACGAGAGCAACAAATTTAGATTGGAAGATGAGGACATTTCGAATTCTTCCGATGTTTCTTCTGCCTGCTTTATCTTGTCTTGCTTATTCAGCATTTGTGACCTTCACAAGAATGCGTGAGTATCTTAAACTTTGCAACTTCCTTAATTTTTGATGTTCTTGTGACGATTCTAGTTATTTTATTAATATCTGGGACTTATTTTGCAAAAGGTATCTGGTTCCATGGTTGTCATAGTGTCTTGGGTTGGGCTTGTTAGGAAGCATTTTGGCTTAGTGGTTCATCATTCCGTGGTTTACTTCTTACTTTGTTTATTGAATTTGTTAGTACATTCTTTGTGCATGGAGTGTGTAGCTTCTCCACATATGACATTGGAGTAAGAAAGGTCACACAGGCCCATCACACATTAAATTGTTGGTCATTTGTTAGACCATTTTTGTTGAAAGTCACTGAGGACCTGTCCTTTAGACATCGTTCCTCACAGGGGGACTTTTCGTGCTGACTGGTATTTTAATTGTGTGCCACTTTCCATGCAAGAGGAAGTTCTTTTTAAATTTATTAGTTGTGAGTTTGAACTGTTGGAAAATAAGCGTTATGAAATTTGGGAATTTTCTTGGGAATCGTTTACGAAATTCGCAAATCTTTGAACTGGAATTGGGCACGGTACTCGTGGGTGGCTAGTTCATAAAAGATACCTGATCTACAATGTCTGAAGTTCAATACTGTTTTCAATATGATACATATCATGCATATTTCTTTGAGCAAAAGTCTCTTTCCAGGCTGTACCTATTTTGATTGTCTTGACATGTTAATGTTTGATTTATGTATGCTTTGAGTTTATGCTTAACAGCTTCCATGCATACCTGTATCTTAGGAAGCACAAACTGAAACATCAGGCATGTTTTTTAGTTGTCTAACAACATGTCAGTGCTGTAATGGATCATTGGAAGAAAGCTAGAAAAGTAGACCTATGATGTTTTCATTAGTTCATTGCTGTTGTTAAAAATGTTTGTTGAATAATTTGGATGATTGGTTGTATGAACCCATTATTTTTCTATGAATCAAGTTTTCCAATCTAATGTGGCAACTTAGTGACCATTACTTGTGTAAAGTTGATGTGTGCATGTATTAAAAATCTGATATCTCAACCTTTCAATGTATTAGGTGATCGCAAGGACGCCAAAACCCTGGAAAGGCTTCGGGCTGAAAGGCAAGCAAAAATTGATGAACTAAAAGAGAGGACAAATTATTACACTACTCAACAGCTTATTCAGGTAATTATTTTTGTTGTTATATTGCATTCGTTATCTGTCTTTATGCCTCATTATTGAATTCTCTTTGGTATTCTTTGTTAGCTTGTTGAACTTTTATCAGGTGAATAGGGTAGCTGTTGATGCCTTTTGCCCCTTCATCTCATTTGACTGTGTTAATGGCTGTATAGACAAACACTGTTTGGAAGAATTCCAGGAGTTCATGTAAAGTGGCCTTAAGAAACCATTCATTTAGATTGATTGCAAATTCGCAATAGTCATGTGGCATACTTATTTCTATTGTAGTTGGCTGAATCAGTTTTTGCTTCTTTGAGAGAACATCTCTTCAAAAAAAGCACTGTAATGAACAAGACTCCTGTGCCCTTTATGCTGGGTTTTATTTTATTTTATTTATTTGTGTTTTTAGGGGAACTCTGCAATGGTTTGTGTTTGAGTAATGGTATATGTGAAGATGTACCTTGCTTGTCCCCCTCTGTTTTCTTGGTTTGAACTTAAGTTATATTCTTTTATGCAGAGATATGATCCTGACCCAGCAGCAAAGGCAGCTGCTGCAACTGTCCTAGCATCTAAGTTGGGTACAGATTCAGGTCTGAAATTTTATGTGGGAGATGAATCTGAGATTAATGCCTCAACAGGGAAAAGCCATGATGTTGAACTTGTCCATTCTGGTGAACTTCGAAACCGTAAACCAGTACACACCAGATCTAATAGTACAGGGAGTGTCCCATTGACTATTTCTGAAGAGGAGGCACCTCATTCTGCAAGGTCTGACAGTCATCAGGTTTCTGAGCATAGTCAACTGATTGTTAGTCATCATAGTCCTCAGGGAGCATCTCCACAGGATGGAGGATGGATTGCTCGGATTGCAGCATTACTTGTGGGTGAGGATCCAACACAGTCTTATGCGCTCATATGCGGCAACTGTCATATGCACAATGGTAGGTTATCCGCATCCTGAGTACGCACTGTTGCTTTTTCATGTTTTCATAGAAGCAAGTGAAGGAAAGGCCTGATTATGGTGCACACTCATGCACTTTCCTCACAACCAGTTTTCTTTCTTTCTTGTGGTTGAAATAATGATCTCATACTTTTTTTGTCTCTATGCAGGGCTTGCTAAGAAGGAGGATTTCCCATACATCACTTATTATTGCCCACACTGTCACGCCCTAAATCAGCCAAAACATTTCGAAGGGCATGTTTCTGGTTCTAACACGCCTATCACCCCTAGTTTGAGCTCTTTGAGAGCAGGGGTCAGCAGTGAGGCAACAAAGCAGGCTGGTGACTCTTTGGATGACAGTGTACTCACAAGTACCAGCCCTGTTAGAGCTGGTTCAGAGATTGAGGAAGAAACTGAAAAGCCTGCGTCCGGCGATACAGTTAGTTTAGAAAAACATGAGTAGGGTTCAGATGTTCTTTTCCTCAATTAGGCCTTCTTTTCCCTTTGCTTGTAGGTATGGGGTTTATTTTCTGCTGAATGAATTTACGGGTTTGCCTATATGCGTGGTCGTGTACAAGAATATGTTGAGTTGCCTTGATAAACTTTTGGGGCTTTATGATCATAGAATACATGGATTGATTGTAATCTTGTACATCTTGTGAGTTTTTCTTTTCTGGTTCAATTGTTGGAGCTGGTCCAAATACCTTTCCAGATTTGGAAAGCTGAAACTTTACTGCTGTAGTGCAAATGGTCCAAAAGGAGTCTTTGCTGCGGTCATTTTTTATTTTTTCATATTTTGAGTTGTAATTTTTATTTTTATTTTATACAATTGAGAATCTAAACTGTTCTTAATTATTTTGATTTACGTGGAGTTCTCGTACTTCTTTGTTCAAAATAATAAAGGAGCGGAGAAAAGAAAACATTTTTAGCAAATTTGGTTAGGAACGAAAATGATCGACGGGATATACATAATAAGAGAAACCATATGAAATTAGATCCCCAATATTTCTTGGATGGGTTATTCTTTTGTCGGGTCTTTAATGGGTTATTAGGGGTGGAATTTTTTAAAATTTTTCTATACAAGCGATAATTTAAACTATCGGGAATGTGGAGTTTTTCACACACATAACCAAGATGCTATGAGAGTTCGAACTTGAAATATCAAACCTGCAAGTCAAGATCCTTTTCACTGGATTAGATCTCTCCGACAAACATTAAACATAATTGATTCATTTTCTTAGTAGAAAAATATAGAGGTTTTTCCCTTTTAACTACGTAGTCTCACCTCATTTTTTACAGCAAAAAAAAAACTCTTACCTCATTCCATTCATTTGATGACACTTGGACTGAGGTGGATGGTTAATAATGGAGCGGTAATTTCAACTGATGTGGGACTGTAAAAGTCGTCTCAGATTCTGACTGGATCTTGACTAGCCCCCGTGCTCGACTCTCATTCAAAACCCCCCAAAAAAAAAACAAAAAAAAAACCCTGTGTCCGTCTGTCTGTCTGTCTGTCTGTCCGGCTCCTCCCTCTCCTTCCCTGCGTGGCTCAACCCTTCCTTTTCCAACCATTTTTATTTTTATTTATTTTATAAAAATAAATTAGGTAAAAAACAAACAAGACCAAGTTTTGTGTTACCAAAATCGAAGCCATTCCTCGCACGCTGACCTAAAAAAACCCCAAAATCATATATTTTTATTTTTATTCTTCAATTTCACACCAAAAGCTCGTCTCCTTCATCTTCCTCCAAGCTTCAGCTCCAAAGGTCCAGCTTCCTCTTCCTCCTCTGTTCCTCAAACCTCAGAACCAGGTACCTCTTGAGCTATTTCTCTTTTGATTATATGTTTTTTTCTCTAATTTTCTTCTGCTTTAACATGCTTGGATATTGTGATTTGATTGCTTTTTTTATTGTTGGTTTCGATCAGGTTGTTTTTGTCGTTCTTGTAGTTTCTAGGGTTTTTTTTCTTTCTTTTAATTTCGTTTTGTTTGTTCCTTTTTCTTTCTGGAAACTGCTGCTTAAAGATCATTTTATTTTCATTTGCTTATTATGTATTCGTGACTAGCTTTGAGAATGCATGATGGAAGTCTTAGCATCTGAATTTTATCAGAATGCAAGCTTCCGTTGTGTTGTGACAAACAAGGTACAAGGTACAAGGACATGCTTTATCTGAGAGTATCAAAAACTGTATTTCTCCAAAGATTCCGAAAATTATAAAAATAAATAGACATGAAGCCATTAACACTTTAAAATTAGTTTTCTAATGACCTTTAAACCCAATATCCCACAGTGGTGATATGGAACGCATTGGGCTAGTATATAAACTGCTTGTACACTTTGACTACATCCTATTGCAAAAAAGATCATTGTAAAATGATTTTAGAGAGTATAGTTTGCGACTGTAATTCTAGATTCTCTCTCTCTCTCTCTCTCTCTCTCTCTCTCTCTCTCTCTCTCTGTGTTTGTGTGCACATATTCATTGTAAAATTTTGAAGAATTCATGTTTTGCATTCATGTCCATTGCAGGGTTGGTCGGTGGTTAAAATGAGCCGACCAAGTACACGCAGTAAAAATAAAAGAAATAGACAAGGGGATAATGTTGACACCACTTCTGAAATATTGAGGTAGAAAGTTTTTTTGGTTTATGTTAAAGAAGTTATTTCTGTTGCTTGATGTGCACCTTTGTTATGTGTTGGCTCACATTATGGTTGGTATTGTGCAGGAAAATACATGCAACAGGTGAAGTAACAAATGAGGATATAAATAAGCTATATAAAATTTCAAAGCCAGTTTGTCAAGGTTGCCGTGTGAATACTAAAGATAACCCAAATTGCTTTTGTGGGCTAATTCCACCTCCTAATGGAAGTCGGAAATCTGGCCTATGGCAGAAGACATCAGAGATTATGCAAAATCTTGGCCCAGACCCTTCTCAGGATCTTCGTCCTTCTGCTGATTCTCCTGCAGGCCTCACAAATCTTGGTGCAACATGCTATGCTAACAGCATACTCCAATGTTTGTACATGAATAAATCCTTCCGTGAAGGTATTTTCTTGGTTGAACCTGAGGTTTTGGAACGACAGCCAGTGTTGAATCAACTTTCTCGGCTTTTTGCACAGTTGCATGCTAGTAAAATGGCTTTCATAGACTCATCTCCATTTGTAAAAACGCTGGAGTTAGATAATGGAGTTCAACAGGACAGTCATGAGTTTCTAACGTTACTTCTTTCTTTACTTGAACGTTGTCTGAGCACCTCTAAAGTTACAAAGGCAAAATCTATTGTTCAAGATCTTTTTCGTGGAAGTGTATCCCACGTTACCAGGTAAAACCAAATCTGATTGGAGTAGAATTATACTTCTTTCAGATCAGGCCTTTCTCTGTGTTATTTTTATGTTCTTTTTGCATTATGGGGATTACCAATTTATGTTTGTCAATTGTTTAAAATGTCACACAAACATTGTGGTGTCTTCTTATTTCGTTTGGATAGGTAGTGACTTTCATAAAGTGATACACAAGGGAGCCAATAACCGTGGAAATGAAAATTGTCAAATGATTATTGACTGATTAGCGGTTGTTTTCTTAATGCGTGCTTGCCATTTTCTTGTTGATGTTAGCCCTTATTAAAAAAAGAAGTAAATACTTCCCCTCCATTAGAAAACTATTTATTCCTTCTTCTTTTTTGTAAAAGAATTGTGAATGAGATTTGTAATGTTCATATTTTTCTAGATGGACTTATAAAGTTCTTGTTCCTCTTAGTGTGATGTGGCATTAGATATACTTCTGAAGTTTGTTTAATATTTCCGTCATTTGTAACTTTTGAAGTTTTTAGCTTTGCTTCTTCTTTTTTTCATTTGGATTATTTTTATCATTATGTTTGTGCCCCAGCAGCAAATGTTTGAGTACATTTGATTTTTCATATAAAAGTGACTCTACAGTTATTCCTTTAGCTGATCTCACATGGCTATTATTTTATCCTTGCATGTATGTAGGTGCTCACAATGTGGAAAAGACTCTGAAGCTTCTTCCAACATGGAGGATTTCTATGAACTGGAGTTGAATGTGAAGGGTTTGAAAAGTTTGGATGAGAGTTTAGATGATTATCTTAGTGTTGAAGAGCTTCATGGAGAGAATCAATATTTTTGTGAGTCGTGTAAAACAAGAGTTGATGCTACCCGAAGCATCAAGTTGCGGACATTGCCTGATGTTCTGAATTTTCAGCTTAAGCGTTGTGTTTTCCTTCCAAAGGTAGTTATGATATTCTTGAGAATGTAGAGTTTCCATTTAATTTGTCGATGAGCACAGAAAAGCCGTCTAAGCTATGTTTTATGTAATACACATGTTTGATATTGATGCAGATTTGAGGTTGTACACTTGTTGGTTATATGGTTAGTTATAGAAGTTGTGGTGATTGACTTGTGGTTAATAGTTATTTTAATATTTTCTTCTCTATTGATTTGTGTCAGTAGACGACAACAAAGAAGAAAATTACTTCTGCATTTGTTTTTCCTGGAGTACTTGATATGAGGCAGAGGCTATCTGAGCCTTCTCAGCTTGAATCAATATATGACTTGTCAGCCGTGCTGATTCACAAGGGGACTGCAGTTAACAGTGGCCACTATGTAGCGCATATCAAGGATGAGAAGACAGGACAATGGTGGGAATTTGATGATGAGCATGTTTCAAATTTAGGTTCTCACCCATTTGGAGAAGGCACTTCAGGTTCCAATACCAAGCCTGTTAATGTTAAACCTGAATCAGTTCATCCATCTCGCACGGGACAAATTAATGCTGTTTCGAATGGTGATAATGTGGATGTCAGTCACCAACAACCTACAGAATCTATTTCTGGTCATGTGGAGACATTTTCATCTAGTGATGCATATATGCTGATGTATAATCTCAGGTGTTGCCGAGAGGATGATGAGAAAGTGCGTGTAGAGTGTAATGCCAATGATAGGAAGATAGAAGGTGATATTGTTTGTAGTTCTCTTCCATCTCATCTTTGTGAAGAGATTAAAAACTTTAATGCATCATATCTTGATGCTTGCCAAAAATACAAATTTAAAAAAGAAGAAGAGATGAATCATATCACAGAGCGTAGACAGGAAGTGCGTTCAATTTTGTCTGAAGCGCCTGTTCGATCTTTGGAGGAATCCTTTTTCTGGATTTCAACAGACTGGCTCCGTCAGTGGGCTGATAACATGATTTCACCGTAAGGACATTCTTGCTGTCTTTGTTTATATTTCTAGTTCTTAACTTTCTTTCTGCTGGAAATAGAGTGTCAGGGTCTCTGTTTTGTATATTTTTCTGGGCTTACACAGTAATCACTTGCAGTGTTCTTGACAACACATCCATCCTATGTTCACATGAAAAAGTTCCAGCGTCAAAGGTTGGCTCCATAAAGCGGTTGTCAGCTAAAGCATGGACCAAGTTGTTCTCTAAGGTATTTGCTTGAGTATTTTGGACTCACCTAATACTGTGTGAACATTGTATTTTGTTTGTGGTTACGTACAGCTGAAAATTGCATCATGATGCTCTATGTGATAAACCTGATGTCTTTTTCTGGTTTCTTATGTGTTGATGCTGTCAAATGTTCTGTTTGCTTGTTTTATCTTTTCCATGTCTGTGTTTTACTTCTGTTGCACTACGTGTTTTACTTCCTTTTTAACCGAATTTTGGTAATTTCAGTATAAAGGGGGCCCAATACTGGCCTCTGATGCCTACTGCATGGTTTGCCTTACCGAGGGGGCTCGAAATGTAGTATGTGCTGACAGCTATAGGGATAGGAGAATACTCATGAAGCAAGTTGCTGAGGATGCACTTGCAGGGAGGTGTTCAGATGGAGAATATTTTGTTTCTAAAGCATGGTATGGCTGCAAACTATTCTGTTGCTTTTTATCCTTCCTTCAGACCTCTTCAATCTTCTGCTGCATCATATTTTCTTTTTCTATAGTAATTCTAGTTAGTTTCTATTTGTAGGTTACAACAGTGGCTTAAAAGAAAAATTCTTGATGCTCCATCAGAAGCTGATGCGGGACCAACAGCTTCAATTAGGTGTCCTCATGGGCAACTTATGCCTGACCAAGCCACTGGTGCTAAGAGATTGCTTGTTCCCGAGAATCTCTGGCTCTTCCTTTATGAAGATGCTTTTGCAGTAAAGCCTGATGATCACTTGGGTTGTTCAACGTTTCCTTTAGACTCTGCACAGTGTTCCCAATGCAGTGATGAACTATCTGAAGTTGCATGCATGGAGGATTCTTTGAGGTAATTTAAACTTTTACTCCTAGCAGACTGATAAGCGTGTGTAATTGCGTTAACCAGTATTTGTGCTGCAGAGTGGTGAGGCTCAAACAGCGCCAGACTCATGAGAAATTACTTACAGGGAAAACTGTGCCTCTTTCTCTGGATTGCAAGTATTACTTGATACCCTTTTCTTGGCTTTCGAAGTGGAAAAACTACATTACTGCAAGTGGCAAGAATGTTTCCTCAGTGGAGAAACCTGAAACATTAGAGGGCATCATGGATTTGCTGAAGTGTGAAAAGGTAACTTGCAACTTTTCTGGGCAGTGATTCTGTTGAATATCTGGCACCTCTGGTAGACCATAAATGGCGATATGCATGTTTTTTACTTTAACCATACTCATAAGTCGGACAAACTTACCATTGGTCCCAATTCAACAAGTTGAGGAATCCTGGCATCAAGTTATGGACTGATTATTTGAACTAAAAGTTTTGTTGCGCATTTGAGAACTATTCTGGTCCATGTTCAATATGCCTTCTTTTTATTCAGTTATTATTTTAACCTTCCTCTTGCTTTCTTTCAGCATTCACGACTTCTAGAAAGGCCTGTTGATCTGGTCTCTAAACGTGGTTTAATTTCCCAGAAGTCTCCCCCTGTAAGTGTGAATAAATGCATGTTTGTGAATATGTGTGTGTGTGTGTGTTTGAGAGAGAGAGAGTGCTATTTTTGTTGATTAATCTTGTGTGAATGCTCTAATGTTGGAATTCTTGCTTCTTTTTTCTCTGTGGATTCTAGGTGGATGGGTTAATAATCATTCCTGAGAGTGACTGGAAATCCTTTTGTGAGGAATGGGGCGGTGTCCAGGAGAAGGGCATATCTGCTGAAATTGAGTTAAGTAAAACTGAAGGAAATAATTTGGCAGGGTCCTGCGAAGAGATGCCAATGTGTGAGGAGGATCTGAGTACTCCAAATCCAGTAAATGGTGAAGTTGAGTCTAGACAACTCGTGATTAGGACTTGTCCTGAGGTAAAGGATTTTTTTTTTCTCTCTCTTTTCTTGTCATGCATAGCGGAGGAAACTTGTTTTGCTTGTTTGTTTTTAAAGTAGAATTTGTCTACATTAGGAGCTCCAATCTCTGGAATCTTCGGATCTGTTGTCTTCTGGTAGGATAATTGGTTACTCTAGTTAACTTATGGAAAGTAGTAGCATAAGTTGCCTTGTGGAATTAGTTCTCTCTGTCTCTCCCTGTCTCTCTTTTAGGAATCAATTTTGTTATTATGCAGAATTTAAATGCCAGCAACATTTGCTAGATTGTTCACACACAAAAATCTACAAATTTCAAGTGTGGGTTACATCAAAATTTGCAAGTTACAAGGAGCATTTTTAAAGTTGTTCTTCTGATTAGGTGTCTCAATTTTCCTAGATATGTGAGGATTGCATTGGAGAAAGGGAAAGCAGGGAACTAATGCGGAAGCTTGACTATTGCAATGAAGACATATATGTGTACTTTATACATGGCAAGGAAGCTCCAAAATCCATTCTAAAACCATCTGAAACAAATTTTGATCCAGATCGCCGAGTTTCCAAGCGCTCTCGGAAGACAAAGACTGGGGATCAGATAAGCTTGAAAGTCTCTGGTTCCACAACCATATACCAGTTAAAAATGATGATATGGGAATCTTTTGGGGTATGCTACTTGAAGCTAACACATACATGCGAGCATACACACTAATGCACACATGCACAAACACAAGTGCTATGTGCACTTTTTATTGGTTTACACATTCATCTTTCCAAGATTGAAAGTATCCTGGTTTCATTTCACAACTTGTCCTTTTAAGGTGGCACTCTCGTGTTGTGCCCCTGGTGTTTTCAATATAGAAATTAACTATGAGTTAAAATTGTTTTGTTCCTGTTGGCATCTGATTACTGTTTTACATTATGCAGGTTGTTAAGGAAAACCAGGTACTTCACAAAGGTACTCGGATAATTGATGATGAAGTTGCTACTCTTGCGGACATGAATATATTCCCTGGGGATAAGCTTTGGGTGAACGATTCAGAAATCCATGAGAACCGAGATATTGCTGGTAATTTCACGTTGTTAGTTATTTGGACATTCTTTAAAATATGGTGCTTAGGAAATGTTTGTAGTTGGTCTGATTGTAATGCATTGGCCAATTTCAATAACCATAACATGCATTTGAATTTTTTTTTTATACAGATGAGCTATCTGACCAGAAAATGGATGTGCAACACACTGAAGAGGGGTTTCGTGGGACGCTTTTGACAGCAAATGTTTCATCGCAAGTTGTATAAGATGCTTGCTTTTGCTATTTAATATTTGAATGTAATATGCATGTTTTTGTAGATATTGATAGAGGGGAGGTGACTTGAATATTTTTAAACTTCAACCTGCATTCTGAAGACCTGCATTTTTGAGGTTAGTTGCAATTGTACCATCCAACTACTTTCTTTTTGTTCCATAAACTGGCTTGCTGAATCTTCTCTGTTACCTTTTCCTTTTCTTTTTTTCTCTTCTTAACCTTATCTTGTACATTATTTCTCTTCTGATTCCTTTTCCCCTATTTAGGTAAACTATGTTTTATGAGTTTTATTTTCCATTTTAATTTTACTTCAATTAAAAATGGATAAATGCTCCCGCTGATTTTCAGGATTTGTTTGGGAAATCATTTTTTATTTTGACCCTTCTCACTCTTCTTTTTGTTCCAGAAGCAGTTGAACCTAGTACTGTGGGCTTCCTGAAGGCTGGTCCCGTGTGTAATGTAGGTTACCCAGTCCCTTGCCTTTGAAGACATTTTGCCATATGCTGCCATGCTCGCTGGCACATCGGAAAAGGAAATGTGATGCGTGCCGTGCCCTGGTCAAATGTTTTGGTTCTAACCAGGTGGTCATTTTTCTGTTCATAAGGATGTTACCGTGCCTGTTATATATGCCGAACAATGTTAAGTATCATGGCATGTGTTGTCTTGAATGTAGATTTGTCAAAATTGTTTGTGTGATGTTTTCTCTCATAGCTAATAGCTTCTGCGGCTAGTCATTGTACAAGTAAGTTTTATAAAGTGTTAATAAAGCGAGTTTCATTTGTTATTTCCTCTGCTTCGAATGTTGCTTCCTCGCGGGAAAGTACATGAAGTCAATCTTGTAGATTGATGCACTCGTTCTTAATCCCCGATTGCGGCAATAAGAAAAATAATTGGAATAAAATTTCTAATTACTGAGGCCTCTTTAGCAAGCAAATACAATTTTGTGACCAAAACTAAATGAAAAAAATTCAAAAACCAAATCGAAAAAGAAAGTATGATAATATAACAGATGCTCAAAGGGGCATATCCCAAATGATTTTTCTTTCGTGTAATTTTTTATGTTTGCTTGTCTGTATGCCAATCACGTTCTTCCCAATAAGTTATTCAAATCATGGTCAAAGAAAGTGCACCAAAAACAGAACCTCCTATTTGAAGATAATGCATAAAAGAAAGAAAACACTGATTTTGAAGAAAGTGAACAAGTTTTTAGATCCAGCGATTGTTTCTTGAGTTGTGGGCTCCTCTGAACCACCTATCCCACCCTACATCAGCTGGACCTTTAGTCCTGTGTGTACAAAAAATATCCCATCCCAGTCAAGATTAAGATAGAAAAGAAAAGTCCTTAAACAACAACAAAGAAAGAAGGGACATGGTGGGAATTATAATTATCTCTTACGATGGAAGCAGGGGATCAGAACTGGATTCAACGCTGGCAATGAGCCTGTATGAGATTCACCATAAACATTTATAAAATTAAAAATTAAAAGAAAAAAAGTGATGTTGGGTTGGATTGAAGTTTGATAAAACAGATTAACATTGGATTTTGCTTACTCTTTGCAGACAATGGAGGATTCACCTACTGTCTCAAGTTGGGTCAGCTCTTTCTGCATCACAAGTCATAACTTTTGTTTTTAATGATAAATTATTGGTTTTTCTAGCAATTACAGTATACACAGGAAGAATGAAATGAAAGACCGACCTGGATGATGTCGATTTGGTTATGGAGATGGGATATAGAAGCTGCCAGTTTATGCTTCCCTATGAAAGTGGGATATTGGGCTGCTCTTGCTCTGTCCTCAAAATGAAGAGCCGCTCCTCCTCCTCCTCCACCTTCATGATCTTCTTCTTCTCTCTTTAGTCCTTCTTCTCTTCCTCTTCCTGGAGATGATGATGGTGATGGTAATGGTGATGATGATGATGATGGGTTTGCTTCTACTTGCTCATCCATTGTTGTCGACATCACCACTTACTTGCACCAATACCAACTACAACCAAGCCTGTTTTTAGACCTAAATGATCAACTTTAAAAAGGAAGGGGAGAGAGAGAGAGAGAGAGAGAGAGAATGTGGACCTAGTTTGTTTTCATCATTAAAGCAACAAGCAGTGGACATAGAATAAAAAAGGTGAAATAAATAAAGAAAGCAATGGGATTATAAAGAGTAATGAATTTAAAACTAAAGCAGTCAGTCAAAAAGAAGAAAATGGTTTATGAGCTGCAAAGACAGGCAACATTGCTAACAGCTCAGGCAGACCATATATTTCCATCATCCTCATATAATTTATTTAATAATGTTAATAATAATATTGTAATATTAATGGAGATGACAAATGGGTAGGGGATGAAAGTAGCTAGGCCGCCGCCTCTCTCTCACTGTCAACTACTTTTGGCGGTTTGACAGTTGACATACCAAAGATTAGCTTAGACCTAATCAAACTGGGATAGACTTTCCAACTTCTATCTGCAATAAGCAAAGCTTTGCTTATTTTCAGTCGTCACATTAATGCAAATGCAAAATTTCCGCTACTAGTTATTTCGACGAGTGTATCTCCCAACCCTTCCTCCGTGGTCTATGTAAGTTGTGAGATACTTTGGATTAAACCGACGATTCCATCAATTATTTGGATTTCTTATAATAGACAGTTCTTTGGATTCTTTAATATTCCCTTAACTAAACTTTAGGATTCATACTCAAAAACACAATCTAAACTCAAAACTTAAAACCACAAAATATCAAAATTCATACATGAAACCCAAATCTAAACCCAAAATACGAAAATTCATACATGAAACCCTAATCCAAAATCAAAGCCCCAAAATACCAAAATTCATACATGAAACCCCAATCCAAACTCTAAACCTCAAAACGTCAAAATTCATACTCGAAGCCCTAATCCAAACTCAATACCCCAAAATGCTAAAATTCATATCCAAAACTCCAATCTAAATTCCAAAATTCCTACCCCAAAATCCAATCTAAACTCAAAATTTAAAACCACAAAAGGCCAAAATTCATACACGATCCAAACTCACAAACCTAAAAAATGCCAAAATTCATACTCGAAATCCCAATCCAAACTCAAAACTCTGAAGTTTATACCCAAAACCCTCATCCAATATTTAATTTCAAAATGCCATAATCCAAACTCAAAACACTAAAATGTCAAAATCATAACTGAAACCCCAATCTAAACTCTTAACTTTATAATGCTAAATTCTAAACTCAAAAGCCCAAATTCACACACGAGACCCCAATCCAAACTTATAAATCCAAACTCAAAACCCAAAAATGCCAAAATTCATTCCCTTAACCCCAATCCAAACTCTAACTCCCAAATGTTCATATGTAACTCAAAACCCAAAAATGCCAAAATTCATTCCCATAACCCCAATCCAAATTCCAACTCCATAATGTCAAAATTTAAAATCAAATGACTAATGCCCTTGTTCATAAATAGCACGTTGCTTCAATTTTCTTTTCAAGCGGTGCTGTACAACAAGGCCTAAACTTCATGTGTAATTCGTAAAATTTTCCCTTCAAGGTTTGAAGTTTGGATTTTGATTTTTGGGTAGTGGAGTTTGGAGTTTGGGCCAACCCAGCATCCCACTTTAGGGCTACAAAAATTAAAATCAAAACCACATCAGTGTTATACAATTGGAAGAAAGAAATGGCAATAGCATCAACATCAGCCTCAGCCTCTAAGCTGCTCTCTTTTTCCTCGTTATCATTCCGTCTGCGAAGCCTCACAACCGCCTCTAGTATCAGCAGCAACTGCAGCACCACAAGCAAGAAGAAGAAGGAGAAGGAGAAGCTGAAGCAGAGAGTGGTGATAAAAGAAAAGAGGAGAACGCGTTCTGATAGAGAGTTCAAATTGGAAACCATTAAACGTTATGGAGATACTGCCACCCACATTCCAGTCATGCTTGGTGAAGTTTTGGATGTATTCTCGGCATCCAAACAGCTCCGGTACTTCGTCGACTGTACGGTTGGAGCTGCTGGGCATTCCTCTGCGGTCAGTAATCACTCTTCATCTCTCTTCATTTGAAGTTTTTGTGAGTTGGGGTTTTGGATTTATTGTTAATTACTTGCAGATAATTGAAGGCCATCCAGAAATGGAAGTGTATGTAGGACTTGATGTTGATCCTGTGGCGCTTGAGAAGGCTCGAGCTCGGATCAACTCTGTTTTGCATAACCCAACTTCTTCGACCCTCAAAGCTTTCACCTTTCTGGAGAATTTCAGATATGTTAAGTCTCTGCTTTGCGATGTGGATGAGACACTCCTTGACACTGGGATTGATGGGATTTTAATGGACTTGGGAATGTCATCAATGCAAGTGAACGATCCTGAAAGAGGGTTCAGTGTGCTTGCTAATGGACCTCTTGATATGCGAATGGATCCTCAGGTAACAGATGTTTCGACATTCTTATATCTAATGGAGACTGGGAAATTTTTTATTTATTTTATGTTCTCTAATCATGCATATAAAAAATTTGAGTGTGTAAGTGTAGGCTGCCTGGTTTCTCCATTTTGAAGTCTTTTAACTGGTAGAACTTTGTTATAGACCGTTGGTAATCTTATTGAGTCAATCTAGTATTTATGGTGATAATTATTTCTTTAGATGGACTCCATCAGGGAGTCTTTAATACCATTCTCTCTATACTTGTCCATCAGGGTTGCTTGCGTCAGTGAATTAACTCAAATGTGATGCCAATTATACTGATGTTTAGGCTATAATCACTTCTCATCAGAAGCATATGGTGAGGCTACAGTTACGCCACATGCATGTACATGCAGCAAATTGCTGCCCTTGACGATATTTTACGTAAGTATGAGGATTGGATGTGCCATGACCTTCATGAGGATTTAATATTTAGGACAGTTGAGGATGGACTGCTGTAAATTGCCTATGATGGGCGCATGTGGGGTTGAAAAGATTTGAATGGCCCCAATTATGATCCCCTTGTTATACCTTATATGCACCCATGACTCTTGACTTCTGGAACTAGGCTTAGTTATCTATTTTTTTTTCGAAATTAATGCCCTCTGCCAACAATGTCTGTGCGCTTCATTGAAGTTCTAGGTGATATTGTAGGGTGAATGAAAAGTTTCTAGGCGGAATGACATACATGATTCCTATGTTTTACTGGTTGCGTCATCATTTTAAATGTTTGTTTCATTTAATTGATTGGAATAGGGCTATGACAGGCAAGTCTGAAAGCTGAAGACATTTTAAACTCTTGGCCAGAGACTGAGGTAGGGCGCATCCTGCGAGAGTATGGGGAAGAAAGTAACTGGTACTCTCTTCAAAATAGAATTGTTAAAGCCCGATTGAATGGTGGATTGCATTCCACTGGTGATCTAGTTGATCTTATAAAAAGTGCGACTCCTCTGAGTCGAGGTAGGTATCCTCATGTGCTCTGTTGTGCTTCTACTTTGGCCTTGCATTGTATATTTCTGTCAAAATTATAGTACCTTTGCTTGTTTTGGTCATGGCTATGCAAAAAAAGTTTCAATTACTAAAATCAAATTCAATTGCAACAGAAGGAAGGCAAGGTTGGATTAAGACAGCTACAAGGGTCTTTCAAGCTCTGAGGATAGCTGTCAACGATGAACTGAAGACTCTGGAGGATTCTCTTTATGCTTGTTTTGACTGCCTTGCACCTGGTGGTAGGCTAGCGGTCATCTCTTTCCATAGTTTGGAAGACAGAATTGTGAAACAAACATTTCTGGACATCATCAATGTCAAAGATGGAGATGGGGATATTGATATGAATGAAGAAGAAGCGTGGAAGAAAGATTTGAGAAAGATCAAGAATGACATTGATGAAAGTGAAGCATGGATCAAACAAATGGTACAAGGCTTGAGAGGAACAATTCTCACTAAGAGACCAATTACACCTTCTGAAAAGGAAGAGAGCCTGAATAGCCGTTCCAGAAGTGCTAAGCTGAGGGTGATTCAGAAGGCTTAGTTTAATTATTTTGATGAATTAGGCTTTGAAGACATTCCTACAGCAATATTTATCTGCATCTCTGGTGTTTTCCCCATTTTTTATTCACATTTTGTTTAGGTTGGGAGTTTAGATTATATAAACATTTTTTTGTTTTTGAGGAATGTAAAATTCCACATATATGAAATATCTCAAACCCTAGAGTGTTCATCCATTTGATTGCAAATATGCTCGAGGTTGGTGTTGGAAGTGTGATGAGAGAAGTGTAATGACCATGTATTAGAAATCTTCTCGTTTCTCTTTTGTTTTTTTCTTTTGATAAATTACCAGAAATCTTCTCTTAAGTTATTATAAATCAAGATGCAAAGTTGTTTATCTTTCACTAATGAGCATAGAATAAATAATAGTTTAGACTATTACTTGTATTAATTAAATAAAGGGAAGAGAAGAAGTGGTAATGGTAAAGAATAGTCATAACGGTGGCATGGGCAAAATTGTATTTTTGCAGTGGTTGTGGGTTGAGAGACATTGAGAGCTGCTGAGTTGTCATGTCTTTTCTTTTCATGATCCCATATCTTATCTCAAATCAAACCTGAACCCCCTCCTCAACTCTCAGTGACATTTAATATTCGACCCACACATTAAACCACTATCCTCTTCCAACTCAAAACCAAAAGAATATTTTTTTCGAGGAACAAAACCAAAAGAAATTTAAAGAACCAGAACTGGTGAATTTTCTTCCCCTCTCTGTTCCCACTATTCTCCCCAACCAAACAGAAATATGAAAATAATAAAACAAGGCTTGCAGACAATTTGATTTGCAAGGGTTTTGATCTCTTCCTTTCCAACAGTTCATAATTTAAATTTCTTTATGTGCTCTGCTTCCTAAAATATCTTTTTGCAGCATAATGAAGACACTGGCTATCAAATGGCATGAACAAGTACATTGGTGTGCCTCATTCCCATCCTCTCATATGCCAATCTTCAACCCCAGGTTTTTTTTTCTAATTTTGTATTGCAATTAGCAATTTTATCTTGACCCATCTAAGAAAAGTTAGCAGTGATCATTCAATGGTTAAGAAATCTTTGCTTTTATATTTCAGGAAGAAAATTGAAGTGATGAAGGTAACTAAAGCAACCAGCTTAAGTTCAGAGTCAAATGCAAAGAAAGCAAATTTGTGTGCTGCAAAGAAGGAAAGAATTAAGCTGCCAAATCATGATGATAGCTCTGGTGGCAAGACTTTTCACATTAGTGAGTTTCTCAGCCACCAATCAGGAATTGAAGCCATGCTTAACACCAGAGCCTTAAACAGTTTTGAATCCCTTGATACTGATACTTATAGGTCATTCCCTTGGAACCCTTTTGTGCTTGACTTCTTCCATGTTCACTTGAAACTTCAAAAGTGAGTCTAAGATAGGAAAAAACAATGCCCTTTTTCTGTGCAGATGCACCCTGCCAAAGCTTCAGCTTTTGAATTTTGAAGCTGCTCCTGTGCTGGACTTGAGAGTGACCCCAACAAATGAAGATTGTATAGTTGAGATGCTTTCTTGCAGGGTGAGTTTCAAATCCCAGCAATGCTTACATATAAAAGTGAACTTGTAACATTGCAAAATGAGGATGCATTTGATGGCTTATTACAAATGTGATTTGCAGTTTGAGGGTTCAGAAGCCGTGGAACGCCAAAACAGCCATTTTTCAGGTGAATAAAGATTGGGTGAGAGTCTTGTAACTTATAGAAGAGTAAGTATTTAGTCCATGGGAATATCGAATTTACACTTTCGAAGGAAGAAAGACTTGTAAGGTCATCAAATGCTCATTTATTGTTGAAAGCCTTTATTCTAAGGGCCTGGCTGCAAGGCTCTTCATGTATTTCTTTGAAAAAGTGTATCAAGCGTCTTCTAATCTTATGGTCTCTATTTACAGCATTCATGAGAAATCACATGTCATGGGACACAAATGGCTCTGAATCGTTTTTGGAGGTTGATGTGAAGCTAAAACTCACTCTTGAGGTTGTTAAAATTTCGCTTGCATTATCCTTCGTTCTCTTTATCTTTCTCTTTCTCTCTCTTTCGACGCAATAGCTGATACATGCGATTTTCACCTGTCATTAGCAGCTGTTTCTAGTTTCTACTTGCATAATTGAGCTGGAATATAGGATTTCAATAATATTTCAATAGCATATGTTATGTGCAGATTTATACACGCCCTTTCACCATGATGCCAGTATCAGCTGTTGAGCGTCCTGGAAATTTGTAAGTACTTGAAGCTTTGTTTGTTTCTTTAGAACTTTATATAATTGTGTTTGGGCAGAGATGAATTCAAACTGTGCAAGTGTGATGACATGCAGAATGATGCAAGCCTTAGTGGATAGGCTGGTGTCATTGCTTCTGCAGCAACTACTACAAGATTACAGCAAATGGGTTGTTGATAAGCAAGCAGTTGGATGATCTTCCATCCATTTCTGCAAACAGAGATAGATGAGTAAAACAAAAGAAGACGGAACGGGGAGTCGTAGTTTCCAGCCTACGAAGAAAAGTAATCCCTTCTGCATCAATCTGAACATTCAACTCTACTTTCCGGCGACATTATTTCAAGTTGCGGTCATTCTTTTGGGGAGGAAATTGTTAACTTGCATTAGGTCTAAAACTAAAACCTCCCCACAATATCCTTGATCCTTATGATGATGTCCTAGAATTTTGTGGATAGATATAAAAAGTGTTAAAATTCCCGACCAAGAGGAGATGTAAATTTTTAGATTTTTAGTTTTGTGCCACTTTCGTCTGTATATCTTAAGATGTAATGGGATAACATTGTTAGTTCATCAATTTATGACATTCAAGTTAGAAGGAAATTTATCAATCTCTAGTTTCCAAGGTTTTATCATTGTCACCTTACAAAGAAGAAAAATTACAATTGTAACCAAATCCGTGACTTCATTGGCAAATACCATGACACATTTGTGGATGCATTGCATCCTGCTGCTAATAAACAAATAGGCCAACAACAAATAAATAGATTAAAAGCATTGCGTTTCTCATTGCTCCTCAAAGACTCCCTTGGCTGCAGGGAAGAAGAAGGCATGCTAAAGACTCGTGAAAATAGCAAAATAAAATCACAGCATTCCAGGGCTGGATCTGATGGCAAACAAAAAAACCTAGGTCTCAAACTGCGTTCCTAAAAACCGTATTACAGCTAAGTTGCATCATCTGATACAGATCCAAGAAAACATTACAAGTCAAAATGCAATACAAAAAACTCGGCCAAACTAAAATTCCACTCCATCACAGGCGGCACAACCAGTTCAGCTCTCAACGGTTGGTCAAACTAATATGCCACCTCCATCACCAGCGGCAGAACTGGTGGAACAACCGGCACAACCAGTTCTGCTCTCGACAGTCGATTATGTTCAGCAAGCTCCTCTGACAGACACAATAAAACCTATCACATTTTTATGTTAGAACCACAATGAACGTTATATTGCGATGAAAAAACACTTGATTCAGAAAACAATGGGTACATGCATGGATGAGTTACAAAGAGTGACTTAGAGGAGACTATTTTGACACTACATATCCAACTGCCACTTCTAATGCCACACTTTGCTAAGCATATAAACCACTATGTTTCAGCTTTCAACAGATAGGTTTATTCCTCTCTTTACAGAAATTAGTGTTTTGCAGAAAAGAAGCTGCATGAAGACGACAGCTACAACCACCTTAATTCTTATAAACCAAAAACATAGAAACTAAAGCATGGGAACCCATGACACAACAAAATGGATGGCTGATAACATGCACTCAGTGACATTTATTAAAGCAACCTTGATGTTTGTATGTGACCTCAACATAACAAAAAATTCAAAAGCATTTTACAAACAATGCATGTAAAGAATTTTTTTTTAAAAAGTATATCTTACCATAAATCAGTCCCGATTCCTGGAACGACCATCATTATGTTTGTCATTTTCATATCTTCTTCTCTCACTTGATCTAGAATCATCATATCTTGCTCTCTTGTAATCCAGGTGCCTATCTCTCTCAGTCTCCTTACTTCCCCCTTCTTCATCTATGTTTCCATGCCTTCTAGAATCATCGTATCTTGCTCTCTTGTAATCCAGGTGCCTATCTCTCTCAGGCTCTTTACTTCCCCCTTCTTCATCTATGTTTCCATGCCTTCTAATTCCACGCTCCTCTTCAACATCCTCTCCATGCCTTCTATATATATGATCATCTTCATTGTGTGTGTCATTTTCATGCCTCCTCCTAACCCTCTCAGTCTCCTTACTTCCCCTTTCTTCATCTACTTTACCATACCTTCTATTTCCACGCTCCTCTTCAATATCCTCCGCATGCCTTCTATATTTGCGATCCTCTTCATTATGTTTGTCATTTCCATGCCTCCTCTTCTCCCTCTCTGTCTCCTTACTTCCCCTTTCTTCATCTATTTTTCCATGCCTTCTATTACCACGCTCCTCTTCGACATCCTCTACACGCCTTCTATATTTAGGATCTTCTTCGTTGTGTTTGTCATTTTCGTGCCTCCTCCTCTCATTTGATCTAGAATCGTCATATTTTGCTCTCTTGTAATCCATGACTTGATCCCTGTCAATATCCTTATTTCCCTGTTCTTCCTCCATTTTCCCAAGCTTTCTATTTCCACGCTCCTCTTCATGATTTTCTCTGTGCTTTCTATATTCATGATCCTCTTCGTCTCTTCCATGCTTCCTTCCCCTATTTTCTTCCTCCTTGTTGTGTCTTCCACGTATTCCATGATCCTCTTCATCCCTTCCGTGCTTTCTACCCTTATGCTCCTGATCATCCTTGCTGCGGCTTCTACCTCCTCCACGCTCTTCGTAATCCTGATTACCCCTCCTACTAACCCATTGTGGTTCACTATCCTTGCTGTGAACTCTGTCCTCACGTTCTACGGTCACATCATCATCAGTATCAATCCTGCCACTTCCTCTACTCTTTTCTGTTATTGCACCTCTACTTTTTCTGGACCTTTCATAGTCAGATTCGTCATCCACATCATAATTTTTCCTGCTTTTTCCACTTTTAACATTGTTGCCTTTGTTGTCATCCTCCGCGACAAAATTATCTCGCTCTACCTTTCGGCTACCATGCTGATTCCTCTGCTTCTCAACTTGACTTTTTTTCCTTTCCATCCTGCTGTCAAAATCAGACTCATCCCCAGAATCATGCCGCCTGCTTGGTTTCACATGTAGTTTCTCCTTTTCAGCTCTACTCTTTGAGAAGTCTTTATCAGAACCAGAATCTTCATCAGAATCATGCCTCCTACGAGGTCGTTTGGATTTCTCAACTTCCTTTCTGGATCTGCCCTCAGCACCATCATCACTGGTAGCAGAATCAGAATCATCAGTGTCATTCTTTCTGCTCTTATTATGCTTCTTTACAACCTTCTGCTTCTTTCTACCATCAACTTCTGAATCATCTTCATCGGAATCATGCCTACTATGAGGTTTTTTGAACTTATCAACTTTCTTTCTTGAACTGTCCTTCGCATCATCATCACTGGTGGCAGAATCGGAATCATCGGTGTTTACATTTCTTCTTTTATTGTGCTTCTTTGCAACCTTGTGCTTCTTGCCAACATCAACTTCAGAATCATCTTCATCACTGCTGCTAGTTCCACGGCGCTTCTTCTTTTTATCAGCTTTCGGAGGACTACCACTGTTATCAGTATCAGAAGAATCATACTTATGCCTTTTCTTCCTACTTTCTTCCTTCTTGTTCCGCCTAGATTCTTTCACACTCTTTTTCTTATCATCTTTTTCAGCTTTCTGCTTTTCCTCCCCATGTTTCTTCCGCGAATAGTCCCTGTCCAAAAATGCATGCTCGCTTCTCTCCTGAGGCCTGCCATCATCATTTGGACCATTCTTCCGACTACTTTTCAGTCCATCATCAACCTCATCAGTATCTTTTTCTGTTAAATCAGATGAAGCTAGTCCAAGAGCAGCTCTTAATGTTTCCATTTGCTTCTCCTTCCTGGCAGCAATTTGGTGGGTCTGTGTATCTGAAACCCTGGTTAAGTGACAAAATATAAATTTAATCAAAAAATTCAAAATATCACATTTCAATGTCCAACTTCTAATCACATTCTATCGAGCAGCAAACTACATGCAAAATATACTACTATAATTAGAAAAATAAAGATATTACTATTCAAATATGCAAGCAATTCTCAACATTTCATACTTTAACCAAAAAAGAGAGAAATTACTTCTTATCGGAAATCACAACGGCGGTGGATCCACCGAGCTCCTCGGAAGCAGCGGCGGCTTCGAGAGTCTTCCGAGCCTCCTCGAGCTTCTCCGCGATCTCAGCATCCGTAAAACCCTGATCGGTGAGCTTATCCTCGAGCACCACAAGCTTGAGCTGAATCTGGCGCTTGCGATCATGCTCGAGGATGTCCTTGTTGGCCTTCTTCATGACGCCGCCCATGCCCTGGTCGTCGTCAAAGCCTCTGGAAGAATCGGCGACCTTTCCGGTCCTCGATTTGATGAAGAACTTGTTAGTCTGTATGTAACCATTGGTCCCAGACCCCCTTGGAGTTTGTAACCCTATTCCGTTGTACATCTCGCTCTTCAAAATCACTGTTCAATCACAATCGGTACTAAAATCAACTCGCAGAAACCCTAGATTCAAAAACAGGCGGATACAAATCCAACGCAAAACGAAGAAGGGCAAGCAATTGATTTCCAGGGAAACAAACAGAACCTGGATTTTGCTAAGGGCGGTGTTTGTTGAAATTCCCTCGCTCTCTCTTCGTATCACAAGCAGAGAGGAAAGATACAGATTTATAACCTCTGTATTTTTTCTGTTTTAAAACCTTTTCAGGTTTGGAAAGGAATTTCGAGAAGAGGCCAACTTTACAGGCTTTGGAATTTATAAAGGCTTTTTTATAACAAATTGTGCCTTATGTTTGTAAAATTATCATCTTTCATTTTTTATGTTTTTTTAAATGACATTATTGGTCATTCCGTTAAGTTTAGTAAAAAAAAAGATATTTAGTGATATACCCATTCTTAGCATTAATATTATAGATAAACCCTCCATCATTGAATTTCTATAAACAAACCCAAAAAAAACCCCAAAAATGATAGCTGGCCTTATTGAATTTAATATTAATTATTAAATTACTTTAATGTCCTATTGAGTGTTTTGGGTATTTTTATGAGATTTTGAGGTTGGGCTTGTTTTAAGAAATTTATGGTAGTTTTGTAATTTATAAGAAGTTAAGGCCTCTTTGTTATGTTGTAAATGGGTTTTGGGTGTGTTTATAAAGTTCATTTCATATATGGTATTTTTATAATTTGAGCTCCCATATTGGGTATATTAGTGAATCTCCCTAAAAAAATTTGTTAGATTGTTGATATGGACGCCACGTGAATTAAAATTAAAAAATATATATTATAAATTAAGAAAAAAAAATTAGGGAAAAAAAATATGGGTATTGGCTGGGGATGGGTCTCTGGTGGAGGTGGGGTTGGGGTTGGGGTTGGAATTTGGGCAGTTGTTGGGGGATGGGTCTCGGGTGGGGTTAGGGTTGGGATGGATCTCGGGTGGAGATGGGAGTTGTATAAGAGCATTTCCAGCAAGCAGGCTGGGGGGAGGGGGGGGGGGGGGGGGGGGAAAATGCTGTTTCCAGCAACACAAAGCTGCCAGGGCAAGGAGTGGGGCCCAGCTACCTGGGCTGGCCCGAAGGGGAGGCTGGCCCGAGCGCCAGCCCGGGCAATCTGATGTCAGCGCGCTACAGTGCCCGCTACAGTGCTTTTTTTGTCCAATAAAAAAATGAAAAAAATCGAAAAAAATACCCAAAAAATACTGAAATTTTTTACTCTTCACTTTTAACACCAGCAGCCAATATTTTTGTAATAAAAAATTGAAAAAAATACCAAAAAATTACTTCTTCTTTATTTATTTATTTTTTTTCTCTCTATACCTTATTTCCATTTTCAACATTTAAGTAAATGTCTTTGTCCTTTTACTTTTATTTATTTTTATATTACTCCATTTACTTAAGTTTACAATGTAAATAAGGAAGTACCCCCCATTTGGATTCAAATAAAAATACTAGAAAATCAAATTCCCACCAAATCAAAATATGAAAAATCGTTTTTAGTGCAAAATACGATTTAGGCTAAAAATGATGGCTAATTAAGTCAATATATACTTCATATTAAAATCCCATAAAATCAAGTTTTCTTATTTGATGTGTAAGGAATAAAAGCCGCCAAAAATTTTCTTGAGAAAATGATTATTTTGAAAAACCATTTTTCATACTTAGTCAATATTGCACCTCCGCTAAAAATCTTGAGAAAATGATTTTTCATACGTAGGAACCCAAAAATCTTATCCGAAAATATTATACAAATTAATTGTTGAAGTAAACAAAGTTGTGAAAAAAACAAAAAAAATGAATAGTATTTGCCATGGCAAGCCTTGCATTGCTGGAAACACAAATTTTTTTTTGCCCTAGGGCAGCCACTATTCACGTGAATAGTACCCGCCCTAGGGCTCCCCTTGCCATGGCAAGGGGCTAACTGGTGGAAGTGCTCTAATGGCGTTGGGCTTGGGAGTTTTCTGGATAGAGAAAAAACTAGGGTGAGAGAGAAAGAGAGGGAGAGAGGGAGGGATTGGGGCTTGGGTCGAGTAATTGGGAGTCCGTTAGGTTGAATCGGTGAGCGGGGTGGATTGGGGGGGTTTGTTGTCGATGGGGTTGCGGGAGAATAGAGAGAGAGAGAGAGAGAGAGAGAGAGAGAGAGAGAGAGAGATCAGAGGTGGAGGGTGTACCATGTAATTGTATTATAGAATACTATGTTAATATGACCACATGGTATGAGTGATTATAGAATATTATGGTAGTACGAATGATTATGCAATATTACGGTAATACGATCACGTAATACATATTGTACATGTGTTATAATATAAGTGGATATTTATTGATATTATTCCCTAAAAATAGGGAAAATAAACCATATTGTCAATCCATAATATAACATGTGTACAAAATGTACCACGTGATCTAATTACCGTAGTATTATATAATCACTCATAGTCCACCGACTCTGTCACATAAAGATATTCACTTTACTTCCCACATGCTTCTACGTAGAGATATCATCTATTTGGATTTTTTTCTACTATGATATACTTCACTTCGCATCTCTACACAACACCTCATTTAAATTTGCATCCAAAGCATGTAAAGCTAACACATCATACTTAAAAACAAAATAACTGAATCCGAATCCAAATCCTCTGTTTAATTTATGGTTATCGTAGCTCCTTCGTTTTTGCTTTTATTTTGTTACACTATCTCATGTGATTTCCGTATTGATTAATCCATGAAAAATTGTTTATGCATTAAATAATAAAATGCAATTGATAAACGTCTTAATTTGTAGTCACAAATAAATCGTATAAGCATATGGAATTTTGTCACATGCCTCGTCCTAAAATTGGTCAAATTCACCGCCACTGCTAGGGTCATGTCATGATGTTGTTTTACTTTTCGTGAAGGCATTAAAACTAAAATGGGTTAGATAGTGTGAAAGACAGTTAATTTACTAACTGTCTTACTGGATTTTATTTTCCATTCCTAGCTCTATTGTATGCAAGATCCTTAATTATTATTATTTTATATTATTTGGTTGCTCACAATAAATGATTCATAAGCAGAATCATTAAATTTATAAATATAAAATATTATGTATATTTTAATATTTAAGAAATGACAATAAGATACCATTTTGTTATACACCCAAAATAATAAAAGGGAGACTCAAACTTAAAAGCACGAGCACATGTATAAATATGATTTCCATTCATTTGTTCTATTTTTCACTTGCATTTTTTTTTTCGAATCTTAATGATTAGTTTACCATTTTATAACCCAAAGTCTGAAACTCAAAGACCCTAATCTATTTGATTATTTCCTAATTGCATGGATATGGCCCTAAATTATCTGATTATTTCCCCCACTGCCCAAAATTAGACTTAGAGAGAGGGCAAATTTTAAATGATAAATAGGAACAATTATGTATATATTTATATTTCAAAAAATATTTGTATTATAACATCATTTTCATTTCCAGTTGTATAGACCCCGTTCCCTCTGAATTTTGCTGCATGAAAGCACTGTAAGACCAGGAATGCCCTCAATGATCCCTTCCTCTCCCTTTGGTCGAGCTATAAAAGATGGGAAGACTAAACACTTACAAATTAATCCACTTTTATATCTAATCAAGTGATTTCAATAACTCATATCGTCAACTACTGTATAGAGTCGAACAACAAAATTTCAAATTCTAACAACAGATGTACATTTCTATTGCTTCAATACAAACTCACATCAGGGACAAGCACTGCATGTATCCGGGTGTAATTCTTCCCACATCTATGGGGCACCCAAATTAATTCACCACCATGAATTTTAGGTGGGGCATAGGCATATTAGACAACTTAGTCGCCTCTAAGATGGATCAAACAATCAACTTTGCTTGCGTTTTACGCATCGGAATACCAGACTTTCAATCCTCACGTGTATCGAACAAGACGTAAAACCAAGCGACGCTACAGCCCGACCCAATATGAACGTCCATTGGTGTTGTGAATGGGTGAACTGGAGGGCGATGTCACAGACCATTCGTACCAAACCTGCATCACATTCCATAGGAGCTCATTCAAAGACCCATTATTCATAAAAAAAAACCTACTCAGGAACAGATGCACAAAACACTAATTATACGCTCAAGATTCTGCCCATGCATAATGGCCTTGAGATTTATACATTCTTTGTAAACAATAAAGGATTGTCTTTTAAGGGTTTACTAATCATTACCTTGCTGGGACGGCAACAACGCCAAAAATGTACTTCAAGAGAAGAACCAGGATGTAGAGAAATGGGTGTCCTCAGTGGGAAAAATATTGGAAACCTGAGTACAACATACCAGGTCAAATAGTGCAGTGATTTACAGATACAAGAAACCAATAATTTTCAGTTTCATCTAGATGATAAACAGCATGTAAGTCATACAACTACCACATAAGTTTGAGCTATGATAAACAGCATGTAATGTAAGCCATATAACTACCAAATAAGTTTTAGCCATGCTTTGCTTCATGTGTTTACCATTTGTAGCATAACCATGAAAATATAAAATAAATAAAAACATTTTAACAATTGGAAAGAAAAAGCAAACATAGGATGACAAGCATCAACCGCACAAGAAAAGGATAGTAGGGATCCACACCAGCTAAACATGTTCGGTGTTGATGTTGACGGTTCAATGCCAAGATGAACTTCTTTGTATAGAACAGCATCAAAATAGCCAGCAAATCCTGAAGGTGTAGGAAAAAGGGTAAATCAGACATTTCCTAATACAAACATGTCTTAATTAAATGTGTGCGCACGTGTTTTTCTCAGCATAAATAGACTCAGATCTTAGTGTGCTCAAAGAACAAAGTCAAGTAGCGGTTGTTAAACATGGCAGGTGCAATAAACCAAAATCATTGCATTGCATAACCAACCCACTAATGCTTTCTCAACCCCGAAACAAAATCCATATCTT